TAGAAAAAGACATTGTTCAATTCAAAATTTTTCAAACATAATATTAATTCAGATATTAATTCAAAATGTTTGATATAATAATCTTTAGTATTAGTCCACTAAATAATAGATTCCTTATTTGAAGTCAGACTCTGTATACTAAACTGAACTGTCGAGGATGTGCCGGTGAATTCCCGAAATAAGAAAACCAATTTCGATGAGGACTGTTGGCCTGGGGGAACCACAGACCATTTATAAATTCGCATTGCCAGTGGGCTATACAGTGTGTCCCACTTACCAATCTTACCATGCTCACCATGGGTATCTTTTCAATGGTGAGAGATAGGAGGTCGGTTAAATGACACCAAATGTGGAGTTTTGTTTTGAACAAAAACTGTTTAAAACTTGAGCACATGTTTAAAACATGTTTAAAACAGTTGATTACAACAAAATGTTTAAAACAAAACAACCCTGGGATGTGCTGACTAGGCCTGTCGAGTTCGTCTGACTGGTATTGCTAGTGATGAAATGATAGCAGAGAATTCTAAAGTACATTTCCCGTGGAAGTATCGATGGAAAAGTGGAGATCACCGACTTTTCTACGATGTTCCAATGATGTCAAAGAGTCTCTGGATAGAATCTAAGAGCCTTAGCGTATGTTTGGGTGATGAACCCCATATGTGGGGACAGTATCCCAAAACAGTTCGTATCTGAGCTTTGTAGATCGTTAGAAGCTCTTGGGGTGTAAAGAAATGAGCGCACTTATCTCAGTAACTACATAGATTGCAATTATTAAATCACGAGGGTTTACACCTGTGAAGCCTCTAGTCTGTCGAATTTCGAAGCACCCTGTAGAAACACGTGCTTGGGGATAATCGAGTGGTGTATATATTTCTACATACTTATTTGAGTTGTTTAACATTCAAATACAATTGACATTATTCATCACAACGCGTCAAGAGTGCAAGCAATACATGGACTGGATATGTTAAAATTTGTTTGAATATAAATAGTTTGAAGTTTGAAATGAGTTTTTGTTCTTATTTTATTATTTATTGGTCGTTCAAAAAATATTGTACCTATGCAAAGATCATATGTAATGGGTATTAAAACATGATCATTGCATAAAACACTGGTGTTATAGCTTTTGAGAATATTTATACATCATGATTCTTTTTTGCACATAATTCTATAAATTCACAACATTCAATTACCTTTCCGTCTAACTTGACCGCCGAATTTGAATCACCCTGTATGTCAGATCACCTACGTATTTTACATATTCAATAATCCGTTCTCAAACACTTTTTTAATATTCAAATAACATTAGGAAGCTTATAGCAAATGAATCAATGAATAAATTAGGTAGGTTTATTATCAAAGATTTTTATTGAAGATTACGTTATCATATTCAGATTTATTTATCTTTTGTTTTCAATTCGATACTGAGCCATTCAATCTGTCAACAGCAATATATACAGGGTTGAGAAAAAAAGTCCACGATTTTACTTGATTTTTTGGGATTTTCTCTCCTCGTTTCTATAAAATAAAAATATGCGTATTATTATTATTATTTCAATCAAGTTAAATGAATGTACCACCTCCTCGATTAACCTACAGACAGTATTTAAAGTCGACCATGTTCCACAGACATTATAGGAATTTCCTTTCGTGCGTTCCAAGAGTTACAAAAAAAGAAATCGAAGATTTTCTTTGAAAATTTCCCGCATTACTATATGATGTGTATATGCTATTGTTGATATATTCTCCATCATCCTAGAACTCACATCAGGGGGTAGATTTTTGAAAAATTTCCAAACTACAGCTCTCGCAATAATAGTACATTATACATCAAGGTACAGAAATGCAAGATTTTTTCCAAGGTGCGAAGGAATACGAGGGAAAAATAGCATTCTGGCCTGAGGTTTATGTACTATTTTTTACGCTGGCGAAAGCACATAAGAAAGAATGAAAATTTGGTCAAAGTGTTTTGTCATAATTATAGTAGTAGTATAGTTTGTGGACTTCGTATCTTGCATGCATCTTGTTGACATCATATGCATGGTGACAGCAAATATCAAACTGAAATTTATGAAAACAGCTTTGAAAATATATCGAAGACTGGAACCTTTGGCACGATAATACACTACACTGTTTTACCACTAACCAAACCGATTTTTTAACGCCTCGACACGTGTTTCGCTAACTATGTTAGCATCTTCAGGAGAAGATTAAAACTAAATATCCCATTCTAGTGTGCTGCTTATATATACTATAGGTATATGTTCACCCAACTGTGAAAAATACTAACCGTCAAGTTAATGTTTGTCATGGTTGAGTTCACATGTCAATCTTAATTTTTATTTCACTAAACTATATAGAGGGCAATATAATACTTCGAAATTCTACGACTTTTCAAGTGGATAAAAAGAACTCTAGAAGAATCCCAATCCCGTTCAATCCCAAGTATACGAAGTGACTTGATAAGGTTTTCAAAGACATAGGTTTTGAAAGCGTTTATCAGTCTGGGTCAAAATCAGGCAATTTATTAGGCAATCCGAAAGATAAAGTGGACACACTTGAAAAGTCGGGAATATACGAAATAAGTTGTAATGATTGTGATAAAACATATATAGGCCAAACCAGGCGACCCATAAAAACAAGGTTCAAAGAACACATAGCCCATTTAAAATATGGCAGGTTAGATAAATCTTGTGTAGCCGAACATATGTTCAATCATAATCATAACACACATATTACTAACCTCAAATTAGTTAAGCAAGTTAATAACAATAGAAAACTAGACGCATATGAAAGCTTGGAGATATTTAAGAATAGTAATGGAGTAATGAATAAAGATAATGGACCTATTCCATATAGCCCTCTATATAGTTTAGTGAAATAAAAATTAAGATTAACATGTGAACTCAACAACGACAAACATTAACTTGACAGTTAGTATTTTTCACAGTTGGGTGAACATATACCTAGTATATAAGCAGCACACTAGAATAGGATATTAAGTTTTAATCTTCTCCTGAAGATGCTAACATAGTTAGCGAAACACGTGTCGAGGCGTTAAAAAATCGGTTTGGTTAGTGGTAAAACAGTGTAGTGGAGCTTTGAAAATGGTTAACGGTCATGGACCAAGAAATCGAGGGAAAACCCCAAGAAAATTGATACTGCTTCTACAGTGATTCTTAACTCGCTACCAGTGAGATCTAGAAATCTGTATGATGCAGCTTTTACTGTCTTCAGAGAAGGGTGTTCCGAAAAGAAAGCGCAGAGGTATGCGGAAAATGTGAAGCTGTTATAAACTCCCTAGGGAGAAAAGATGTCACATTATCTCCCTATAGGGAATAATACGAGAGTCTTTTGTAGAGAAACTAACTTCTATGCCCGCCGGCGTAAAAATAAATATAAGTCAACGGTAATACATACTTTATTTCTCTTCACAAAAATAATCGTGAAATATGTAAAACATGTAAATTCTCACACTGTTGGCAGTTCATTCAAGATCATTATGATGACTGGGGTCTGAATATTGATGAATCTTCACAGACGAATCATGTAAATTATGATAAAATATCACTTCATTTCACTATTAACGAAGAAAAAACAACTTTAATATACTATGCAGGAAGAAGATTGGTATCGAAAACTTGCATTTATTAATACATATTATGCCAACCTGAAAATCGAGGTTGAAGGTGAATTGGATCAAATTATGTTTACATACAGGGTGAAATGACATGCTCATGGTATATTCGCTTAGTTGTACAATGATGGGAAATTAACAAATTGATTCTACAATGATTAGTTTCATGTTCGTGCAATCTAAAATGCGTTATCGTTTGTGAAGTTTTTTACAACTAAAATGCCCAATGAAATGATTCAAATCATTTATATTCTCAAACTAGAGCAATTAAGAAGATTTTAGGCAGTTAACGTAACGTTGACGCAATCTATGAATGTAGAACGTATGAAGATATACAGGGTGTTTAAAAAAACCTGACCTCCTTATTAGGGTAGGTAGAACACTGCAAAATAAGTTGGGTTTACTCAGTAAAAAAATTTCAGATACAAGGTGTTGAAAAAATTATTTTTTTACACATTTTTCACGATTATGTCGAAACTACTGGCAACATTGTAATGAAATTTTGTATGAATGTTTCTTGAAATCTGACACATCACATGAATTTGTTTTTATATCTGACTCTCATAGAGGGCGCTAGTTAGAGGGTTCGAACCGAGTAGTTTAGAACATAACTTTTTTGAGGTTAGATTTTTCAATCCTAATTCGATGTGAACTTGAACATCATTCAATTCCACACCAAAAAGGTACTCTTGGTAAAACTCGATACTGTGTTCCGTTTTCGGAATATTTCGATTCGAAAATGATGAAGTGATAACTGTTGCTGGTATAAAGTTATGTATTAGTGTGAGTATTATGAAAAATAATCACCTATTTATTGAAAACCGAAAAGAATAACATCGAAACAGATTTGACTAAGAACATGGATTACACAATTTTGTCTTGTGCAGAAAGTCTATGCTACATAGGTAAATTCACGTCAAGAGTTGTAAGACATAATTGAACATCACTAAAATGACCTTACAGCTGATCCTCAACTGTTAAGAAGAATAATACATTCTTAGGAAAAGAAGATAGAATCGTTCTTTCTTCGAAACGTAGGACATTTTGAACACTTACTCTAACTGATTCAATATTTCATGTTTCAAGTCAAATATCTCTTAATTTTCTACTTATGATTCTTTGTTCCATCAATAATTTCATCACAAGAATAATTTTATTGTTTTTGAATCTGAATAAATAGGTAATTGAACTCAATAAAATTCATTTTATACCATCAGCATCAGCTATTACTCCATTATTTTCAAATCGAAATATTCCGAAAACGGAACATAGTATCGAGTTTCACCAAGAGTACCTTTTTGGTGTAAAATTGAATGATGATCGATTTCATATCATATTTGGATCGAAAGATATAACCTCAAAAAGCACAAAGTGCTCTAAATACTCTTATAGTCATTTCCTATGATTCTAGCTTTCCAATATGTCATTGTGCAGTTGGTAATTACACCACAGACGAACGGAGATGTAGTAAACTATTTCGACAATGGACAATAACGCGAATCCGTTGAACAGTCCAAGAATACCTCCAATGTTGGACATCAAGTCGAAGAAGCCATACAACTCTGTCCTTTCCATCTGAAGGAACACGTCTGAACCGAAGTATATGTTCAGTCTCGAAAAATGCCTGAAAATCGAAACAAATCCTTCAATCAGAGTTTTCTGGATGCACTCGTGATAGTATATTATGTAACAAGTGTTATAAACGTCTTTTTAGTAATGAGTAACACGAGCGCAGCAGAGTGAAGCGAGTGTTTAATGAACGAGGGTACAGAAGAGTTTATAAACGCGTTAGATACTATACTTTTTCTACGAACTCATTATTCCTTCGACGAGATACCATAATTCCGAAAATCAGATCAATCTACCCGCTAACATACAAATTAATTCGAAGAGAATGGGAATTGAGAACATAATAATGCAACTGCAGGCAACCAACGACGCACGCATTGGTTATATTGGTTGTAGATGTGTCCAGTTCATAGGATACATGAATTTTACTAATCATTGTGAGTAAGAAGTTTTCATCTGACGTAGAAGAACGTAAGAGTACAATGTAAAGAAAGGACACATCGACAAATCGAAACTTGCTGAACATATCCTTACTGAAGATGGACAACATATGGCAGAATGGAATAATATCAAAATCATTGGAAAAGAGGATAACAACCAGAAGAGAAAAATTAAGGAATCTGCTTGCATTCTTCTGAACGGAGACAATCATTGCTTTCTGTTCAGTTAATATAGATAGAACATGGTATTCACTACTGAATTCTGAAAATGAAAATTTCATTCATCAGGTTCTCTGATAGGAAAATTCTTTAAACGCAGTGACATTTTGGGGCAAATCATCTGATTTGTCCTTACTACACGAATATTGAGATAATTTTATTTTGTAGAAACGAGGAGAGAAAATCCCAAAAAATCTGAAATAATGAGAAAGATTTACTTGAAATATCCTTGAAATGAAGCAACTGGCAACACAGGGAAAAAATCACGTCAGTGAAGCTTATGTTTGAACGTTCCATAAAATTGTAGGGCAAACATGGTGTCTTTTGAAGTATATTACAGCATATTCAATCAGAAAATTGTCGCATTGAGGTTATGTTACCACTTTATTTCAGTTGCACGTTCAAAATAAATTCACGCATTTGTGTTTTTGCCCTTTTGGAATGGGCTTGAACACCTTAGTAAAACTTCAACTTAACTCAAATCATGTTTATAATGATCCTTTTATACATAAATAATGATTGACAACATAATTCGATCAAAAAATTAACTGAAATGTTTTATTTTTGGACATAAATGATAGTACCTTCTGAAAACAGACCCTTCATGACGTAGAAACCTCATCTCGCCATAGTTAAAAGAAAATACCAAACGCCCGACGGAGACTGAGGCAACTGATATATTAATTCTTTCAACTGTGTTCTCGCGCTAATTCACTCTGTCAGAAATCATGTATCATTCATCTCTGTCTGGAATAGTCTTGTTTCAGTATTAGGGTTTTGACGTCACATCATCGCCTCGTTTTCAGAGATCCGAAAAATCGGGGATTTCAATAATTTTTTATAAAACGTAGGGAGCTCACAGCAAGAAACGGTTTGCGGTGGTGAGCTAGTTTGGGTGAGTTCTATCGAATTATGAAATAGATTTTTTTTGTGATATAAGCCCATTATCTGTTGAAGTATCATTAAAAACTTACATTCTCTTTTCTATTTCTAATGGTGCAAGGAATTTTGCCATATTTTTCTCAGCTCTGAATATATTCTTCCATGGAAACGGTGTTCTCGAAGTTTCTGATTGATACGATAATGACGTACATATCGGCATGCAATTGCAACTATTCGGAGTTGGGTAGTCCTCTGACAATTGACTCTCTATTTCTCTTGTTTTCATCAAAACTGGAACAAAAATGTATCGAAGAAATCCTTCAAATTCATCTGAACGAACAAGCTGTATTCATTTCGATTATTTAATTTCTTCACCTCTAGCTATGAAAGGTAGTTTACGTCGTTTTACGTCATTTTAAAAACCACTAGTATATAAAGAACTAACCACATACAGAGAAGTGCACAATAAACGGTCAGGACTGTAACTTTTGAATTATTCGAGCTAGGGTTTTGAAAATTGGTGGGCAGGTAGTATACCAAATTGCTCATTAATTGACGAAACAATTTTTTCCTACGACCACCTATGAAAACAGCACAAAACACGTTGATTTGTTATTGAGAAAGTGACTCGTTTCACTATGACAACATATAACAGTTAGAAAGTTCGAAAGCAAAACTGACATGGGTGGAAATATTCGAAAATCGCACAGTAACAGGGTCTATCGATTATGATGTAACAATGAATGATCATTATGCTGAATTATGGTAAGTTAAGTTATGGTCAAGTTAATTGAAAGTTAGTGTCGATTCAACATTGAAAGTTGAATTAATGTCAATGAATTGGCAATTTAGTGATTAATGTGAAGTTAACGTCAATTTGATATTGAGTTGATGTTAATTTGATTTTATTGTAATGTCAAGCTTATTTTGAGTTAATATTGATTTAATGTTGAGTTAATGATGAATAATTATTGAGTTAATGTCAAGTTGATGTTGAGTCAATGTTAGGTTAATTTTAAGTTAATGTTGAGTTGATGTTGAGTTAATGTTGAGTTAATTTCAAGTTAATGTTAAGAAACTGTTAAATTTATGTTAAGTTGATGTTGAGTGGATGTTAAGTTGATGTTAAGTTAATGTTGAGTTAATGTTAAGTTCATATTGAGTTAATGTTAAGTTAACGTTAAACTAATGATGTCATTTAAATATTGAAGTGAAATTGAATAATAATGATAATGATATCACCTTCATGTGATCGAATATAATCAGAAACATGATCCCTACTCTGGTCTCATAAACACTCATGACATATAATATAAATATTTGTGGTCGTAGCAAAAATAGTGTACAAAACTCGTTGGAAAGTGCATTTTCTGCGCTCGTTTTGTTTCCGCACACACTAGTTATATGAACTATTGTTCTATCACTTCCAGTTTTACTGGAAACGAACCCAACTTCTGATTTTTCAATGGGACACCCTGTATTGTATTCCATAATAGGTTAGGGATTGTCACAACGAATTCATCGATACCGGGTTTGATAGGGTTATTTCAAACGATTACGCAGATATTTGCGTTCGAAGTTTTCATATGCTCAATGGGTGTGACTTCGCCATATCAAAACTTCTTTCTCTGTCACACTCATTGTGCATATGGAAACTTAGAACGCGAATATCCCTATCAAACCGGGAATCGTTGAATTCATCATGATAATCCCTAACAGATTATGGAATACAATACAGGGTGTCCCATTTGAAAATCAGAAGTTGGGGTCGTTTCCGGTGAAACTGGAAGTGATGGAAGAAACATTGTTTCACCATGTTAGCATCTAGCAACTAGATGCGCTACTGCTCAGTGGAATGTGCTTAGATCAGAGCCTATGACAGACGTGTGTGAAGACTGGTTCATATAGTATTCGGCTGGCTGTCGAGTTGTGAGCAAGTGTAACCCTTGTCGATGTCATTTGTGCTCGTGTTTATTATATTATGACCACAATATAACACATCAGTTAATGGGCAATGTGGTATACTTGTCACCCACCAATTTTCAAAACCCTATCTAGAATAACTCAAAAGTTAGAATCCTGGCCGTTTTTTGTGCACTTCTCTGTATGTTATATTTAACCCGATAGTAATTGAAAATAATTGCTACCATAGTGACAATAGGTCCATATTTCAGTTTAACAGAACTATAATGATTGAAATATATTGTGAGTGGTGAAAAAAATGTAATAGATAAACCTTGGTAGTAAAGAATATTATTATACCACGGGACCTATAATAGCCCTCGTCTGAAGCCTCGGGATATAATCTTGTTTACAGGGTGATTTTTATATTCTCTTCACTACCTTGGTGTATAAATGACTATTACATAGTAGTTTCTTCGAATGAACAACCCATTGTTTAAAATCAACTAATTTCGTGGAAATCTTGGGTAGTTTTTACAATCATATTATACTTGAAATTTTCATGAAATGAAGATCGAGTCAATAAATGAAAATTATACAGTGTGCTTTCAGTTCAGAAAATATTGAATTTATTCCATAATTCACAAACACACTGTATGTACTCACATTCAGCTTTCTCCATGCAATCAGTCATCACGTTGCCACAAATATTTGTAGTGTTATGCCCTGAAAAAAATGTATCGATTTCTAGGAATTCACAATTGTTTTTACCAAGGCACAAAAGACAGTAGAGAGTAGTCTTCTGTACCGTGGTTTATTTATCTGTTTTTTATCACTAGCACATACTGTTAGTAGGCGAGAGGTATACCCAGCCAACCATCGTGCGACATCAACATCAATGTGATGTAACAACCTCACATAAATGCAATATCTGGTTGACACATCTAATCGACGTAAAAGTCGTAGAAACTTCATAGCACATATCAGCTTCAAATTATACAATTAATTAGGAACGATGGTAATAAGTGTATTTGATATGTATTATTTATGTATGATGTATATTTGTATTGCTATGTGTTATGTTTTACTTCAGGATTACTTATTGAGGTGATTGTCATAATAAGTTTCGTATCATCTGTTTATTTCGGAAAATAAAGAGGTTTCCTCCGTAAAGTTGAATTATTTAATTATCTATTCCACAAATATCACATGCACGTACCAATAATCGATGTCGCAGTGTGACGTATTTGTAATATAGAATGTACACTTGTATATCACCTGTTGGTGATTTTCTATGTGATGTCGCATTTCATGTCTGAACGACGTCACAATGATGTTCCTTGAGTCAGACATTTTCACATCGCCACGTTGTATCGGTAACATATTTGCGACTTCAAATGCGATATCGCACGTCACAAAGTGATGTCGCTTTTACATCATTTATACATTTCATGGGTTGCTGGGTAATATTGTCTGTTCATTGTCCCATAAGTTTCCTGTGCTAGTTCACTGGAAATATCCAGAGTTCATTTGTATCAATAGAATTTTTGTCTAAATTGACAACTTTGGGTTGAGATTTTCAAAACGTCCCCTCAGACAAATCACAATTTCAATTTGATTGATTTGGTTTGTTGTTTGATTGACTTTAGTGTTCCATTTTGCACTTCTACAATAGGAAGCGGTATGTGAATTCTTTAACACTCCTTTTTGAACGATTACGTGAATCTAAGTCAACATGCAATGACTTCCAACGGAATCAGGTAAGGTTTTATTTCCAATATACAAGGTGTCCCAGAACAAAGTACTATAAATTCTACAGGGTGAACATGCATTGGGGAGCTTTTTATGTTTTGATATCCATAATAGTGGGTTCTGCAATTACTCAAGTCATAGAACTCACAGACGACCACAAATCGATGCAGTTTCTTCCCAAATCTCTCGACTCAACACCCCTGAAGGGGTTAAATAAAGCAAAAGTTGAAAAATCCAGAATCTGAAATCAATTCATGAATGTTGATTCGATGTTATTCTAGATTGATCTATTTATAGGAATGGGTTCCTATATGAAGAGCTTCTTAATGCATAATAAATAGTAATTTCATTAAATTAGTGATGTCGAATATTTTTCTTGAGATTTTGTACAGACACTTTCAGAGGATGTCGATTCCAGTTATATCTTTATGCATTCTCCTTTCCTCATTTGTGTCAGTACTCAAAATGTTCAAACATGAGAAATTTTTGATTTCGAACTTGACAGAAAAGTGGATCTCGACTAGAATTTGAGAATTTTTTAGGGTTAGCATAACAAATCAATGACTTCTTCCAGAAAGCTCACTAGCTCACTGAAAATGTGGTCAATGAGGGCGATTTTCGCATTTTTTTAATGAACAGAAAATATTATACCTCGCCTAATAACTACGTTTTCATCTATAATGTCAATGGTTATTCGACCTTAATTGTTCACAAATAGTTAATCTTATCAAGTTGATATTGTAAATCGTTGAAAGCTGTCAGATAGAGAACATTTCGAACGAAAATCATACTCAAAGCATTTCAAAGGCGATAGAGCAATGAAAGAAATAATATGTTCAATCAAATTTTCCAAATAATCTTACTTGGCATGAAATAATTCACACAATTACACATTTCCAGCGTTTGATTCGTTAAACATTCCAATTGGCAATTTTCCGGGGTATATATTTCGAAATATTTCAGAAATCTCTCATCAGTGAAGTAACATTTGCGGTCCTTGGTTTTATAGTTTTTCACTTCTTTCGATGTCGTCATCATGCCCGGTTTTACTATGGCCTGAACTGCCGTGTCAAGAGGTACGGAAAAAAAGTTCTTCTTCAGTTGTGGTATCGTATGAGGTGAGTGGAGAAGTACCTGGAAAATAATAAACCAATTTCCATCGGTTTTCCATCATTGATATGCAACTCTAATATACTTTTGAGTGTTTATTTCTACTTCTTGGTTGCGAGAATTGTAATCCTTCTTCCTCTTAGGAATACTCCCCTGCGCAATGAACTCCAAAATGAAATTTCAGTTTTTGTTTTCTTCGAATATACACTCATTGCAACAAATGATTCGAGTATGTTAGTAATGGAGTGAAGTGTAGTATTGCTTTTGTTCTTTGACGATGTTCGTTCACGTCACACTTATACTTGGATTCCAAAGAGTTCGGTAAGGGATAACGCAAATCCGAATATTATAATTATTCTATATTTATATACTCCGAATTTGTCATGTTGTTATGGACATGGTTTAGTTATACAGAGCTAAATATTTCTAAAGTATGTAACTCACCGAAAAGCCTTTTGTATCTTGCAAACAGAGATAATCAGTTTCTAAGGTTCCTTGTAACAAATAAATCTCCAATGCATTATCAGCCCCTGACAGCAAAGCCCTTCTAGGATAAACATTTTGTCCAGTACCTTTGGGGTATCCGTCATTGATAGTCCAATTGGTATGATCCATATTCTGGAGATAATCCGAATAATAATACCTGAAGAAAAAAGTCGAGAGTCACTCATATATTGAAATGGCGAATTGTAGTTTTCATTATCGATCCCTCTTAAATATATACCTCTGGACTAGGCGAGAAATTGTGTAATGGCTGTCATTTTGAATATCGAAATGTGCCATAAGAAAACGAACATTTATGTTGGTATACTAGCGTTCATTTGATTGACCACAATTTAAACATTGAAGAATATACTACATATACTTGATGAAACAAAATTATAACAATACTTCTTCATGTTATACTTCAATGTAGGGATATGATTAAAAACTCACACATCGTCTTTGTAGATGTCTTCCTTATTCAGCATATTGAAAGTATAACAGATACCTTCATCTACTACGATAGGAACGAACAAATCCCGGCAGTCTTCATCCTTTCCCATAAACCGGCACACAGCAAATACGTCACTGAAGGACGGGTTCAACTGAAAATATTTCCAAAATAAATACCTCTCTATTAGTTAGTTTATCCAAAAGAACAACAGTCCTTGACCAACAAAAGAATGTCTTGTAATTTCTTGTACGAGTTCGTTTTGCCCAATCATCTGTCCATGATCAATCAGAGAAATTTTAGCTAATATGGCGATGAATTCGAAATTTTTTGCTATTCTAGTTTTTGCATAGTTGTCAGTGAGATTTAAACTGATGTGAATAAAATAAATCAACTCAAAGTTTTAGTTTCAATTAATCCTAGAATTCATAAAAAATAGTTGAATCGTATACTTACGTAATCCAGTGAATCAAAAAAATCATCTGTGAATGTTTTGTTAGGAGGCAGCAAATCCATGTATGAATCATCGAGGGTGTTGCAGAGCAAAGAGAAATACTGGGTATAGCGCATACTGAAACATTTTTAGATTAATTCGAGTCTTACTTTCATCAATTTCTGATATAAAAATCGAACGCCAAACACCAAAAAGTAGCCAATAGTTTAGGATACATTCTCGTCAAAACTACTAGTACTAAACTGGGCGTCAAATTGAAACGTTAATAGTGAAATTTGGCATCAAGTTTGACTTCTCGTAATTTCTGAAATATTGAACGAATTTTGAATTGCCGACCAGATTCTGAATGCCTTTTTCATCGTCTTCCGAACCATTCCTTACAGCTCCTTCTGAGTTGATCAGGACCCGTGATACAGGGTGAAACAGAGTTTCGTGCATTTTGAAAAAAATTTCTCCGCCCCCCCATTTTGTCGGAAGACCACGATGCTCATATTTTATTCAGGCATTTCATAAATAGCAACCATACCTCAGGAAATTTTCGAGTTTTTGCCAAAAACTACTGTGGTTTCCGAAAAAATTTTTTTTTTGTATTTTTTTAAATAGACAAATTTTAGAGGAGTTCCATAAATGGATGCTATTATGCATTTCAGGAAAGCGTTGGAGCAGATATGTATACCAGGTTACTCAAAAACAATCAATAATTTATTACTTTGCAGTCTATGATAAAAGTTTTCTACCTTAGGGAGCAGTAAATCAACACATCTCATCAACAAAAACAAACAACGATACCTTGTTTCTATAACAACGTATTGTTGAAACAATCTAGATATGCATAGAGGTTATATCAATTGCCAATTTTCATGAAAACGTCAGTGTAATTCGGGTCCTAAAGAATTTAAAGAGGCCTCGTTCAAATCGGGTCGAAATGGAAAATCATTAGGTAAGATCACTATAGTGATATAAACTATAATTCAGTACAGATAATTATTATTTCAGGCTACGCGACGATTAGGATATACCCAAACTCATTAAAGTACAATTTTCAATAAGTCAGTCATGACAATAAATAGACTGATTCATCGTTTTGAGGATACAGGTGATCAGTCCATTTAAAAAAATCCAAAAAAAAAATTATTTTTTTTTTCGGAAACCACAGTAGTTTTTGGCAAAAACACGAAATTGTCCCGAGGTATGGTTGCTATTCATGAAATGCCTGAATAAAATATGAGCATCGTGGTCTTCCGACAAAATGGGGGGGCGGAGAAATTTTCTTCAAAATGCACGAAACTTTGTTTCACCCTGTATCACGGGTCCTGATCAATTCAGAAGAAGCTGTAAGGAATGGTTCGGAAGACGATGAAAAAGGAATTCAGAATCTGGGCGGCAATTCAAAATTCGTTCAATATTTTAGAAATCACGAGAAGTCAAACTTGATGCCAAATTTCACTATTAACGTTTCAATTGACGTCTAGTTTATTTGGACATTTTTTGTTTTGAATGACATGTTATCTTCTTCTGAACATTGATGTGCAAACTGTAGTCGCATAACAGCCTATTTTTTATACATAGCATAGCAATAAAAATTTAGCCTTATGTTTATTCAACATTTCTTTTTTGGATTCACTCCATTCACGCCGTGCGTTTTCCAAACTACTCGAGCTACATTCCTCTTCTAATCGTGCCCCAAGAATGTCCCAGAGATTCTCAATGGGATTCGAATCCGGGCTACGAGCTGACCATGCCGACTTCCTCTAAATAATTTCTGAGAACACTTGCGACGTGAGGCTTGGCATTATCTTGCATCAACAAAAATCCTTTTTTATAATTATTTTCCTTTAAACGACAAAAGTACATTGTGTGTAGGAATAGTCAGTCTCCTAAAAGAATACATTACAAAGTTATATGTCGTATGAAAACAGTGAAATAAAAACTATCCAGTATGCTGGACAGTTCTGACTGAATAAAATTCATCAAAGGAATGACCAAATCGCACGAGTAGTTTTGACGAAAAAGTATCTCCATCTTTTGGATACTTTTTGGTGGTTCGTTAATATTTTGGGGAATTGTATTTATATTTCTATATCAACTAAACACTTTACCGTGCCCAAATAAAAATACCTCGTTTACGACTTCAACACAAAACGATCACTACGTGAATTTTTATAGATAAGAATCCGTAATATGATCCAATATACCCAATTTAAAATAGGCACCCCATCAAATTTCATGTGAATCCTTAAGGATATGTATGTATATCGTTATGACCTTATACTGTGCCCGTCTATAGTCCGTTCCCCCCTACTAATTTTGGAACCACCTGGTATAACGCAACGAAACTGGGAGGTCTCAAAGATAAAAACCTAATTTTTCATGGCAAAATCTCAACTCAAAGTTGTAAAATGGTGGCTTAACGCCATCTCAAGTATATTTTTTTTAATCGAACACCCAATAAATGTTCTCATAATTCTCGATATAGTCATCTGATACACTTTAACTTTACTCCGGAATTCAATGGTTCTAAAAATATCAACGTTTGAAAAGTTGTCCATTCTGGTAATTCATAATCAAACCAAGAACTCGTGTGTGTTCAATAGATATAATTCAATGTACGTCGTGGCATATAGCCAGGAAAGTAGTTGTTTTCTGTTGAATAGACCGAGGAAAAATTGATATTTTCATCACATGGAGAATATGAATTCTCAATGTATCTCTTCATAAATATATTCATTTCTCTATGTTCATTATTATATCTGAGAATATTTCTTTTCAATTGCTCGAATCTTACCTTCAAAATTTTAGAAAAAAAGTTAGATTTGGAAAAAAATTCTTGACGCGGTGAGGTCTTGATCTTTGATTGATTGAAAGCAACATTTGAGTTCCTAGTTAGGTTCGAAATATCACTTTTCAAACTAATATTTCAAAAACTATTGAATTTAGGAGTAGATCGTATTACATGAAAGTGTTCCGAATACGAGAAGATTTCGAAAGAATTGATTGAAACACGTGATGTTTCATTTAAAAAAATTATTCAAGATGGCGCTCAATCACCATTATAATACTTGAGCTGTCGTTTTTCCATGAGGAATTTAGTTTTCTTCTCCTATTAGAGCTCTCTGAATTTTGTTGCGATATACCAGGCAGACGGGCACAGTATATTGAAGATTTTCGCTCATACCGATTTGAATTTCAATGGGAGAGACCACTGATTTTCAATATGATATCATCGTGAGCTCTAGAGCAAGAAACTACCAGTTAATATAAATTAGAATTTTCACATGCATATTTTATGTAACGATAAAATAGTACATTATTCATCAAGGGACAGAAATGTATGATTTCGCGGTAAAATTACATTTTCCAAGCTAAATTGCGTGCGGGTATACACAAAAAAAAAATTTGTTCGAAACTACAAAATTTTTGTAAATTCAACAAAATCTGAGTGTCATATATCCACGACAAAATATTTTGTCACCGCAACAAATGTTTTTTGTCAGTTTTCAATTCAAAATTCATTTGATGTAACTCATTAATGATTCAAATTAGCAGCAGGAATTGGTTAAATGAACAAAGACTATTTTGTTCCTATCATACAATATCCTGATCTTATGAACAGTTCAGTTGATTGAAATGATTACATCATTTCATTCAAGTGACAGAATTTTCAGTTTTTCAGAGAGTGAATATGTTAAAATAACAATATTTTTTCTTCGATGAACCAAATTGTATTTAGAATTGACAAAATATTTTGCTGAATAATATAAAAAAATTCAATAACTGAATTTCGAAACTAACAGAAATTAGGGATCGATTTCCTCAGTTGATCCAAGACTATTAACTTGTATAAGCGTCATAAGAAAGTCTAGAACAGCCTAATATATGTACACCCCAATTGAGGCGAGCATAGGAAGGTTGAAGAAACGCCACCTGGTGGCCAAAATGCAACTAGATAATCATTCAACAGAATATTTGTTTGATATAATGTATTTGTAGGTTCTGTTCAACAAAGTAATTTGTTTGAAATAACAACATATTTCTTGATAGTGATGTGTTGAATCAACAAAATATAATGTTGTCATAATCAATTCAATTTTGTCGGATAGAAAAAAACATTCGATTGGTTGCACAATGAAATGATTGTTGACTCAACAAAATATGATGTTGTATTTAGTTAAATAGACAAAATGCATATGATTGATTGAACAATGGGATGATAGTTGGATCAACAAATTGTGTTTTATGTCAACTATGAATGTTGTTGAATGAAATGAAACTTAAACATATTATTTTGTCTCTTTGAATAAGTTGCTTATTTGGAATGAACATATATTTTGTTAATTTCGCAAAATTGTGTTTAATTTAACAAAGAAAAAATGACCAAAATTATTTTGTTGGTGCAACAAAACTTTTTTTTTCGTATATGGTGAATCACGCACGCTTGTAAAAAAACAACTTACTCTTCATCTGTGATGTTTTTATTATCATACAGTCGGTGAATAGCACCAGTAAAGTTGAAATATTTTTTCACTGTCTTGACTGTCGGACAAATAGTGACAGCAGGAAATGGAATCGTGAATATATGTGACTCCCTGGTTGCCAAATTAACTATAAATGGGTTTTCTATGTATTTGTTGTATATTTCCACGACGTAGTAAATCGATAGTACTATGGATAGCAATATTATTAGGAACCATAGAATCCTGAAACAAAAATTGATTGTCTTTATTATCCTAAGGAACAATGGAGATATCGATATGTTCTCTGAGTCGATAAGACAATATTCTACGCGTTTGTCCAATATTTTTCCGTTTCTGCACTACATTCTTTCAGCTATTGGTTTATTGATCTCACCCTGTATTATCATGCAATGCAAAATGCATCGTTAGGCTAGATCGTTATTTCGGCACGCTCTGATTTCATTATTCCTGTTTGACCGAAGCATCCAAGCCCTAAATTGCATGCAGTAGCTATTTTCAGTATGATGGAGTGGGAGGCAATTATTTCAGTTTGAAATTGTAAACAATATTTTTAGACTTAGGAATGATTATATCGCCTATAATTACGTATTGATCTAAATATCTCTGAATCGAACCGAATCTTCGAAATTCTACGAAAGGCACTAGAAATATTCAGTATTGATTGAAAATCACGTCAAATTATTTGGGGGTCACTTGGTGTATTTGTAAATAAATGTTTGTAATTCATCCTCTATTGAAGTGACGGTGGTGTTTAGTAGTTTCAGACTATGAAAATCCAGTTAAAGTTACATTTTTCAAAAGTTGCATTTGAGTCTTTGGACAATTTTGGAAATCATTGGAAGTTCATTTTTCCAGATTTTTTGGGATTTTCTCTCCTCTCCTTCCAAAAAATTTGGAATAATGAATGTACCACCTCCTCGAATAACCTACAGACAGTATATCATTGGAAATATTTGAAAATCTTTATTGGGCATCACTGAGTCTTTCATTGATAATATCCTGAAAACAATGAAAGTTGAAGAGTAAATCAGAGTCATGAAAAGTCTGTGAGTCACTGTGAATCTTTGGAAATTCGAAAACTGAAAACTGAAAGTTGGTGGAAGCTTGTAAAAATCTCTGGATGCAACCCAAAGCCTTCGAAAGTCACTGAAAATCTTTGAAATAATCATGAAGCAGTGGGATATTACGTTGAATCCTTGGAAGCAACTTAAATATTCTGGATATCACTAGAAGTTCTTGAAAGTGACTGGAAATCTTACGACATCCTTGAAATTCAGTGGAAATCATTGAATAACTATGTGGAAGTCAATGCAGGTCTTTGGGAGCCACAATTTTTTTTATCGCTAGGAGCGCACGAAAGGAAATCCCTATAATGTTCAAAGAACATCGTGCGTTCCCAGGGAGGATTGGGACAGGAGGTAGGCATTGGAATTTTTTTTGAATTTCTGGAGATTATATGTTGTTGGGAATACTTCCTCAGGCAATGAATTCCAGAGCCTAGCCGTTCTATGGATGAAGTAGTTTTGATAAAGTGCTGTTCGACATCTTTCGAGGTTGACAACGAAAGGATGTGCTGACTGGGCTTGTCTAGTTCGTCTGACTGGTATTGCTAGTGAAGGGATGATAGCAGAGATTTCCGAAGCACATTTCCCGTGGAAGTATCGATAGAAGAGTGCAAGGTCGCCGACCTTTCTACGGTGTTCCAATGATGTCAAAGAGTGAGAGAGTGTGGCGTCACCCACCAGGCGGATGGCTCTTCTCTGGATGGAATCTTAGAGCATCAGCGTATGTTTTGGTGCTGAACCCCATAGGTGGGAACAGTATTCTAGAACACGCCGTATCTGCGCTTTGTAGATCATGAGAAGCTGTTGAGGTGTAAAGTAGCTTTCCGCACGGAACAAGAATGCGAGTTTATGTGAAGCAGCTTTTGCGATGAATATGACATGATTATCCCATGAAAGAGTGTTGCTGATGGAAATACCGAGCATAGATATGGTGGGCTTAGGGGAGATGGTGGTGCCAGACATTACAATGTCTTTGAATGTCCCTGTAATTCTTTGTGTATCCTATGAAGGTACTAAAAGTCCAAAAAATTTTCAAACAGTCTTCAAATTTCAGAAAATCTTTGATGATATATCGAAGTTGCACTCAATTCGCCAAAAAAACTTATTTGAATGGATAAAAAATTCAAATGTTGAGTGAATCTACTCATACAACAGGCCAGTAATTGTTCATCTTGTGGATCACACGAAAGGGAAATCCTATTATGTTCGGCAAATGGTTGATATTTTGCTACCTCTGTTTTGGTATGTTTACTACCGTTCCATAGGAGAAATAATGATTGGTTTCTCCAATTTCCAAGAATCTAAATTGATGAGTTTCAATTTCAATGCTGGTGATAGAAAACATTTGTTGGCTCGTTAAAAATGGTTTATTTATCCACAATTTCCGTGTTTATAAATGGCCAATTATAGTTTTAATAAGGATACATATATGATACGAACCGAATTATATTTCAGAACTCTATTTATTTGGGTCAGCCACTGTTGTTTCGAAAAAAAAAAAAACGAGCAAAATCATTTTCGAATTGGTATTTCGAATCCAAACAAATATTCGCATGTGTTTGTCTTCGTACCCCGTCCGTTGATTGAAATTAGAACAATGTCATCTATCGGCGAATATTATTGGCGCCAGACTGTCTGTCCACATTCTTCTTCTTTTTCTAAAATCGTTAGTAGAGTTTATGAAAGAACGCGAGATTTCAGTTTCAATGCTGAAACATCGAAAATTCGTGTTGGACAATATACAGGGTGTTTCATTACTAATTGTAAATATTTCAGCTATGAAATCCACAGCTCAAAATATGAAGATTTTATGAATATCACTTATATGGAATGTATCTCCTGTCTATTACAGAGTTTGTTAATATGGATCGAAGTTTCATTTGCGTAATGAATGCGATTCAATGATCCAAAACATCGACCTAATTTATACACATGCAACATAATTGTGCAGCTTCATGTTCCTTGAAATATCTCGAAAAATAATGAACTATTTCCAATCAGTAATTAATAAACACCCTGTATTTCGTAGAAAACATTCAATGACCAGGACAAATAGCCGACTATAATTCTCATCATAATATCATTTAATCATCTCAAAACACCATTGAAGTAATTGATAATTTCCATAGTCCAGTGATATTCAAAGAGATTATTCACTGAATGATATCACTGACTGTTCTTTTCATGTACCTCACCCTGAATATTTATCGATCAACTCAATTATTCGAGCGTTGCATTTACTGTGGAAATTTTGACATATTCTTGAAAGCCTATCACGAATCAAGATAGTATGTTAGATTGACCATCACGCTAGCTCAGATTACTGCTAAATGGAAGTATGTGAATAATCTCATAGATGAACAAAAACGTTATACCAAGTGTCTCCTATCAAATAACTGGTAATTCTATTTTTTCACATTGTAAGGTTCACCTTGTATATTTAGGATTGGCTAGAAATAAATGCACCTTCAAAAAATAAAATCAAGGCACCTATCAGAGATTTTTTTCGGAAATATTGGGAATAGACTTTTTTTCATGCTTTATCTACACACTGTACATATTAGTTAGTTACTTATGATATACTGAGTGCGCCAACGAAAACGAAACAGAGTGAATAACTTCCGGGATAATGTTTATTTGAAAAAACGCTGGAATAGGTCCATTTTCAATTCATGAGGGACAGAAAAAACGAAACGAAATGAAAGAATAATTTTTTGTCAAAAAACAAATATTTTGGAAGATATTGAGCTTCAAAGTTTGCCAGAAACTTTTGTGAATCATTGATCAGAGCTCAATAGCCAACCCAAGCGTTTGCTTTCGGCGAGATTACAAGCACCGGAAGTATCAATAACTTTTGCAATGTTCCCAAACGTTCAATAATAGTTGGAAAATGTAGTATGGTGGAGGCGCACATTTTTTGAAAAATGTTCAAAACATTTTTTCTTGTGCATTATCATGTCATAAAACAACTTATTCATCGCTCCGATTTCGGAAACACCATGTATACCGATTTCTCCATTAAATTATACCTTTTCGTTGATGTGCCGTACATGATATTATCTCGGATATTTTCTTCCCTATTTGATTTCTATTGGTCAGCCAAGTGGGGAGAAGAGGAATGACATAGGACAGATGAAAGTCGAATAAAAAGAAGCCCCATAAATCAAAAATCAACCCATTTCAGCGGTTTTTTTTTTCTAGTTAAACATTTTTCAGGAAATTATTCAGTCTATACCGTTTTTGTTGGCCCACTCAGTATAATGAGCACCTGATTAGAAGTTAATTACCGAGTGATGTCATATCTATGAATATCAACTAGAAAAAGAGGCAGTATTGGCAAGGGAACGGGTAATTCAATACTCCATACTTTAATGAATTATTTTGAAGTATGTAGGAACATTAAAATACAGGGTCGTTTATCATCGCACATTTCAAACGAATAAAACGATGAAATAACTCAATTCCTAGTTCTGAGGAGGGGATCAATTCTAAATATTCCGTTCGGAAATTAAAACGTGAAATTTGATTTTTTGTATAGGTCGACGAAAAAGTTATACACGGAATAAAAGGAATTGTTGAATCAAGCAAAATTTGATTGAATGAAGCAAATAAAAGTGTCATATATGCACGACAAAATATAATCTTAAAATGAGTAAATCTATATCTTGTTTCAGAGCGAATTTGAAGTTTGAATTGAGTAAATATGTCTTGAACGAACTCTGGATCTTATTCAATCAAGCACATCCATGAATTGTTCATGAAGAGATATTGAATTGGCTCAAACAATCATTTTGTTCGATTCGAAATAACAAGATATTGATTCAATCAAATATTTAGTTGATTCAATGAAATATTTGGTTGATTCGAAGAAATATTTGGTTGATTCAATGAAATATTTGGTTAATTCAATGAAATATTTTGTTGATTTAATGAAATATTTCGTTGATTCAAGAAAGATTGTATTTTCATTCGACAAATTGTTCTGTTGAATCAAATTCAGTATTAATTCGGGAGTTTTCTGAAATTTCACATCAGAAGAATAAACTAAACTAGGAAACTAGTCGACTTCTAGCATAGATCTCCAGTCTTTACTTCCCTTCAGCTGATGCAAAAGTATTTCGGATTGCTAATCATCCTAAGTTCGATTTATCCAGCTGATATTTCAAAGACGAAGAATCCGGCCTCACGTATATGATGAATTCGAGGCATGCATAGACGAGGCGAAATGATCGCCATCTAGAGGCGAAAATGTAAGTTGATGTAGAATGAACAAAATATTTCATTAATATTACATATTTCGTTGCTCTATTCAAGCAGATGATCTGTTCGAAACGAGTTCATTGCTACATCGGAGTAGGAAAACTTGTATGCTGTTTCAAAGATATATTCTCATCAAAATGATCATCATCTCATCAAATCAACAAAATGTTCATAGTTGAATCAACATCGACATCATTTTGGATCGACATAATTTGTTCTTGAGAAAACCATATATTTTGTTGATGGAATTGATATTATACTGTTGATTCAATTAGACTACATTCTTGATTTGAACAAGCTGCTTCCATGAAATGATCATGTATCTGGTTGATTCAACAAGAAACGGCTCAGTCCAACAGAAATAATTTAAGCATAACTAATTTGTTGAAACAACAAATCCTTTTTTCCGTGTATGTTTGAAAGTTCTCCCGGTATTTTATTAACTCTTCAATGAAAGGGTGGTATTACATTACTTCACCATCTAATCATTATTGACTGTAGGAAGATGATTCATCAATATTTATCATAATTCTAGCTCGCCCATTTCTCTACTCTACTTTACTATACCCATTATTTTTTCGTGATTATGGCGTTGAAACATTCATGCACTGGGTGATAAGAAAAAGTCCCTATAGTAAAATGTAGGTTTATACATGATAATAAAGTCATTTTCATAAACATAAGTGCGTTGAAATATTCAAGTGACGCATTTCTGAGACAATTTCAAGAAAATGGTACCCAGAGTTCTTTGACGTGGAAAATCATATTTTCATATCAATGTAAAATCTTGAGGGCGCTGTGTACGCTGTCATCATTTATTTCAAATTGCCGTTATATTCTCGAAAGTGAACTTTTGGTACTTTTCATGAAAAATCGTATTACCACACCTTAGTACCTAAGTAAAAAAGGTTTACTTCCCCAACAACTCTAGAGGTGATCGTTTTCGAGATATTCACAATTTTCCATGTCTATGTATGTTACTTAGCTCCTAGTTGCTGAGAACATTACAAAAACTAAGTATGTGGTGGGTTTCGTCAAAAAAAGCTCCTTTGTTCCTATGAAGTCCGTGTCCAAATTTTGGTGAAAATATCTGCACTTACAAATAACTTATGACGAATATATCCCTCTTATATAAAATGTCCCATGAGAGCAATCCAATTATCGAAAAATTACAGCGGTAACTGCACTGCAGGGCGAATATCGCACTGCGAAAGCATCAAGTCGTTATAACAACACTATGTGGCTAGACGCCAGTAAAACAAATAAGTCAGATATTCTTCAAAAATTGTTTGTTGAAATAAAAAAAAATGGCTGCTCCAAGATGGCGGACAAGATTTGGTCCGATTCCATTCAAAATTGGTAAGTGGGGGTTTTTGAGGTCGGAGATCATGATTTTTTTGTTAAAATTCATAAATTCAAGATGGCGGCTTCGAATATTTTTTTGTTTTTGTATAAATGACGATAACTCCGTTGTTATCAACACAAAACTATTACTGCGACATATCATCTGTTAGAGAAAAAAAAGTAATTTGTAACTAAGTCATAGTGAGCTATGACCTACATTTGAAAAACTAAAGTTGGTGCTGATATCTCAAACTCTAGAAGAGTTGGTATAAATTCCATATTTTTTTCGGAATCACTTTGAAAAACTGCCATGAGAATGTGAAATTCCTATTTGAATATTTTCATAAATAAAGAAGTTACGGAGGAAACATGAAAATGATCAAAATCTGTTTTTTGCGTATAAAACAAAAACGAATAGATTTTATCAAAATATTTTTTCACATTATAGTTGGCCTTGACAAACTCCACATTTGGTGTCATTTAACCGACCTCGTATCTCTAACCGTTAAAAAGATACCCATGGTGAGCATGGTAAGTGGGACACACTGTATATTAAATGTGGAAGTTTCCAAAACTTCACCATGTATTGCTGCAGTAAGAGCGTCTACACTTCATTTTCTTTTAAGAAAACTGTACTTTATTGAATGTACACTCGTCTTCAGTGAACATGTGGCATTTGGACGGTATGAGCGTTCTTATTGCAGCCGTGATTGAGAGAATTGACACCGTCCATGTGCGACATGTTCTCTGAAGATGGCTGTACACCTACCTGGCGCCTACAGCCTGATTTAATGGAATTAGCGAACGTATTTCATTCATGAAGGTTAGATAAATGAGGTTATACAATGAGATTATTATTTAGTAAATACAAAGTCGAGGTCAGTCGAACATGTGGTAAACATAGACAAAGGTAGTTTCGTGTCTATGTCTAGACAAAAAACGGTGAACTGTGTAGATATCACGCAAAATACCTGCCTCTCTCCTCTAGATCTCTTTTCTCCCAAATATCTGAAACCAATGAGGCTAGATCCTTCACAATAATCCCGGAAATACCTCCGGAGTTTCTTTCCTATGCTAGGATTTTCGTGAGCGGTTTCACTGACGTTCCGTTCGCCGGTCAACGGTACGGCACTAGGGTTTTCCATTCGGTTTTTCATTTCCATTTTCACAAGGTTTTCCGCGATTTCGTGCACTACTCTCCGGCATCACTGGAATTGTGAATCGCGTCGGCACATTTTGCTTATGCATTCTGTCGATGCGCTATACGTGTCTGAAAGTTGTTGCTAGATGGCCATACCTTCTTCGCGTTTAGTACAGGGTGTCTCAGATTAGAGCCTCGTCAGTGGGATCTCGGGAAGTGGAAGATATGAAAATGAGAAATTGAAGCTTAAATACTGTCTGTAGATTAATCGAGGAGGTGGTACATTCATATTATCAATAGAATGGAGAGATTTTGTATTTCGTGTAAAATTTATTGTAATATAATATATTATGTTGTGATAATATTATACACGAGATACAAAATCTCTTCATTCATATTATTCCAGATTTTTTTTGTGATTTTCTCTCCTCGTCTCTATAAAATAAAAATATGAATACTATTTCAATATACGTGTAGTGAGGACAAATCAGATGATTTGCGCCAAAATGTCACTGCGTTTAAAGAATTTTCCTATCAGAGAGCCTAAAAGAAAAATTCACTAGCTTGTCAGTGACAATTTGTATTGATAATAAATAAGAATATATCTGACTGAGATTATCAATATATGTTTTCTTATTCATAGAATATTATTCATCATTAATCTCAACGATCTCTAAAAACAGTCTTTTTGTTAAATTTTTTTCTGAATGCAAAATTTTGGTTTCCTCGAATTTCATATGATGATCATTAGTGATGACGTGTTCAGCGAGTCCACAATTACTTGCAATCGCTTTTATTGCCAAATATCCTAGATTTGAGATTCTGAGTAGTTTGACAAATATATTTAAGATTACAGTCATTACAAGGAATGCAATGAGCACTTTTTATATTGGAATCTAGTTTGAAAATGTTGATAATTCTGGAGAAACTTCTTTAATATATGGTATTGAACCAAAAATGAGAATTATTAAACCGATCAAATCAATATATACAAATCTCAAACAAGATAATCTTAATGAATTCAATGAATTATTCCTTTGGTAGACCAGGTGTGACAATACGACATACATAATACGAATGTTCCGGTGTTTTTTTTTTGTATCAGGTATCAAAAAATTATTTACATCAGTGGTGTGGGTACTCAGTGATTCGCTCCTGAAAAATCAACAATATCTTATACGTAATCGTAATGATCCTTTGTGCAGTTCTCTGATACAAATACAGGGTGTTTCAAAAAAACCTGACCCCCTAACTAGGGTAGGTAGAACACTGCAAAATAAGTTTGGTTTGCTCAGTGAAAAAATGTCGTAACGGCATCCGATTTCATGATAGAAGGTGTTGAAAATATATTATTTTACACATATTTCACGATTGCTGGTAACATTGTGATGAAATTTTGTATGGATGTGTTTTGAAAGCTGACACATCGCATGAATTTGTTTTTATATCTGACTAGTTACACGGTTCGTACCGAGTAGTTTAGAACATAACTTTTTTGAGGTTAGATTTTTCAATCCGAATATGATATGAACTTGAACATCATTCAATTTCACACCAAAAAGTTACTCTTGGTGAAACTCGATACTATGTTCCGTTTTTGGAATATTTCGATTTGTAAATAATGGAGTAGTAATGATGCTGGCATAAAATAAATTTAATTGAGTTCAATTACCTATTTATTCAGATTCAAAAACGATGAAATTATTCTTGTGCTGAAGTTATTTATGGAACAAAGAATCATAAGTAGAAAATTGAGTGATAGTTGACTAGAAACATGAAATATTGAATCAGTTAGAGTAAGTTTTCAAAATGTCCAACGTGTCGACGAATACTCGATTCTATATCCTTTTCTCAAGAATGTATTATTCTTCTAAACAGTTGAGGATCAGCTGTTAGGTCATTTAAGTGATGTTCAATTATGTCTCACAACTCTTGACGTGAATTTACCTATGTAGCATAGACTTTCTGCTCAAGATACAACAAAACTGTGTAATCCATGTTCTTAGTCAAATCTGTTACGATGTTTTTCTTGTGATTCATTGTTAAATCAATGAGTTCAGCATCATAAATGTATTGTTTTTGGTTTTCAATGAATTGGTGATAATTTTTCATAATACTCATTCTAATACATAGCTTCATACCAGCAACAGTTATCACTTCATCATTTTCAAATCGAAATATTCCGAAAACGGAACACAGTATCGAGTTTAACCAAGAGTTGGTACCTTTTTGGTGTGAAATTGAATAATGTTCAAGTTCACATCAAATTTTGATTGAAAAATCTAACCTCAAAATAGTTATATTCAAAACTACTCGGTACGAACCGTGTAACTAGCGCCCTCTATGAGAGTCAGATATAAAAACAAATGCATGCGATGTGCCAAAATTTCATCACAATGTTGCCAGTAGTTTCGACATAATCTTGAAAAATGTGTACAAAATAATTGTTTCAACACCTCGTATCTTGATAACGGATGCAGTTACGAAATTTTTTCACAACTTATTTTGCAGTGTTCTATCTACCCTAGTGAGGGGGTCAGGTTTTTTTTAAACACCCTGTAGATCGGATTTTGAAGTTTGATGGATAGCAAGTACTTATACCAAAATTTCTTTTTATTTACAAAAAATATACATGTTCAATCTCAATTATACTTCGTTATTTTTTGGTTCGATAACAAATCAATTCGATATTATTATTTAAGTAGTCACGTGGCCTAGGGATCTGAAGCACAGCGTTCCAAGCGGCTGGTCAGGGTTCAATCCCGGGCTGTGCAATATTTTTCCACTCATTGATCACTTTCCTTCGTTGGTTTAAGAGCTGTGTTTGTGGAGTGAATCTTGATCTAGCTTTCCAATATGTCATTGTGCAGTTGGTAATTACACCAGAGACGAACGGAGATGTAGTAAATTATTTCAACGACGGATAATAACGCGAATCCGTTGAACAGTCCAAGAATACCACCAATATTGGACATCAAGTCGAAGAATCCGTACAGTTCTGTCCTTTCCATCTGAAGGAACATGTCTGAGCTGAAGTATATGCTCAGCTTCGAAAGATGCCTGAAAATCGAAACGAATACATCAATCAATACATCAGAGTTTTCTGGATGCGCCAAAAATCGGACAAAATATCGGGCAACCCTGAGACGGTTCAAGGTTCGTTAATCGAATAGATCCATGAGATAAATTAGGATCATAATAGAATTTTTTCTGTGACGGGAAAAAAGTTTGGCATTTCATCTCTGTTTGCAGGTTATAAAATGTCACTTTTCATAAATTACTTTTTTCCCGTGGGAAAATTAGTCAATAATACCGTCCCCGAGAAAGAACTGCAAGTCCTTTTATCTTCTATTCGAGTTCGCGGTTAGGTATATTACTAAAGAACCACTAAATTCGCAATTTTCTGAAATCAAATCACAGAATTAGACTGACAGAAGTGACATCAGATATTTGATTACTTCAAAAGAATGATAAAGATGCCTACAACGCAGGTGTCCCTACTGTTAAAAACTTAAAATTTCACGTCGATAATTTTCAGATTTCAAAGTAATGTAATATCTTCTCAAAATTGATTCGTACTTTCTTCTGTCACAGAAAAAAATATTGTATTACACACGGGAAAAATATTAGATTTTTGCTCACGGTTTTTTGTCTCCCTCCGCTACGCGTCGGGAGACAACACAACCTGGAGCTAAAATCTACTACTTTTTTCCCCTTGTATAATGAATAACTATTTTACGCCGGCGAGAGTAGATGTTAGTTTTCTGGTAACAAACGAGGGGCAGAAGTCTCGTATTATTCCCTAGGGAGATAATGTGATATATTTCCTCCCTAGGGAGTTTATACCAACTTCACATTCTCCGCATAGCTCTGCACTTTCTTTTCGGATCACCCTTCTCTGAAGCGAGTATAAGCTGCATCATGCAGATTTCTAGATCTCACTATTAGCAAGTTGAGAATCACTGCAGAAGCAGTATCAATAGTTTCTTGGAGTTTTCCCTCGATTTCTTGTTCCATAACCGTTAACCATTTTCAAAGCTGTTTTCATAAATTTCAGTGTGATATTTGCTGTCACCATGCATGGGTTGTTAACAAGATCCATGTTGTCAAGATACGAATTCCACAAACTATACTACTACTAATTATGACAAAACACTTTGACAACATTTTTATTCTCTTTTAATTTTTGTGTTTTCGCCAGCGTAAAAAATAGTATATACATATTTTCGTGGTTTCTTCAGACGAAATGTTCCTAAAACGACTCATTCTGTGAACCATACCCATCAATCAAACTTGACACGACAGAAATTGGAGTGAAATCAGGCGCGAATAGCTAATAGATCAAAGAAGCAGGCAGTTTATCAGTGATAAAAAGTGCATCCTTTTTTATCGTTGTCAAAATTACTCACGTCGTCGTCAAATAGCGTTTTCCGTGTAGGACAAACTCTGAAATCACGTTTCAGTGGCGCAATGCAGTGGACAATCAATAATGTTTGGAATTATTTGTTCGTATTCTGAGAAACTTACATTTTCTTATCCAATTCCAATGGTCCAAGGAGTTCCACCATAGTTTTCTCAGCTCGGAAAATGTCTCTCCATGGAAACGGAGTTCTCGACGTTTCAGCTTGATACGACAATGATGTACATATCGGCATGCAATTACAACCATTGGAAGTCTGGTAGTCCTCTGACAGCTGACTTTCTATTTCTCTCGTTTTCATTGAAACTGAAAGAACAAATTATCATATGTAATATCACAAGTGATACTATTTTGCTAGAAATATTCGGCGATTGTTACGACAGCAGTAGACTAGAAGTTTTAGAACAATGTCATGAGCGATATTTGCGTAGCAAGCTGGAGTATGTGAATCGACAGATATTTCTAAAAAAATAGTATCACGATTTGTATTCGTATGACTATTTCATGATAGAGACAATAATGAACGAGTGCCCCAGAAGAAAGAATCATAAAAACAGAAGTTATGTACTCCTCTTACTTCCTCCTTTCGTAGAAATCTTTCCAGTTTTGTTGTTTTCATATTCATTACTATATATTTTCATGAGGTAAAGGCCGAGTCAATTGAAAAAGTATATGTACTCACTTTCTGCTAACTTCATACAATCAGACATCGCATTGCCACATATGTCAGTAGTATTTTGCCCTGAAAAAATGAACCGATAGAAAGAAATTAACAACTATTTTCAATATTATAGTAATGATATACCAAGGCACAAAAGACATTTTTTCAACCGAGCGAGAGTGGTCTTCTGTACCGTGGTTTATTCATTATTTTTTCCATTACTAGCGCATACTTTCCTTATATATTGGTTTGGTTAATCTGAATTATTCACATGTTCTGTAAATAGTCAATGTAAATCAAACTCAGAACTTTTCTGAGATGATGAAGCTAGTAGTGGAAGAAGTATGTTTCATCAAGTTTTCCAAATTATCTTACTTGGCATGAAATAGTTCACACAATTACACATTTCCAGCGTGTGATTCGTTAAACATTCTAATTGGCAGTTTTCCGGAGTATATATCTCGAAATATTTCAGAAATCTCTCATCGGTGAAGTAGCATTTGCGGTCCATGGTTTTGTAGTTTTTCACTTCTTTCGACGTCGTCATCATACCCGGTTTCACTATGGCCCTAACTGACGTGTCTAGGGGTACGGAAAAGTAGTTTTTCTTCAGTTGTGGTATCGTTTGAGGGGTGTGAAGATGTACCTGGAAGATTCCAAACTAATAACTATTGGTTTTCGACATTGATATGCGTCTCCAATATCTTCTGGGTCACACAAATTGTATTTTTTATTATTTTTCTTGAAGTTCCGTGCGTACTCAGGATGGACACGGAGGAATAGTGGCTTCCGGGTAGATTTATTCATAATTTGAAAGACTTGCAAAAAATTTCAAAATGAATACTGAACAATACATGATTTGGGTTTATCAATATTGAAGTCAAGTGTACTATGATCTCAATTCTTTGTTCCTCGGCGATTTTCTTTTGAGTCAGACGTGTACCTCGATCCCTAAACGGTTGGTGAGAGATAACGCAAATTTAAATATGATGTTCACAATAACATGCGCTCACTGTTCATTTCCTTATTATTTCTTTTTTCATACTTGTAGTGTTATGGATTCATGTTTATTTATAATGAGCAAAATGTTGCCAAAGTTTGTACCTTACCGTATAGCCTTCTGTATCTTGTAAACAGAGATAATCAGTTTCCTGGGTTCTTTGTAACAAATAAATCTCCAATGCATTATCAGCTCCTGACAGCAAAGCCCTTCTTGGATAAACATTTTGTCCAGTACCTTTGGGGTATCCTTCATTGATAGTCCAGTTGGTATGATTTAGATTCTGGAGATAATCCGAATAATAATACCTGACGAAAACATAGAACTAGACTTAAGGATTTTTGATTTTGAGGAATAATGAATTTGATTTTGAATAACTCAGAAATAGAATCTTCGGAAAAAGTGAGCAGCCCATATATTGAAATGACGAAACATTAGTTTCATTATCAATCACTCTCTGAATATCAACATGTAGCCATAAGAGCACCAACACTTTTTTCATTGAAAATGCACCATAGTGAAAAATTTTGAAAGAATACATTTTTATATTTTACTTCAATGTAGGCATATTAATTAGAGACTCACACATTGTCTTTGTAAATATCTTCCCTATTCAGCATATTGAAAGTATAACAGATACCTTCATCTACTACCACAGGCACGAATAAATCCTCACATTCTACGTCATGTCCCATAAACTGGCAAATCGAAAATACTTCACTGAAGGAGGGTTTCAACTAGAAATATAACCAGAATAAGTAATTGAATGCATATTTTAGTTTCGATTGAACCTATGATTCATAAAAAATAAAGTGACATCGGATACTTACATAATCCAGAGAATCGAAAAAATCCTCAGTGAATGTTTTGTTTGGTGGCAACTTCTCTTTGTATGATTCATCGATGCTGTCGCAGACTAAGGAGAAATACTGAGTATAGCGCATACTGAAACATTTTTAGATTTATTTTATCGTTCCATCACTTCTGAATATATTTTACATTATTTCTATCAACGAAAATATCACCGTATACAAGCAAAATACCTTGTATATGAGTTGAACACAGCAAAAAGAGACCTATTGCATGATTTTAATGTACCAATTGAAATATCAATCTAAATTAGAATTAGCAAAAACACAATTTTGTGAATTCCAGTTGAATGTGCATATACAGTATCTTTCAAAAGTCTAATTTTTCTAAGATTCTATATATAGAATGGTTTTTGATGATGCCCAATTCAATGGTTATGTTAGCAAGTTTGCCAGATTTCCAACGAAAATGCCTTGTCATATTTCAGAAACCAAAATCTGATATTTGGAAACATAAGTATTATGAGGGTGAGCTGAATTTATTGCAATGACAATGAATAGTGTTCCATTTGAAAACATCGAGTTACCTTCAATATCTGAAAAACTGTTGATTAGTCAACATCGCCAATATTACCATTTAATTGGACATAATCGAAAACCGTTCTTTATGAAATTTCATGAAGTTTCTTCGAGTCGTTTCTGATATTTGGCTGTTCTCAGACTTTTATCTAAAGTATAGTGGTAACTATATGAATTTTTTGACAAAATGTGCTGTATTTCTTCTATTGCTGACGGAATTATCCGTTTTCCTGTGTTGCCAGCTGCTTTATTCTAAGGAAATATCAGGTAAATATTTCTCAATTTTTGAATTGATCAAACTGTGAACTGTATTCATTGATGCAGTGGCTGTCACCAATGTACAAGGTGACCAACTAAGAAAGGCTGCCATCAATCATTTTTCCAACTTTGATCGTCAATATCTTCCGTTAGCGAAAAGCTATCATCTTGCGGTTTTCGTTGGTCTGTTGGGATTTAGTTTCTCTATTTCATTGTGTGATAATATGTATACCGTAACTTTCTTTTTTTTCAAATCACGATATCCATTGATACTCTAGATCACGCCCTCTAGCGGCAACGGTGATACGAATATGAAACTAAATCAAATCACAGTTGATAGAACAGGAAGAGGCCTTTACAATGAGCTTAAGGTTCTTGAATTCTGTTGAAGATTACCAGAGTTACAGAAATTTAGAGAAAAATCAATTTGACGTTCCCCACCACTTTATTTATTCAGATGGAACAAAAAGTGTGAAACAAAAAAAACTAGTAATTTATCAAGGATCAAACTGCATATATTTTGAGTACACCTTGTTACTACTAAATACAGAGATTACTACAATTTTTTATTATTTTAGAAACCTGAAAATATTTTCCAGTTATTTTTTGGGGTCACTTCTCTCGAGATATTTTTTTTTTTGCAGTTGATACAACTTCGTTTCTGAGATATGGCCGACGGTCATTCTTAGTTGTTCACCCTGTACTTGTGACGTCAGTACCGCTGATGATTGTTCGTCTTGTTCTGACGGGAGCTTCTTTGAGGATTTTATTATGGGAAATCTAGTAGGAATAAAAGAATTGAAAATTCTTGCGCTTTTCTTCATTGTGATGAAAGTAATTTCATCTAGAACTCAGTGTTCTTTGCATTTTGACGTGTGACATTCTCAGTTATGATCCTATGAAGAAAACTTACTCTTCGTCTGTGATGTTTTCATCATCCAAAAGTCGGTGGATAGCGCCGGTAAAGTTGAAATAGTTTTTTGATGTTTTGACTGTGGGGCAAATAGTGACAGCAGGAAATGGAATTTTGAATATGGGTGACTCCCTGGTTGCCATATTAACTATAAATGGGTTCTCCACGTATTTGCTGTATATCTCCACTACATAGTAAATCGACAGTACTATCGATAGCAATATTATAAAGAACCATAGAATCCTGAAACAAAAATTGTGATAAAGAAAGATGGAGATATCGAACCGACTATATCTAAAATAAGCAAGATGTTCTTTGAAACTATATCAGGCTATATTCCTACGCGTTCGTCAAATATTTCGCCGTCACAGCAACGTAGCTACTGTAGTCTAAAAATGTCCCTGAATTTTTTGGGACACAAATTCCGTACTATAAAATGTAATGTCTTTGTCACACCATGTATTTCTGTAATGATGATAGATTTTTCAGCTATAATTTCTTTAATTGCATGCACCTTGTATAATTCTGATCATGCAATACAAATTGCATCGTTTGGCTAGTATGATATAGGCCATTTTTACTCAAAAGGGCACCTCCTAATTTCACATTACAAAAATTTGACACCATTTTGAAAAAGATGGATGCTTTTGACGACCTGTTTTATTTTATTCATATTCTCCTGGTATCCTTCAAGAATTTTGGAAAAGGAAAGGTGTCTCAAACCCTCAACAATAATTATCTTGCTGCTGAGATAACAGAAACATATGAAGACCACAGGAGAAAAAGGGGGAAATGTCACAAAAAGTAAATTTCGGGGAAAACACATTTCGAAGTTTAAAACCTCCTTACTTTTTGAAAGTTGAAGGAAACTGCAATCAAACCACTTGGATTCATTTGATGGAGTATAATGAGCAATAAAGTTGAACAACTAGAAACAAAAAACTGGATTGTTTACCCGCAATTATCTGCTCTGGTACATTTCTCCATTCTTGCCTGACTACCTAAAGAGCGGTAAGATGTTATATAGTACAGCTGGCATCTGTATATTTTGTTCATTTTCTATAAATTCTACACGATTCGAGTAGGAATCATCATGTAGCAATCTCATTATTTTATTCCCATCACTCAGACGTACTCGACAAGCCCAGTCAACACACCTTTTTGTCGTCAACCTCGAAATATATCGAGTAACTCTTTACCAAAACTCGTTTATACATAGAACGGCAAATCTTTGGAATGTTTTGCCTGACAGAGTATTCCCAAGAACTTATAATCTCCATAAGTTGAAAAAATCTCAATACCTACCTCCTCTCCCTATCCTTCCTATGAACCCACAATGTTCCCCGAACATTATAGGGATTCCCTTTGGTACGCTCCAAGAGATGAAGACAAGGTGGCCGTATCTCTTTTTTTTCCTCATATTTTGTTTGCCTGAGAGTTCACTTTGACCTTTTGACAGTGTGAAAACAACCTATTAAACAACAACTTTTGAACTTTTACTTTGCTCAAGTAGACTCTTGACTGAGATATGCAGTTTGTTTGTGGGGTAATTCAGTAGCAGTGACCGACGTGTTGGTAGCACAAAAGAGGATATTACGATGTCCTTTTGATATGCCCAGGAGAACTTCTTGTGGACCAATTTCCAAGGAATGCAAAATCCTAACTGTCACTGGTATTTACGTATTTGAAATGTGTATATTTGTTTTTAGAAATAAGGAGAAGCTTAATTCAAATAGTGACCTTCATAATTGTCATACTAGGCAGAAAAATAATTATTATGTACCCTTTGCAAAACTCAAAATCAGAGAGAATGCACCAAATTTTATAGCACTAAAGCTTTTCAATAGACTACCCAATAATTTGAAGAATATCGTGAAGATCAACTGTTTCACAAGCCAACTCAATGAATTCTTGACATCATCATCCCTTGCAGGTTATTTAACTTAAGGATGCAATAATATTTCACTGTTTTGTTCTCTTGACTATTCCTATATGGTTTTTGTAACTATCGAAATGAAAATAATAGTTATTTATTATGAAAGGGAAAAAAGTAGTAGATTTTAGCTCCAGGTTGTGTTGTCTCCCGACGCGTAGCGGAGGGAAACAAAAAACCGTGAGCTAAAATCTAATATTTTTCCCGTGTGTAATGAACTAGGTATTTTTTTATGTGACAGAAGAAAGGACGAATCAATATTGGGAAGATATTACATTATTTTGAAATCTGAAGAATATCGACGTGAAATTTCAAGTTTTTAACAGTAGGGACACCTGCGTTGTAGGCATCTTTATCATTCTTTTGAAGTAATCAAATATCTGATGTCACTTCTGTCAGTCTAATTCTGTGATTTGATTTCAAAAAAATTGCGAATTTAGTGGTTGTTTAGTAATATACGTAACCGCGAAGTCGAATGAAAGATAAAAGGACTTGCAGTTCTTTCTCGGAGACGGTATTATTGAATCATTTTTCGGAACTATACCACAACGAAAGCCATCAACAGTGTATATATATGTGATATATATTCAGGAAAAAAGTACTCACTTTTTTTCCACGGGAAAATAGTAATTTATGAAAAGTGGCCATTTATAACCTGCCAACAGAGATGAAATGCCATACTTTTTTGCCGTCACAGAAAAAAGTTTATTATTATTATTATTATTATTATTATTAACGCACGATGTTCTTCGAATATCATATGAATATCCTTTCGTGAGCTCCAAGAGATGAAAAAGTCTATACAGAATACCTAGCGGTACAGTCCTTTTCAGAGAACTCCGTTGTTATCTTGCTTCAATATAAGAGCGTCTACACTACATTTTCTCTGAAGAATACTATACTAACCTTATCGAATCTATGTACCTATCTATATTCGGTGCATTGCTCAATGTGTGATTTAATGTTTGAAAACGTATTCCATTCATGAAGGTCAGATACATAAGGTTATATAATTAGTTTATTAATGAATACAAAGTCGAGGTCAGTTGAACACGTGCTAAACATTTCACAAAGGTGGTTTTGCGTCCAGACCAAAATAAGGGGAAACTGTATTGATATTACTCAAAATACCTGCCTCTCTCCTCTGGATCTCTTTTCTCCCAAATATCTGAAACCAATGAGACTAGATCCTTCGCAATAGTCCCGGAAGTACCTCCGCAGTCTTTTTCCCACGCTAAGATTTCCATGAGCTTCTTCTCTGACTTTCCATTCGCTGTTCAACGGTACGGCACTAGGGTTTTCCATTCGGTTTTTCATTTCCATTTTCACAAGGTTTTCCAAGGCACTCTGCGATAACGCGCACTACTCTCCGACATGCCAATAAAATTGTGGATCTAGTCGGCTCATTATGTATGCTGGTTGTTGCGCCATACCTTATAACATGTTCTTTGCGTTTTGTAGATACGGGGTCATCGGTTCTCTGATGGACCGTTGATATTTCGAAGTGATGCGAGACTGTATAATTGGCTGACCAAAATTAAAGTATGCTGAGAATTTTCTTTTTAAATTGCATATTCGAATATCTTATATAGATATATATAGATGCCACCAGTGGCATTATTTCGATCCATCCTTTCAGAGGGGTAGTTCACTCTTGCAGTTTTTCAAAAATCCTTGCTGACCGGGCATTTCTGGTTCGTATTTTTCCATCAAATCACATATCTGAATATCTCATATAGATATATAGATGCCACCAGTGGAAATATTTCGATCCACCACTTCAGAGGGGTAGTTTATTTTTGCTGTTTTTCAAAATTCCTTGCTGACGGAGCATTTCTGGTTCGTATTTTTCCATCAAATCACATATCTGAATATCTCATATAGATATATAGATGACACCAGTGGAATTATTTCGATCCACCCCTTCAGGGGGTGATTTGATGGAAAAATACAGACCAGAAATGCTCTGTCAGCAATGATTTTCGAAAAACGGCTAGAATAAACTACTACTCTGAAGGGGTGGATCGAAATAATTACACTGGTGGCTTCTATATATATATATATACAGGGTGTTTCAAAAAAACCTGACCCCCTAACTAGGGTAGGTAGAACACTGCAAAATAAGTTGGGTTTACTTAGTAAGAAAATTTCGTAACGGCATCCGTTATCAAGATACAAGGTGTTGAAAAAATATTTTTTTCACACATTTTTCAAGATTTTCTCGAAACTACAGGCAACATTGTGATGAAATTTTGTATGGATGTTTCTTGGAATCTGACACATCGCATGCATTCGTTTTTATATCTGACTCTCATAGAGGGCGCTAGTTACACGGTTCGTACCAAGTAGGTTTGAACATAACTTTTTTGAGGTTAGATTTCTCGATCCAAATCTGATGTGAACTTAGACATCATTCAATTTAAAACCAAAAAGGTACTCTTGGTAAAACTCGATACTGTGTACCGTTTTCAGAATATTTCGATTTGAAAGTTTATGCTACCTAGGTAAATTCACGTCAAGAGTTGTAAGACATAATTGTACATCACTCAAATGACCTAACAGCTGATCCTCAACTGTTTAAAAGAATAATACATTCTCAAGAAAAGAAATTAGAATCGTGTATTCGTCGAAACTTAGGACATTTTGAACACTTACACTAACTGATTCAATATTTCATGTTTCTAGTCAAATATCTCTTAATTTACTACTTATGACTCTTTGTTCCATCAATAACTCCAGTGCAAGAATGATTTTATTGTTTTTGAATCTGAATAAATAGGTAATTGAACTCAATAATATTCATTTTATACCAGCATAGCTATTGCTCCATTATTTTCAAATCGAAATATTCCGAAAACGGAACATTGTATCGAGTTTCACCAAGTGTACCTTTTTGATGTAAAATTGAATGATGTTCAAGTTCATATCATATTTGGATTGAAAAATCTAACCTCAAAAAAATTATGATCTAAACTACTCGGTACGAAACGTGTAACTCGCGCCCTCTATGAAAGTCAGATATAAAAACAAATTCATGTGATGTGTCAGATTTCAAGGAACACTCATACAAAATTTCATCACAATGTTGCCAGTAGTTTCGACATAATCGTGAAAAATGTGTAAAAAAATAATTTTTTCAACACCTTGTATCTTGAAAGCAGATGCCGTTACGACATTTTTTCACTGAGCAAACCCAACTTATTTTGCAGTGTTCTACCTACCCTAGCAAGGGGGTCAGGTTTTTTTGAAACACCCTGTATATCTGTATGAGATATTCAAATATGCAATTCGAAAACAAAATTCGAATCAGAAATGCTCGGTCAGCAAAGAATTTTTGAAAAACTGCGAGAATAAACTACCCCTCTGAAGGGGTAGATCAGGATGATTCCACTGGTGGCATCTATAAATCTATATGGGATCTTCAAATATGTAATTGGATGGAAAAATACGAACCAGAAATGCTCGGTCAGCAAGGATGTTTGAAAAACTGCGTTAAAAATCTACCCCTCTAAAGGGGTGGATCGAGATAATTCCACTGGTGGCATCTATATATCTGTATGAGATATTCAAATATGCAATTTGAAGAGAAAATTCGAATCAGAAATGCTCGGTCAGCAAGGATTTTTGAAAAACTGCAAGAATAAACTACCCCTCTGAAGGAGTGGATCAAAATTATTCCACTGGTGGGATCTATATACCTATATAAGATATTCACATATGTGATTTGATAGAAATATACGGATCAGAAATGCTCGGTCAGCAAGGATTTTCAAAAAACATCAAGAATAAACTACTCCTCTGAAGGAGTGGATCGGAATTATTTTACTGGTGGCATCTATATAGTCATATAAAATGTTCGAATATGCCATTTGAAAAAAAATCGAACCTAGAAATGCTTGGTCAGCATACTTTGATAATTTTGGTCAGCAAATTATATCTCCCCAAGTGATGCTGATGAATCGTGTTATTTGATTTAGACAAATTCAAATTTTTTCAGCAACGTATACGTATACAGGGTGTTTCATAATATATGCGCAGGATTTCAGGATGTGATAGCTCGTCCAAAAATATTTAAAAAAATCTTTCCCTCTGAAATGCACTACATATTTGTGCCAAAAATCTCGAACCGAGATATTCAATAAAAATTGAATATCATAGTATTAAAACATATGTATATTGGTTTATATATTTTTTTTTTATTTTGAGAAACCCAAATGAACATTATGAACGAAAAAATAACTGAGAACAAAACGAACTATCCTTGAAAACATATCAAATGTTTGAATGTTTAGTAAATGGTCCAAGTGCCAAGAAGATTTTATTTTCAAACGGTCTTACAACTGAAGTCTATGTTCCCTCATGATCTGGGTTTTCTTCAGGTAGACTTGTTCAGTGGTTTCAACAATGAAATTTTCATAAAAACCAAGATATTCCAAAGGAATGTAATCTAACATAGACCTCAAGTTGTCTAATTTTTCTTTCGTGATACGGTTTTTGCATTCCAGTAATGGGATCAGGTCTGATCTGAAAGTGGCAAGCTGTTTTCCTTTCTTCAGAACATTACAGGTTTCCCACGGTGCTACAAAAGGGTTATCTTTTGAAACTTTCAACCAGGATGCTTAGGAAATTTTGAGTTTTGAAATATTTATGTTTGCATCGGCGAAATGGTGCAGATTCTTGAAGTCGTTCTTTCCCATGTGTACAACAGTATAAGGGCTTTTGTGGCTCTCTGATGATTCTTCCAATATTTTCCGGATTATAAAGTTTGGTCAATCTTTTGCGCCTCTCAATCTGGGCAGAATCTCTATCACATGGCAGATATGTGTGTCCAGATATCAGAAAATTTTCGTTCTATTTGTGAAAATCTACCACTTGCAACAAGGTATATCATTGTTATGATGATCATTCTGTTCTTGTTCTGGCCATTGCCATTGTCACTCCAGATGCAGAGCTTCTCCTTGACACCCAAATTATCAGATAGTAGAAACTTCATTCCATAAGATCATTGTTGCTGTATTATTGTCAGCAATATGGATGTCGAAGTTGTAACATGACAGCTGTCTGCTATAAAACATTTCTGAATATGTCAATGTGAAGCGGCACTCCGATTAACTTGAAATTTGGCAGGTGTTCATAATTTCGGTGACAATACATTATGGAATTCTTGTTGAAATTGAAAAAAAATGACTGCTCCAAGATGGCGGACAAGATTTGGTCCGATTCCATTCAAAATTGGTAAGTGGGGGTTTTTGAGGTCAGAGATCATGATTCTTTCGTTAAAATTATTCAAAAATTCAAGATGGCGGCTTCCAAATAATTTTTTGTTTTGTATAAATAAATGGCGATAACTCCGTTGTTATCAACACAAAACTATTACTGTGACATATCATCTGTAAGAAAAAAAAAAGTTATTTGTAACTAAGTCATAGTGAGCTATGACCTACATTTGAAAAACTAAAGTTGGTGCTGATATCTCAAATTCTAGAAGAGTTGGTATAAATTTAATATTTTTTTCGAAATCACCTTGAGAAACTGCCATGAGAATGTGAAATTCCTATTTGAATATTTTCATAAATAAAGAAGTTACGGAGGAGACATGAAAATGATCAAAATCTGTTTTTTGCGTATAAAACAAAAATGAATAGATTTTATCATAATATTTTTTCACGTTATAGTTGGTCTTGACAAACTCCACATTTGGTGTCATTTAACCGACCTCGTATCTCTCACCGTTAAAAAGATACCCATGGTGAGCATGGTAAGTGGGACACACTGTATTATGAAAATTCATGACGTTATAACTTTGTTGCCTACCTAATTGAAGATTATAGTGAATCTAATAGTGGAGTCGAATTCTAATAATTTTCAACATGAAAAAAAATCATAGCATCGCACGTTTAGACCTTTACTGCTGAAAAAAAGGTGCACAGTCTTAAAGTGAGTCACACTGTATATTATTCTCAATTTTTCATTCTACCTTCAACTCCAAATCCCAGACGATTTCCAGAACGAGAATATTAGTAAAAGTCATTACTGATATCAATATCCCTATTAGTCATGGACGTCACTTTCAATCTCATCCAATAAATATCAAAATTGAGATGAAATTATGACGTCAGATGTTAGTAAAAAATCATTCAAACTTTTCATAATTTCATTATTTTGCCTTGAAGGGCATACAATTAAATGTTTCGGTATTTTTTTAAATCCTATATCAGTATGGAAATGATATTGACATCAGTGATTTAGGAACTCAATAATGTTTTGCTGTTCAAGTATCTTCAGAAAAATCAAAAATATCTTGGTGGCAATGGAGATTGTATATATCGGTATTTGTTTAAAAAAATCCCAAGTCTATTTCATGGCATTTTTGACGAACAAACACCATTCAAATTATCAATGAGCAAATAATAATAATGTAAATTTTTATTATTATATCATCAAAACTTGTTATCATCAGCATTATCTTTTTCTTCTTCTGATGTAGTCCTATTCACTTTTATATGGGGAGAATTCCAAGGTTGAATATCACCTGAACCAAAGATAATAAACACTGTTCCAGCTACTACGTAAAATCCAGCAGATATGCTGAATATTATATTCCATAATTCCTTATTGCTCTAAAAAGAAAATAGATATCTGGTTCATTAGTTTTCCTAGCATCAATAGGTACATACAAAGGCTCTGATAGCTTTAAAATTTTACCTCCTTATATCCAGTAATATCTTTAACTAAATCCACTGCCAGTGGAGCCATCATGGTAAAAATGGCGGAAATGCTATTGGTTATCCCCATTAGTGTTCCAGCAAAAGTGGGAGAAATGTCCATATGGTTGATATTGAATCCACAGTAATGACCAGCGTTGAAAGCTACTGTGATAACCAGAATCGTGATGATTACTTCTTTCTTGGTACTTTCAATGAAGGTGATGGATACCAAAGCAATGGCAGGAATGAATAACCCTGAGAAAAATCTGCTTATACAGGGTGACCCAGAATAACGTTCCTATACTCCGGGAGGGGTAACTCTGCAGATAAAAATGAGAAAAATGTGTCATGTCATGTCATGTCATGTGTCCAAAATGCACTAGGCTCATTCACTGGGTGAAATTCGGTTTTTTGGCATTATAATGAAAAACTACCTTTTTCTCGAAAACGGATCTTTTAACGGCATCACCTTTTTCATGTGAAAGTGTTTGAAGAATTTTATGTTGGTAGTAGAAATGAGATAAATCTTGAAACTAAAAAACTAGGGGCATCATGATAACAATGATAATTGAAGAAAACTGCTTTCAAGGATCTACCTGCAAAGGACTCTAGCAGCTTTAGGAAGCATTTTTAGCCCATGTAAATAGGAGATTTTTATTCTGGATGTTCAACAGATATAATTCAATGTTCGACGTGGCCAATAGCCAGGAAAGTAGTTGTTTGCTGTTGAATATTCAGAATGATATTGTGTGCATATCTTTATATATTTTTTTTCTGTATGTTCTGGTTCCCACGAAAAGGGATATCCTGTAATGTTCAGAGAACATCGTGAGAACCAAGGGAAATGAGGTGGGAATTGGTATTCTTCTTAAATTTCTGGAGGTTATATGCCTTCCTTGGCAATGTGTTCCAGAGCCTCGCTATTCGTTGGATGAATGAGTCTTTGGAAATAGATGTTCTGCAGGTTTCCAAAGTGAACACGAAGAGGTGCAAAGCCCCAACTCGACGGGTAAATCTCGAGGGGACTGCCAAGGGGGAAGCAATTGTTGATATTCCAAAAGAGCATCGTCCATGAAAATATCTATAAAGTAGAGCCAGATCGCCAACTTTTCTACAGTGTTCCAGAGAAGTGAGAGTGAGTTTGTGAGCGAGGCTTCACCCACGAGACGAATTGCCCTTTTTTGGGCAAAATCCAACAGTTTCAGGGCAGCTGATTGGAAGTGAAATAGCTCCTGGCCCGAAACAGAAAACCAAGTTTTTGGGATAGTAATACCAAGCATCGAAATGGATGTCTTCAAAGGTATGGTTACTCCTGACAAGCTTATGTTGGGCACAGTGAGGTCGGCTTTTCTAGAGAAGAGGCATGCTTGTGTTTTGATTGCATTGTAATCTACTAAGTTATTGGATCCCCTTTCGAGAATTGTTGCCAAGTCCATATTTATGTTGTCAACATTTCTTCCTCGTTCGTTCCTGATTTGCATGGCTGGTATTGGAGCCCTGGCAGAGAAGGCGGTATGGAGGGTACTATCATCCGCGAAGCTGTGTACTGGACATGAAGTTGCTTCCAACAAATCGTTGATATGGAGTAGAAATAGTGTTGGTGCTAGAATTGATCCTTGCGGAACACCAGCATTTATGATAAGAGAGTCAGATGAAACTCCGTCGATCACTACATGGAGAGACCTGTTCGAGAGAAAACTAGCTAGCAGAGAACATAGCTGGGGACGCAAGCTTGGCGAGAAGTCCGTGGTGCCAGATATTTTTCAATAGATTGCTGCTATATATGTGAGACGTAAGCGAGCAGATCACCAGTTGATCTCTGATGACGGAAGCCATATTACCTATCGTTGATAATACCTTAATGTTCCAGTTAGCAGTGCGATCGGTCTGTAGTTGCTAGGTAGGGTCTTTTCGCCTTTTTTAGGAACTGCTTGTACTCTCACAATTTTCCAGTTGAACGGAGAATGCAAGTTCTCTACTTCAGAAGATTTTGTTTTCAAATTCTTATCGTGTATGTTCAATAGATGTAATTCAATGTTCGTCGTGGCATATAGCCAGGAAAGTAGTTGTTTTCTGTTGAATAAACCGAGGAAGAATTGATATTTTTTTAACATAGAGAATGCGAGTTCTCAATGTATTTCTTTATCTATATATCCATTTTTTTATGTTCATAATTATATCTGAGAATATTCCTTTTCAATAAATTTTCTCTTATTCCTATCTGCAGAATCACCTCCCGGAGTATACGAACGTAATTCTGGGACACCCTGTATATTCGGCTTAGGCAGTTGTCCAAGAATAGACCCTTAAGTTATAATTGTCACCTATAGAATTGAAGATTTTTCTACTGGCAGCCAAGGTTACATATTTCCTTTTGATGATATAATCTGCAATTGGACTCCACCACAGATTCATTAGCCACATGATGAAATATGGGAGTGCAGATATAACACCATTCTGTAAATGAAAAAATAATCAGAGATATTGGTTTTTTAAGCTAGGGAGGCCCATAAAAAAATTACCGCTGTGTTTTTGTAATGCAAAATCTCCTTCATGAAGCTTGGTATTTCGGTAAGTAGAGTCCAAAATCCCCAGTTTTGCCCACAATGAGTGATGATAATAGCGATGAATGGAACCGACGTGAAAATTACATTGATTTCCACTTGGAATATATGGTTGGCGTATGTTGAATTTGTTTTCTTTTTCAAAAAATTCATTTCATGTTCATGAATGCGCTGATTAAACGTTTAATATTAGAAGAAAACCATAGTTCTGATGATAATTTCGAAATTCTACATGTTGAAAATGAAGGAATAAAACTCAATCTTTTTGAAATTTTTACATTTTACTCAATGATCAATTAGACCCCAATAGTTCACCACTGTTGAATTTGTTCTCTTAGTAGGTAATAATATTTATTTGTTATCAACCCTTTCAAGTTAATCCGGTAAACCGTAATTTGATGTAGATATTGTGCCTAATTTCCGAAAATGGAGGTTTATCGATCCTGTCCACAGGTAACTAATCCTTCAAGTTGGGGAAGTAGGATATATGAAAGTTAAGCAAGCCAACGTTGGTTTAGTTCATTGTACCAGTATATCACCTGAAGAAGCTACCGTGTTAGCGAAACATGTTGTGTGTTCAAGAATTTTGCAGAAATCTTATCGTTTGTAAAGGTTTCACACATATACAGTGTGTCCCACTTACCATGCTCACCATGGGTATCTTTTTAACTGTGAGAGATACGAGGTCGGTTAAATGACACCAAATGTGGAGTTTGTCAAGGCCAACTATAATGTGAAAAAATATTTTGATAAAATCTATTCGTTTTTGTTTTATACGCAAAAAACAGATTTTGATCATTTTCATGTCTCCTCCGTAACTTCTTTATTTATGAAAATATTCAAATAGGAATTCCACATTCTCATGGCAGTTTTTCAAAGTGATTTCGAAAAAAATATGAAATTTATTCCAACTCTTCTAGAATTTGAGATATCAGCACCAACTTTAGTTCTCCAAATGTGGGTCATAGCTCACTATGACTGAGCTACGATTTCATTCAAAATTTGTAAGTGGGGGTTTTTGAGGTCGGAGATCATGATTTTCTTGTTGAAATTCATAAATTCAAGATGGCGGCTCCCAAATAATTTTTTGTTTTTGTATAAATTACGATAACTCCGTTGTTATCAACACAAAACTATTACTGCTACATATCATCTGTAAGAGAAAAAAAAGTTATTTGTAACTAAGTCATAGTGAGCTATGACCTACATTCGAAAAACTAAAGTTGGTGCTGATATCTCAAATTCCAGAAGAGTTGGTATAAATTTCATATTTTTTTCAAAATCACTTTGAAAAACTGCCATGAGAATGTGAAATTCCTATTCGAATATTTTCATAAATAAAGAAGTTACGGAGGAGACATGAAAATGACCAAAATCTGTTTTTTGCGTATAAAACAAAAACGAATAGATTTTATCAAAATGTTTTTCCTATGTAAGGATGTTTCTTTAGTTTTTTGAACTACTATTTATTTTTTATTTTAAGGACATTATGGAAGGAAACACTTGCTAGTATTCGTTCATACGTATCGATGCATAGATTTTGGGAGGAAGTAGTATTGTTTTCTTCTTTGAGCTTTTTCATAAAGTAATAGATTTGTCTGGACCTGAAGGAGTTAGTTAGCTTCCGCAGTGTTCCTTTTTTACCTCAATTTTAGCGATAACAGTTCCGGACTCGATCCATTTCCGTTCTTCTGAGGAAATTCTCTTGTCTGAGCCAGGTGTATTGGAGCCAAGCAGTAGCCATAGTAGACTCCAAGCCATACCAAGACATCCGTAAAAGTAAAATGCCAAAGGCCATCCACTGTTCGTGTCACAGAGCATGCCAGTTATAGGCATCGCCAAACAGTTTCCCAAGACTTGTCCTATTACACAATATATGATTATTTTAAGGACTCAAATAATAATTGGAAACCTTGGTGCAAGAACCGGGCAACTCCATTTTATGCCGAGATTGAGTTATTGTATTCAACATATGGATTTTTTTTGCGCATCTTTTGGGCCAAAAATCTGGCCAATCGAACAATTTCCTATGGAATTAACAAGGAAAATGAGTTACGTTGCATAAGTCGGGTAACTCCAGGAGTTGCCCGAATTTAGCACCGAAATGTACGCGTGATTAGTTTGATCCTCTGTATAATGCAATACGGTAATGTCGTCGGAAAGGAAAAGTGATCCCTTTCAAGATCAGGGCAGTGAATATGTTCCAAAAATATAACTCCTTTTTTCAGCTTCCACAATGTGAATGAAAATTACTATCTACGTAACTCTAAGAATATTAAGTTATTTTCGATTCCACAACATTTTGAATTAGAAATTAGAGGTGCCTGGTTCTTGCACCGAGGTCTTCAATTTCAACTGTAATTGGTCAGTTTTTATGCCTTAAGATAGGCACACTCAATAGGCTATGAACTGGTCTGATAATGAATTATTGACATTCAATTACTCCAGTGTGCCGTTAGGGACTTGAATGGGCTTATATCACAAAAAAATTCCATTTCATAATTCGATAGAACTCACCCAAACTAGCTCTCCAACGCAAACCGTTTCTTGATGTGAGCTCCCTACGTTTTATAAAAAATTATTGAAATCCCCGATTTTTCGGACCTCTGAAAACGAGGCGATGATGTGACGTCAAAACCCTAATACTGAAACAAGACTATTCCAGACAGAGAATTAGCGTGAGATCACAGTTGAGAGAATTAATATATCAGTTGCCTCAGTCTCCGTCGGGCGGTTGGTATTTTCTTTTACCTATGGCGAGATGAGGTTTCTACGTCATAAGAGGGTCCGTTTTCAGAAGGTACTATTATTTATGTACAAAAATAAAACATTCCAGTTAATTTTTCGATCGAATTATGTCGTCAATCATTATTTATGTATAGAATGATCATTATAAACATGGTTTGAGTTAAAAGGTCTACTAAGGTGTACACGCCCACGTCATGGCCGCCATTTATCCATGTACGTGATGACGTGAGTTCCTATGTAGTGTTCTTATTGGTTAGATAATCTTCCATTCCCACTCATGTGAAATCCCGAATTGAAATCAAGTTATCAAAAAGTTGTTCGAATATTTCCCTAATAGAATGAAGCCATGATATTATAGTTACTCCTTTTTGACTCTCTCGAGCAACCAGCTTGTCATAATATTCCTTATACTTCATTACAAAATATCATATGAATGATGGTTGGAGACTTGGCAACATGTGCTGAATGCTGAAAACTGACAAGACAACGGCCATAATTTGTGCCGTGTTGTCACGTTAACCGATGCGATGGATCTGACATGGGAAAAACGGATCAGAGCCTGGCCATAGCACTATTATACGGGAAATATTGCCACGGTGGCAAGTCAAGAGCGTATAAAATTGTTTTATAGTTTTTCCGAAAAGACCGGGGTTCGATCCCTATACTACAGCTCATCTTTTTTTTTTTCGAAGTAATTAATAGAAAGAATACTATGGAGACATTTATTGGTTAAGCCGATAGTGATTCGCTATTTCAATAATGTTTCTTCTCAGGATCGCCCGGAAATTTTCAGGCTGAAGCTATTCGCGGGAATCAATGTTACCAGGTGGCGCTCGGTTTTCATCGTTCCATGTCAAAGCCACGTCAAAACTAGGGGAAAACAAACTCAATCCTCACTCGATCCCATTATTGCCATTAGCTTGTGTACTGTGTACTGATAAGAGTGATATGTTTTTAAATTTCTTGACATTAATTGTCAATATTCGATCGAAAACGCTAAAATGCCTGTTGTAGATGTTCTTTTGGCAGATATTTTGCTCTATTTAGATGGAAAAAGCCGACCAGTAGTGGAAGGAAAAGCAGTTCTCCGTGTTAATCATGTGATTTTGTGTGAGGCAGAAGACTTCAACAAGAGGCACATTTTTGCACTTTGTCTACAAACTTCGGCGATGAAATCTACCCCACATGAAGTAAAATTGAAGTTGGGGTCCAGAGGAACTTCTGTAGAACAATGGATTTGTATTTGTTCCTGCAAAGCAGGACAATCTGGGTATTGTGAACATGTTGTAGCTGTTCTTTTTTATGTCAATTGATTTGCTCGTCATAATTAGTTTGAATTGTTTGAACTATCTCCAATTCTCCATCCGTTCACTGTTCACGTAACTGATAAAAATGTAATAATGTAAAAAAATTGACCAACTCAACCATCATCACTACCAACAGTGCCAACACTTTATGTCATTGACAAGTTTGACTACAGCTACAGCAAGCTGAAGGCAATGTAGTCTATGCACTTTATCCATAGACAACAGTTTGTTTTTCCCCAGTTTGAAGTTCGTATTAAGTAACCTAGATGTCGCCCAATTCGTGAATCTCGCGAATCTGACTCTTACCTGCATACACGAAGCTCCCCCATTTGGCTCTTTCCCAAACTGGGGCCCACTTGCTCAAAAGAAAGTGAACAGAGGGAAAAAGAACCCCGTGGAATGCCCCTTCTATCACCCTCACTGCAATTATGCCTTTGTAGCCCACTGTTGCTGCGAACCAAGGTATCACCAAGATGCAAGCGGAAGATATGATGATGGCGGCGGTCAGATAGTATTTGGGACCGTAGTTTTTCGCAATTTGACCTGCCAGTATCTGGAACCATATGTGCCCCCAGGAGAAACAAGATAGCATGACGTTCTTGTGGTCTTGCCATTCTGGGTACACCTAATGGAAAGATGAAAAAATGGAAAGATGAAAACCTAAAATAGTAATTTTCCTAACAAGTGCGGAAAGTGAAAGAACCACTTTCCGCATGAGTTAGAAATAATATTTCTTCTTGCGGAAGCCAGCATGCCCATCTTTGTAAGATGTAAGTACATTCATACTCTCTAATCATAGTAGTGTTCCTGATGATGGAAATAAAAATTTCCGGAAGCTTGAATAAACTTTGAGGAGTATTTCTTTTACACTGCTGCTATCCCCAATATACACTGGTTTCATATATTATATATATATATATATATATATATATATATATACAGAGTGGGCCTTCGAAAACGGAACAGAGAGGCTCTGTAGGTCGCCAAAACCGGATTATGAAAAGAATCTGAAACACGTCATCTACATTTTCGAGGGGGACATCGTCCTACAATATTTTCAGCCCTGCGGCGTTGCCGCTGCTAACGAAAAGAATCAACAACTTTGTTATTTCAAATGGAACACCTTGTATTTTATTGCATTTTTAGATTCTCCCCGAAAATCTGATTTCATCAATGCATCACACTTGGGGTCTAGCTGTAATGGTTTCAGGGATATAAAGTATTCAAAATCGAGGTTTTTCAACTTTAACATTTTTTTGTGTCGAAACTAATCATTATTGGTCAAAACGACTCCCATGTCCCTATCTCAACTTGTGATTCACTATCTACTAACATTTAATTGGAACAGATACAGGGTGATCAGAATTCTGAATCTTGAACCATTCTGTATTTGTTTCAAATAAATGTCAGTAGATAGTAAATCACAAGTTGAGATAGGGACATGAAAGCCGTTTTGACCAATAATGAATAGTTTCGACACAAAAAAAATTTAAAGTTGAAAAATCTCGATTTTGAACACTTTATATCCCTGAAACCATTACAGCTAGACCCCAAGTGTGATGCATTGATGAATTCAGCTCTTCGGAGAGAATCTAAGAATGCAATAAAATACAAGGTGTTCCACTTGAAATAACAAAGTTGTTGCTTCTTTTCTTTAGAAGCGGCAACGCCGCAGGGCTGAAAATATTTTAGAAAGATGTCCCCCTCGAAAATGTAGTTGACCTGTTTCAGTTTTTTATGATAATCCGGTTTTGGCGACCTACAGAGCCTCTGTTTCGTTTTCAAAGGCCCACTCTGTATATATATATATACAGTCTGTCCAAGATAAGGTTGCACAGCATGGGGATCTCGGAAACGGTAGGAGATACGAAGTCGGTTAAATGGGGAAAAAGTTGCGCATTCGGAGGCTCATACGAACAGCCTTCGAAAATTTTCAAAATTTTTTTTAGTTTTTCAGTTATATCGAAAAAAGTGAATTTTTGGAATCTCTATTTTATTTTTTTTCTCCGTTATTATTAGGGATACAGAAAAACTGAAGATACTTTTTCAAAGCAACTTTTGATGACGTTTAACGTGGTGATACCGATTTTTCTATGCGACGTTTCGTATTCGTAGAACCATCATCAACTTTTGTTTTTTGAATACGGCTTTTTTTATTCTGAATTCAACCATGTATTATACAAGGTGGTTTGAATGTGTTTCGAACTATTTTTAGCCATCATCAATGTTTTTTTCGAAACTCCAAAGGAAAAATGCCATCAGTTTCACTTATTTCTGATTATTCAGTGTCAAACATTGATGGACTAGTTATTCAATACTGAAAAGTGAAAAGAAACTCCACCAAATTATTCAATGCAGCGCTTCGAATTGTTTATGAATTGTATTCATATTTTAATCCGAAGGAGCTTGTCATAATTAAATTTTTCGAACTAATTATTCCTATAAGTCTATCAATCGGAACTAGTTGATGAGGTATTAGTTTGTTGGCTGATTTTCCATCAAAATAAGTGGAACTGATGGCATTTTTCCTTTGGAAAAAAGCTGATAATGGCTAAAAATAGTTCAAAACACATTCAAACCACCTTGTATAATACATGGTTGAATTCAGAATAAACAAAGCTTTCAGAATCTGTGAAAGATTATCAGGGCCGTATTTAAAAAACAAAAGTTGATGATGATTCTACGAATACGAAACGTCGCATAGAAAAATCGGTATCACCACGTTAAACGTCATCAAAAGTTGCTTTGAAAAAGTATCTTCAGTTTTCCTGTATCCCTAATAATAACGGAGAAAAAAAATAAAATAGAGATTCCAAAAATTCACTTTTTTCGATATAACTGAAAAACTAAAAAAAAATTTGAAAATTTTCGAAGGCTGTTCGTATGAGCCTCCGAATGCGCAACTTTTTCCCCATTTAACCGACTTCGTATCTCCTACCGTTTCCGAGATCCCCATGCTGTGCAACCTTATCTTGGACAGACTGTATATAGATGATGAGTTTCCACTTACGGGGTAATTTCTCTCAGTGGCATCTTCTTCTTTGTTTAACATTGCTACTATTGCAACATTCAGAACAGTCCGCATACCATATACTACTACTGCACCGGAAAACATGAGTAAATATTGCAAATGTCGTATACCAAGAATGGCCTCTGAAAAAATAATATTTCCATATTCCTTCTCATTTAATCACAATTTGAATTTTATTTCCACTCTATTCGATGGCGTCAACACTCTTCAACAAATAAAGTTGACAGGTGTTAAAAAACAGTACACCTTGTAATTCTTTTATGGTATTTTGGTCAAGGTAAGTTACTGACAGTTGAAATAAATATTCAGTCATTTGTTTTTTCGGCTTTCGGCTTCATTTTTTTCGAATCAAGTTTATTCATGATTCATCACAATATTTAAAGAATATCAGTATTACTCAGGGACCAAGATTATATCCAGAGGCTCCAGCCTGTAACTTTTCCATGTCTTGTCCGATTTTTCTGGAATTCTGGCCAAACCATAGATTTGTGTTTCTAAACGTTAACCTGAATTCATGTTTCCAAAAGAAGATGATGTGCTGATCATTATACAGGGCGAAATAAAAGTTACTATTTTACGCTCAACTTCTTAACGCCCTGTGGCAAAGGTGAGTGACTAAACTTAGCTTCTTCATGTTTTGGATCGTAGTGTAATCTCTTCTTAACAAAATGGTTTCTGATTCACGTCAATATCTTCTTTTTTAAAGAAGAAACAAGTGTTCCAAGGAAGTATGTTTTTTTTAAATCTGCAGAACCTACATTAGCTTATTGATTAACCACTCGAAAAAAACATCTCAAAATTTATATCAGTCAATTTTATTCTTAATTGACATCAATTCAATATCATCTTTGAAACTAAAAGGAGATCTGAAGTTATTTGCAGATGATAGTACAATAATCTATTCCTCTAAAGAATTTAACGATATAGTTGATGATATAAAAAGTGACTTGAAAATGATATCATCTTGGCTAACAAATTCATAAGCTGACTCTTGACTATGACAAATCTACGTATATGTATATTTCAAAAAGAAAAACTGATTTGCCGAAAACAACAATATTTTTCAACCAGAAAGCCATAAAATATTTAGATGTTACAAAATTCTTAGGTCTTTATATTGATGAACAATTATCGTGGACTAAACATATAGATCACCTGAGAAAAAAGCTAAATCCAATTACTGGCATTTTATACAAAATTCGAAATTTCATTCCTCTTAGATATTTGAAGAATATATATTTCTGTTTGATTTACTCAAAATCACAATATTTAATATCAATTTGGGGAAGCACAAGTATATCACATTTGAAACCATCAATGAAATTACAAAATAAAACAATTGGTGCTCTTGAATAGACTGACAAGACCGGACGAAGGAGAATGAGCCTCTGGAGTTCATCCCAAAGATGCCCAATAGGTTCTGAATTATTGTTGATAATGATTTAAAAAAGCCATAATTCCTCGAAGCACTTGTATCTTTTCTTGAAAACAAGATTTTGACGTGGATCAAAAATCATTGTGTTGAGAAGGGATGAGGAGGGACCTCACTTGAATCCAAAACATGATGAACCAGAAAGTTGGAGAATGGTTCTGAATTATGATTAATAGAAATCAAAAAATGTCATACTGTCTAAAAACACCTGTATCTTTCCTCAAGAAGAAGGCATCGACGTGAATCATGAACCATTGAATTTAGAAGGGATCACACTTCAATTCAAAATATGATGAAGCTAAGTTCAATCATTCACTTTTGCCACAGGGCGTTACAAAGTTAAGCGTGAAATACTAACTCTGGTTTTTCCTTGTATAATGATCGAGCCATCAGCTTTAGTTGGAAACTGAGATAGTTAACATTAAGAAACATAAATTTACGATGTGGTCGAAATTCTACCAGAATCGAACAAGATTTGAAAAAGTTACAGGGCGGTCGATTTGACACATTTTTTGCTGGCCGTTTTTTTTTGCCGGTGAGTGTAGTCCTGCGAAACCAAAATATGGACGTATTGTCACTGTGAAAGCACTTCTCTTCAATTCCAATTCAAATCTAGTAGTTATGACCATGACAATATATGACAAGTCGTTATTTATAAATACCTACTAGATTCGAGTGCCTTTCCAGCGAATATCGCATCAGAACAGTGAATTCAGGTTAATTACAACAGAGGTGACTGGCTATGTACCGTAAAACCTCACAACTTTGCCCAGAGGTCACAACTTTGCCCATATGTGAGGTTGTAAACATGTTTTTTTATAAGGAGTTATAAAAAAAACATGTTTACAACCTCACATATGGGCAAAGTTGTGACCTCTGGGCAAAGTTGTGAGGTTTTAGCTGTGACCTTGTTTATCAATAATATTTCACAAAATTTGGTATGGGCGTACCTTGATGTTTTGTTACCAACGTGATTTTGTGTAATTTTTGCTGAGTGTATTAGAAAGTCCTTATTGGCGATAAGAAGAAGTGGGCAATGTTGTCACATGAATTTTCGGAGATTTTCGTTCGAGAAAAAGTTTTTTTTTCACTTCAAATGGCTCATTTTGTTTATAAACAATAATAATACTGTAGGATAATTATAGTAATGCTTAAAATGAAAACTGATTTATATTTTTGCAGTATGGCACGTGGTACTGATAGGAGAAAGTTGGGAGCGCGCCATTATAAAAACTATAGTGAGCAAACACTTTCACAGACTGTACATGCGGTGAAGAGTAAAAATATGAGTTCTAGGGAAGCAGAACGTCATTTCAACATCCCCCGAAAAACGATCCTCAATAAAGTGAAAGAGAAACACCGTGAAAATATTGGCCGTTTGACTGCCCTCATTGAGGAACGTCACTTGGTAGATGTTCTTATACCGTGTGCTGAATTTTGTTCACCATCAACAATGATAGAGATCAGAATGCTTATCAAAAACTACTTGAATAGTAAAGGAATGGAGAACCAAATCTTCAAAGATAATATTCCAGGAAAGGTTTGGCTGGAAAGTTTTATTCATAGACACATACACCTGTTGACAAAAAGACACTGCCAAAATTTAAAACGCTCTAGGGCGGAAAAGACTGAAGAAGAAATGGAAGATTATTTTAAGCGCCTGGAAACTACACTAGATGGTGTAAAGCCTGAAAATATCATCAACTACGATGAAACAAACTTAAGCGACAATCCTGGCACTCAAATATTGTATTTATTGACTAGTAGTAGTCCACTTTATGCCCCGAAATGGAGTAAATAATGTTAGGTTTTATAGCTAGCGGTGGAAAAACATAATCTTCTCTTCAACTTTAGCAACGTTCTGTCTCTATTAGTGAGATAGATGAATAAAGACATGTAAATAAATCAACTTACTTGGTTTTGGAACATGTTCAATAGTCGAAATATCGTCCATAGTGTCCAATGCAGGTTTTAGATGTTCAAACCCTTGTTGATATCATGATAATCAGAAAAAAAATCACAGCTTACCTACTTTGTTCTATATCTATACCTCATAATAATTGATATAATCTAATCTTCCAACAATAGAATTTCTCATCTTCAATCTACGAGTTTTTGTATTTTATCCATATTTTTTATTCTCAAGTTTCGAGTGACTGAATGTTATGTATTGAGTTCAAGAAATCAATCATCATATAATTCGCATTATTTGCATCGAAAACACTACTTTTTCTTTTATCAATTTAGTTCTATGGTCAACTCAAATATAGAGTTGCTTTAATCTTCGAATAGTTGATGAGAGCGTGAAAAAAGTATTGAAATAAGATCGAAGTATTTACTTCCAAACGAAGTATATCTTGATTTTATTTATCAGAAGGAGCTATATACTATGTTATATTCAGTATATTGTCCAGTTCGATAAACCTAACCAAAATTTGAATAAAAAACGACGATTCATTAGATAGATTTGAGAGTTGAGAAACTTTTCTCATATTTTTTTTCTCAAGTCGTATCATAAGTGACAAATAAAATATAAAAAATATTTGTTTTATTGACTGTCATATTATAAATAGTATGTGTAACTAAATGTTCATAACAATAACAAAGCCAGCGATTGATTGGCACAATAATTCTTCATTTTACAGTTCTATCAAAAAGTATAACTTTTCATTTAGTAGCTGGAAAATATTGAATGATTTTCAGTAAATAAATGATAAACCACAAATCTTCAACTGTAATCATGTCAAGCAGCCATCGATGTAGAAATTTTTCTCAATATGCCCAGCCTTTTCTTCTCTTCTATTTTTGCATCCTTGATAGCGGATATTTCGTTGTTACCATTCCAAGGTTGAATATCACCAGATGCGAATATAATAAAGATTACTGCGGTGATCAGATATACTCCTCCTGCTATGGAAAAAACTATGTTCCACAGTTGTTTGTCATCCTGAAAGAAAAAAATTAACACTAATGAAATGATATTGTTCAGAGTGTCAGTTAAGTTGTCAATGATTTCTTATTTTCACCTCTGGAAAAGCAGTGAGAACAAGAGTTGATCTTCCTCTCAAGAAGACGAGGATACTTCGGTTGACGAATTTGAGCACGAATTTGCCTTATCCAACTGTTTTTATTTATGTCAAACATTTAAATAGATTCCGAAAGCGTTGATTAGAGATAATCTGAACCTAACATCATCCCCGGTTGGGATGAAGTTATTCAAGATATCATTGGAACAATCCTTGGAGATCGCCTTGATCTGAAGAATATTCAGAAATCAAGATGATTTACTGTATAACCTTCTGTTATTTTTTAGTAATTTGGGTTTCTTGGGACATTATAGACAATCCATTGACACTAGAACTGAAATGAATATCTTTTGGATTAGTAGGGTATTTTTGATCAATAAACCAACCTCCTTAGATCCAGTGACGTGCTTGATGAGGTCCACAGCTAGAGGAGCGAAGATCGAAAAAACACTAGCCGTGCTGTTGGTGATGGCTGCCAAAGTACCAGCATGGTTGGGCGATATGTCGATGTGGTTGACAAGGAACCCGCAAAAGTGACCAGCGTTCATACCAACGCCGATAACCAGTATGGCTATAATGGCACTCTTGTTATGACCATCGACGATGTTGAGGCTGAGGAGGGCAACACCAGGAATGACGAAACCTGAATTGAAATTGTGTATATATATTGACATATCCCGCCCCCAACTCTGTGTGACTTTTGTTTCACTAATGGGATTCGAGAACTAACCAATAGTGTTGAAGATTTTTCTGCTCGTCCTCAGACTGACTATTTTTCTTTCCACCAGCTGATCAGCGATAGGACTCATGAAAAAGGACAAGACCCACATGACGAAGTACGGCAGGGCAGACATGAAACTGTTCTGGAAAAATATCAAGATTACATTGCGTTTCCAATTAAGCTCGCGTATCACTCACCGAATCAATTTTATACTTCAAAATTTCTCTCATGAAGCTTGGCATTTCTGTGAGCAGAGTCCAAAAGCCCCAGTTCTGACCACAATGGGCTAACAGTATAGCAAGAAATGGTGGAGATGTGAAAATTGCCTTCCATGGTGTTGGTACGTCCTGAAAACGTAACACAAACATATTTCAAATGGGTAATTGTCCGAGGTCGTATGCTGATTTTGAAGGAGGGACTAGAACCGAGTAGTGAACACAACTAGTGGTTTACTCACCGATTTCTCTTCTATATTGACTCTACTGGCTTCGATCCACTTTCTTTCTGTGTCCGATATTCTCTTACTTTTCGATGGACTGTCAGAACCCAAAGAAAGCCAAAGAATGGACCACAGAAGACCTATTCCTCCGTAAAGGTAGAAAACCAGAGGCCAACCGACTTTGGTAGCAGCAATGGCCCCTGTGATAGGCATGGCAAAAACGTTCCCCAAAGCTTGACCTGAAAAAAATGGAAGTTTACAAAAATGTGATTTTGTAGTAAATTCAAACAATTTTAGATATTCTAGATAACGTCTGAAACGTCAAAATATAAAGTATCAAAATACAATCTATAGGAATATATTTCATCAGAATGGTAATCGACAGAAATTGTATTCTTTAGGCACGTGTTTCATCTCAATGTACAACATGAAACCGTAATTCGTAGGAGTGTATAATAGCAAAAGGTGAGGCGTCTCAATGTGATCCATCAGAATGGTATTGAATAGAGATCGTATTCTAACAATAATTCATCAGAACCGCTAGGTAATTCATCATAATCTAATTCTGTCGTATGATATAGAAATTGTAATACAACAGAATCTCATTTCATAGCAATAGTAAATCATTAGAATCGTATTTTGTGAAAACCTCATTGTTTGGTAACGTTTTTCATCGAGTGAGTAATCGATCAGAATTTTGAATAGTCACTTCAGTAAAACATCATCATCATTAGAATGCGATTGATTCTCTCAGGTTGATGTTGCGAAGAAGTATGATTATGAAGTCTTATTGCCTCGATAGTATTCAGTTCAGACAAAATACAATTCAGACAAATTACAGTTCTGTATATCTATTATGATAATTCACGATAATGATAGATTATACCGTTCTGACAAAATACGATTCCGACAGATTCCTGTCGCGACAAAATATGGTTCTGATAAATTGTATCCTATACAATACGGTTTTGTTGAATTACCGTTCTGTCAGAATACGATTCTGATGAAATACCAATCTCATGAAATATCGTTATGATGAATTACCATTCCTATGGAGTACAGTATGATGTGTTACGTTGCTATATTTTTTCATTTTCTAGATGATGGATTACATTATGATGTTCGACATTTGGATGAATTACTGCTCCGTTGAATTACGGTTCAGTTGAAAAACAATTTTCATCGAATATATTCTGGTACAATTCGATTTCGATACAATACGTTCTTACGAATTATATGCAGTCCTAAATGACTTACCTGCATAAACAAAGCCTCCCCACTTGGCTCGTTCTGAAACTGGAGCCCACTCGCTCAGAAGGGCGTGAATAGAAGGAACTAGAGCCCCCTGAGCCAAGCCCTGCACGATCCTGCAGATTATTACTCCGATATAACCTAATTCGGCTCCTGCTAAGGGCAAGAGCACTCCTGCCACCGAAGGGATCAATATCGACCCTAGGAGGAACAACCTGGTGCCATACTTCTTGGCTAGCTGGCCTGCTCCAACTTGCAAGCAGACATAGCCCCAGAAAAAGGATGAGAGGATGAGATTCTTCTTGGGCTTCCATTCTGGATAAACCTTGAAAGAGTAACGATGAGGCAAAGATAATGGTATATCTGTTTAATAAATATACAAAGCTCAAAATAATTTCCACCAAAGTTCATGTATGAACGATACTCGTAGATAACGAGAGGAAAACAACTACTTTCCTGGCTATTTGCCGCGCACAACATTGAGGTACATCCTCCCGAAATCAACGCAACGATTCGTATAGACGAATAAGATCGTAAGTGTTTCTTTCCCAACCCTAGCAACTACAGACCGATCGCACTGCTATCTATTATTTCTAAAGATCATGGAGAAAGCTATCAACATCCAGCCCATGAAATATCTAGAACATTCAGGTATTATCAACGATAGGCAATATGGCTTTCGTCATCAGAGATCAACTGGTGACCTGCTCGCTTACGTTTCACATATATGGCAGCAATCTATTGAAAAATATGGTGAAACCTTAGCCGTGGCACTTGATAACGCCAAGGCATTCGATCGAGTCTGGCACCACGGACTCCTCGCCAAGCTTCCATCTTATGGCTTGCCTCCCCAGCTATGTTCTCTGCTAGCTAGTTTTCTCTCAAACAGGTCTCTCCATGTAGTGGTCGACGGAGTTTCATCTGACTCTCTTATCATAAATGCTGGTGTTCCGCAAGGATCAATTCTAGCACCAACACTATTTCTACTACATATCAACGATTTGTTGGAAGCAACTTCATGTCCAGTACACAGCTTCGCGGATGATAGTACCCTTTCAAAGCGCCTTCTCTTCCAGGGCTCCAATACCAGCCAGGCAAATCAGGAACGAACGAGGAAGAAATGTTGACAACATAAATATGGACTTGGCAACAATTCTCGAATGAGGATGCAATAACTTGGTAGATATCAATGCAAACAAAATACAAGCATGCCTTTCCTCTAGAAAAGCCGATCTCACTGTGCCCAACATAAGCTTGTCAGGAATAACCATACCTTTGTAGACATCCATTTCGATGCTTGGTATTACTATCAGCAATAACCTTCCTTATGAAAATCACGTGAGATCAATTGCTGAAAGTACATCCCAAAAACTTGGTCTTCTGTTTCGGGTCAGGAGCTATTTCACTTCCAGTCAGCTGCTCATGATCTATAAGGCACAGATCCGACCTGTCCTGGAATACTGTTTCCATATTTAGAGTGCAGCACCCAAACATACCCTGAAACTGTTGGATTCTGTCCAAAAAAGGGCAATTCGTCTCGTGGGTGATGCCTCGCTCACAAACTCACTCACTCCTTTGGAACACTATAGAAAAGTTGGCGATCTGGGTCTATTTTATAGATATTTTCATGGACGACGCTCTTCTGAAATATCAATTCTATCAAATATCAATTGTTGCTCCCTTGGCAGTCCCCGCGAGATTAACCCGTCGAGTTGAGGCTTCGCACCCCTTCGTGGTCACTTTGGAGACCTGCAGAACATCTTTTTCCAAAGACTCGTTCATTCAATGAACAGCGAGACTCTGAAACACATTGCCAAGGGAGGTGTTCACCGAGGCATATAACCTCCAGAAATTCAAGAAGAACACCAATTCCTACCTCATTTCCCTTGGTTCTCACGATGTTTTCTGAACATTACAGGATATCCCTTTTCGTGGGAACCAGAACATAAAAAAAGCTGAATTGTGCTGAAATTGTTCAGGATCAGGATATCATCAGTGTGGAGGTGTCCCCAGATGGCATTCATGACCGCCATATGGTGCGATCCTGAAATGTGCCTACGTTTGGTCAGGTTCGCACCAGATGGCGGTCATGAATGCCATCTGAGAACTCTTCCACACTGATGAGAGTCAAAATCTCGAAACAGGTCAATTGGTAGTCAAACGTTTTTGGATAATTCAAGCACAATTCAGCATTTAGGAATTAACCACTTGCGATCTTATTCGTCTATACGAATCGTTGCATAGATTTCGAGAGGATTTAATTCAATGTTGTGCGTCGCTTATAGCCAGGAAAGCAGTTGTTTTCCTCTCGTTATCTTCCAGTTTCGTTTTTTCATGAACCTGTGTGGAAATAAATTGGAGCTTCGTATATTTATTCAACATCTTATTCCAATTTTGGCTTTTTCGTAGTTGTACTTCTGTTCGTTGAATGTCTTCCGTGACTAAAGGTATTAGATTTTTGGAACCCTTGTAGGATTTTGAGTCGATGTGTGGAGAAAGTAGAAGCAGCCTATAACTTACCGAATAGTACCTGTCTTTTGGAGGATGTTCATCTACCATTGCTACAATGGCTACATTGAGGACAGTCCTCATTCCATAGCCAAGTACAGTAGCAACGATCATCAGACTATATTGGACATGTCGAAAACCCAAAAGGCCTCCTGAAATGGAGATTTTTCTGTAGAGAATGGCCTCGATTTTTTTCAATGTAGGGGGAAACCGCTATGAAATGGACGGGTCTTGAAACGGACAGTTGTCGTAGTTGCTATGTGTTTGTATGACCGCATATTTCACATTCACATATGGCAACCCTGTACCCAGATCCCACTACGACCAAAATTGCGCGCCGACGCAGTTGATTATGAGTCGACAGCATGCATGTTATTATTATCAGGTGAAAAAGTGAATTATTTGTGAAAATAGTGAACTATGTCACAGGTAAGCTGTTGAAATTAAGTGAATTTCAGATTGATGAGATCAAAACTGAGGTTCTCTAGTACATAAATGTAGAGGTGGATCTCGTGGAATATTTCTCAATTTAATTTTCGTAATGTCATTTTGAGATTAACCGTGTGTTGTTTTGAAGTGGACATCAGACGCTGTGCTGTGTTGAAGCGGACGTCTGATTCTGATGATGAAGTTCCGCTGAGTCAACATTCGCCACTTCCAAAATCTAAACCCAACAATAAACAACACCAATTCAAACCAAAGGAGAACAAAAACCCTAATACTCGAACCAAAGACGACAATACTGCGATTGAACATGGGCATACATGAAACTTGTAACTCAGAGTATTCGACATTTTTATTGTAATAACTGTTCCTAAGATAGTTCCTGTTCGAATAAAAGTTATTTTTGAAGCAATTAATGTTCTTTATTGCAAATATAATTTTCAAAACCACTACTGTCCTCTTCAAAACCTTCACTGTCCGTTTAAATATATCGATGTTATGAAATGGACGAAAGCAACTTTTTTCGAATTTGAATATTACTCAGACCATGAAGTTGTCTGAATTTTTTTTTCAGTTTATTTTACAAACATATTGATGGAACTTTCCGCTCATGCAGTTTTGAATAATTCAATGGTCTATAAAATTTTGATTCCGTTGTTTTTCTTATAGTGTCCACTTCATAGCGGTTCTCCCCTAAATTCTACTTCTTCAAACGGGGAAATATGGAATTCCACTAAGCATGAATTCATCCTATTTAACCATTTTCTTCTTTGTCAAAATTGAATATCGATTCCAAAACCATTGATAAGAGATAATTCGAAATGTAACATTACCTCCAGATGGGTGGTAATAAGTAATAAATGTCGATATCATTCCACTTCTTGAAACGGGGGCATAGTGAAATTCACTTCGAGTATGTTACAATTTGTTAGCAAATATGTATTGCACTTTAGAATAAATAATCAATGCATTCTTCATAAAAGGGAATTGAAACACATATTCAAAGAAGAATTGTTATCGAAAACGAAAGGTTTATTCAATATTTGTGATCATGATCAATTTCTCAACAGTTATAGGTAGAGTATTTTATACAAATATGTTTTTATTTTAAATGAAACACCTTGTAACTCTGACCAGGCAGCACATTTTATCTAGTTCATTTGGGTTAATATTCATATTTTTTGTTAAGGATTCTATAGTTGAAATATTTCCAATCAGTAATGAAACATCCTGTATTCAGCGCCACCAAAACTCAAGCCTGTATTTTCTCTAGAAAGGCGGAACTCAGTATGCCCGATATTGTAATGTCTGGCACCACCATCTGCACCAAGCCCACCATATCTATGCTCGGTATTTCCATCAGCAACACTCTTTCATGGGATAATCATGTCAGATCCATCGCAAAAGCTGCTTCACAAAAACTCGGATTCTTGTTCCGTACGAAAAGCTACTTTACACCTCAACAGCTTCTCATGATCTACGAAGTGCAGATACGGCCTGTTCTAGAATACTGTTCCCACATATGGGGTTCAGCACCAAAACATACGCTGATGCTCTTAGATTTCATCCAGAGAAGAGCCATTCGCCTGGTGGGTGACGCCACACTCACTAACTCTTTGACATCATTGGAACACCGTAAAAAGGTCAGTGACCTTTCACTTTCCTATCGATACTTCCAATGTTCTTCAGAAATCTCTGCTATCATCCCTTCACTAGCAAGACCAGTCAGACGAACTAGACAAGCCCAGTCAGCACGTCCTCCCGTTGTCAACCTCGAAAGATGTCGAACATCACTTCATCAAAACTCCTTTATCCATAGAACGGCTAGACTCTGGAATTCATTACCTGAGGAAGTATTCCCAACAACATATAATCTCCAGAAATTCAAAAAAAATGTCCAATACCTACCTCCTGTCCCTATCCTCCCTAGGAACGCACGATGTTCTTTGAACATTATAGGGATTTTCTTTCGTGCGCTCCAAGCGATAAAAAAAAGTTACATACTAAGAATTATCATCAATTTGCTGCATCATGATTACTTTAATATCGATTTTTGAATTACTGTCCATCAATAAGTAATGAAATAGTAAGTAAAAATACTGAGTAACTTACCAGGCTTTTTTGAGATATCCATTTCTTGCCCTTTATTGCGAAAAATAATTTTTATGATAATAGGTGGGAAGGTGACATACTTTCGCAAAGATCCATTATGTTTTTCATTGGAAACTCAAAGTCTATCACACAAAGTCGAGTGAAAACTGTATGCGGGGAAACAATGGAAAAAAGCATGTCGAGTATGTGGGTATTTTGTCTTTTATCTAACAAGAACACTCATACAGGACCGGCTCAAATGATGTGGGGGACTGTTTGAATAAAATTCATACACTATCCACCATCGATTTGGAATGAGCCTACCCAGCGAGCACAAAAACATCTCAGAGATGTTGAAAGTACGAGATTTCGAGACATTGAACCTCCACTGCGATGTTCTGTTCACACATGAATAGAACTATTATAGAACAGGCAATGTGCGCCGCAGGCGGCGATTATCGAGATGTCCTTGATATGTCACAAAACTACCTTCTCCCTAGTTCTTTTCAAAGCCTTTTCATGGACACAACAAATCAATTTCAACGCGTCTTGCGCACATTAAATCGCTGTAAAAAAACATTTTCGAGGTACTTTTCTGAAGCCTCATGTCAAAATGAACTTTTGCATCAGGATTCCATTTCCCTTGAATGAAAAAATGCATTAAAAATAGATTGAACACAAAAATATTTTCTCGATATGAAATTACCTTCTTAATCGGTTTCTGAGTAGTGCTTACTACACACAGACATATAATTGGAAATATGTTTTCCACAATGCATAATTTTGCAACTGCGGAGAAGCTGTGTATTGATAAATTCGTACTTATATATATTGATTACACTGACGCACCGAACAACACATCTTGCATCTGATGGTCATTATTACAAACTAAATAAGTCTTCTAACACAATAAACTTCACCAAATTCCTTTCTGTTCGTTAGCAGCGTGATGTAAGCGTGACACGCTGCAAACGCGAATGCCAATTGCGAACAAGAAGAACAAAATCGAAAACAAATCAGAATTCATCGTATTGTGACGTAAGCATGATACGTTGTGGTGGGACAAACAAAGAAAGGGCACAAAAGAACAAAAACAAAACTTCCAATATCCTTCTAAGACCTCTTTGGGGATAAGTGCATATTACGCCTCAAAAAAACATCCTCATACCTACATTTCTAAAACATCCCAAAACATCCCAGGGATACCTCTCAGTAGGCAAACAAAGAAATGCCACAGAAGCACAAAAACAATACTCCAATATACTTCAAAGACCTCTTTGGTCAGTGCATATTACGTCTCAAAATAACATCTTCATGCCAACATATTCAAAACATCCCAAAACATACCAGGGATGTTTGTACTCGTTGAGTAACAATGTATACTGTAGACTGTAGAGGAAGTTGAGAAAATGTCAGTGGTTTGGGAGTTATTTTGCAAAGTATTTTTCCTGACTCTGGGAAGATGAATCAAATTGATCAGACGTAATAGGAGTGTAAAATTTCTACTAGGACTATAAATGCAGCATATCTCAATGCTTTTGAACTTCTAAATTCGATATGTTTCGGTTCTAAATTGAACAATATTGTTCAGAATGAGGAAAGCTATCATGAATTTCGCAAGTCCCGTCCTGTTGAAATAATTAATTAGTGTATGTTAGATTATATCTTCTGATTAATAAATAATAAGTCTCCAGATTGATAAATAGGTTCCGAATCAATCAGATTGATGCTGATTAAATCTTATGAACTATTACGAAATATATTTAATAAGCATTAATAGAGACTTGGAAACAATTTCGAAACGAAAAAGTTTGTGAGCGAGCAGGCCAATGATTATGAACTGGAGAATTGGAGATTCCAAAATAAATTTCTTATATAGACTCCGTGCTTAGGTTCACAGAAAATATGTAACCTATAAACTCAAAACAGCTTATGCATCTCTGAAATTAATACAGGGTGCGACATTAGTGCGTCGGAGCTCGATTGCTCAAGTTCTATATGATAGCTAGAAACTCGATTCATAAACGAATGTCAATGAGTCAACAAGGTTCGTAACTAGAAATTATTGCCACATATACAGGGGGCATCGGAAAAAATCTAGAGGGTCAGGATCATTTTTTCATTATCCCGAGAATGAAGTCGGGGGTCCGACTTTAAAGTCGGGATCCCGAGATTGAAGTCGGGATTCGAAAAAAAAAAAATACCTATAGCCCTTCAGCGTCTTCGTAGCTTACTCAAAAGAACACAAGCATCTTCATTACTGGTGCATTTCCATTCATTTAGTGATTCACAACCAATACATCCAATGCAGAGATCCAGTACAAATATTTTTGATCTTGATTGGAGCTTATCTCATAATATGAGAACTTATCAGTCGGTTTGAAGACGATTATAATGCAAATATTTCAGTTATATCTCATGTCATTCGGAGATAATCTGCTGTGGAAAAGTTACGAAATGTTGATCTACTCACTGCATTGGAACTAAGCATTTGCTTTAAGAACAATAGTGTGATAATTCAAAATTCTTCGTTTTGAGAAAATCGACTTTGAAAATTTTCACTTCTTAATGATGATGAATTCGTCTCTGGTGAACCTCATTCACCGCGAAAAGTATATTTAGTTCAATATAAGCTTACATGAGAAATTTTTAGTTATAATATTTTCGAATATTGTTTTCCAATTTTTCAAGAAAAAGTTTCGACATGTTACAGTTTTGATTCATCATATTCGACAATTTTTAGAGATGTCACGCCTGAAAAGCAGCAATTTTCTGAGATGTTACTTCTCAAAAACTTGCCGTATAACATGTATTATAGGTATTTTTCTTCATTTCTTCAAGACTGGATTTATTGAAGATGTGCTCTGAGTTCTATAAGAACAATTTTTTTTTAGTTCCTATCATTTCAGCAAAATCCAAATCGTGCCCTTCGGTTGCTGAACATTCCTCTTTTGGCAGTTTAACTATTTTCTTTAGTTTCTGAATAGAAACAATCGAGTATTTGCGAAAGACAAATTTTGAGCTGGATAGCAATAAGTTTCATTGAAAATTCGCATAAAGTTGAAATGGAATAGTTTCGGAAGAAAAGTGAAGTGGTAAATTTTCTGAAAGGAGGAAATACCTATGATGAATGAAATTTACAATCAAATCTATTCTTGGGAATTCATTCAAATACACATATTTTCGAATTTTCAATCCGAAGAAATTATAATATATTCTTGAAAATTGGAATTTAAACATAAGGTGGAGCTTGATATGTCATGCAAAGAGAAATTACATTCAAATTACATACATTCGAAAGTTTCATTCTAGTTTTGTATTTCTTCTTTTTATTTTTGGGGGCTACCTTCTTGTTGCTATTATTTCGATCTTTCTGCAAAAGCTCGTATTACCTACTCCATTTCATTAAGTGCAACGCATGCAATAATGTGACAAATCGAAATATTCCATTTACAACTCAAAAATTTGTTGCATGTAATTCATTATTTCATTGAATGATGAAACTGTAATAACGTGACAATTCAAAAAAATTTAAATCGTGTTTAAACAATAAGGTGACTTTATGACTTGTCACATTATTTATCATAAAAATTTCCTCAAAGTCAGAATACGAGGCGTATCCTGCGAAGTTTAGGTGACAACGCAAAAAGTAACTTTCTTGCTCGCAGCAGCTATTTGACCTAGAGATGTCACGATATTCTAGAAGTGTAGAGCTCGAAATTTGCTATCCGATGGTGGTTCTAACTCAAAAATCAACTTTTTTGAGTTGTACAAATATTGTTCTCAACGTGCGATATACGTATAAGATCTTTGCTACCAAAGTTCCTAATCAGTGTCTCATATATAAAATAGCATGTTCCTTTTTGAGCTCCATATTGATCAAACATACCTACACTTTCTTATATCCCGAACTCACTCAATTGAAACTCAAGCCTGTATTTTCTCTAGAAAGGCGGAACTCAGTATGCCCGATATTGTAATGTCTGGCTCCACCATCCCCACCAAGCCCACCATATCTATGCTCGGTATTTCCATCAGCAACACTCTTTCATGGGATAATCATGTCAGATCCATCGCAAAAGCTGCTTCCCAAAAACTCGGATTCTTGTTCCGTGCGAAAAGCTACTTCACACCTCAACAGCTTCTCATGATCTACAAAGCGCAGATACGGCCTGTTCTAGAATACTGTTCCCACATATGGGGTTCAGCACCAAAACATACGCTTATGCTCTTAGATTCCATCCAGAGAAGAGCCATTCGCCTGGTGGGTGACGCCACACTCACTCACTCTTTGACATCATTGGAACACCGTAGAAAGGTCGGCGACCTTTCATTATTCTATCGATACTTCCACGGGAAATTTTCTTTGGTGATCTCTGCTGTCATCCCTTCACTAGCAATACCAGTCAGACGAACTAGAGAAGCCCAGTCAGCACATCCTTTTGTTGTCAACCTCGAAAGATGTCGAACTGCACTGTATCAAAACTCATTCATCCATATTACGGCTAGACTCTGGAACTCATTGCCTAAGGAAGTATTCCCAACAACATATAATCTCCAGGAGTTTAAGAAAAATCCCAATACCTACCTCCTGTCCCTATCCTCCCTAGGAACGCACGATGTTCTTTGAACATCATAGGGATTTCCATTCGTGCGTTCCAAGCGATAAAAAAAATTACACAATAAACAAATTCAATAAGACAGAAGTGTAAAATGGATTTCCGTTCAGTTTCAAATACTGTCAATTGGCCATGGCATACTATATACAGGGTGTTCATTTCAGGACTTCCCACCCTAATTTTCTCGAAATGTGTGTATGTTTTTGAAAAATCCCGAGACACGTCAACTACATTTTCGAGGGGGACATGGTTCTAAAATATTTTCAGCCCCGCGGCGTTGCCGCTTCTAACGAAAAGAAGCAACAACTTTGTTATTTCAAATGGAACACCCTGTATTTTATTGCATTTTTAGATTTTCCCTGAGAAGCTGATTTCATCAATGTATCACACTTGGGGTCTAGCAGGAATGATTACAGAGATATAGGGTGTTCAAAATCGAGATTTTACAACTTTAGGATTTTTTTGAGTCGAAACTATTCATTATTGGTCAAAACGGCTTTCATGTCCCTATCTCAACTTCTGATTTACTATCTACTGACATTTATTTGAAACAAATACAGGGTGGTTCAAGATTCAGACTTTTGATCACCCTGTATTTGTTTCAAATAAATGTCAGTAGATAGTAAATCAAAAGTTGAGATAGGGACATAAAAGCCGTTTTGACCAATAATGAATAGTTTCGACTCAAAAAAATCCTAAAGTTTTAAAATCTCGATTTTTGAACACCCTATATCTCTGTAATCATTCCTGGTAGACCCCAAGTTAGATACATTGATGAAATCAGCTTTTCAAAGGGAATCTTAAAATGCAATAAAATACAGGGTGTTCCATTTGAAATAACAAAGTTGTTGCTTCTTTTCGTAAGAAGCGGCAACGCCGCGGGACTGAAAATATTTTGGAACCATGTCCCCCTCGAAAATGTAGTTGACGTGTCTCGGGATTTTTCAAAAACATACACACATTTCGAGAAAATTAGGGTGGGAAGTCCTGAAATGAACACCCTGTATACACTTTTATAACGCATTGATTTGGATCGAGACTCGAGAGATAGGCCGCCTGAAATACGTTTTAAAATGATTTTAAGAACGACGTACGCTCTCAAACATTATGTTCGTACTAGTTACACAGAGAAAATTATGTTCCATCTACTGAAGACTACGTTATTCTCCATTTCTTCATTCAGTATTTCTTGTATCACTTTGTATAGACTTCTTTAGAATTTCCTGTTCGAACACGATCACATATCCGACGACTATAAATACGACGTTGATTCTTCGAAAAAGAATCCCAACTTCCAATTTCATTCAATTAATCGTCGAAAAAATGCATTATTTTGAATGAATATTCATAACACGATTATCAAAGTTCTGAATTTGAAAATTCCGAAAACGTTCCGAGAGAAAGCATCAACCCAGCGAGCACAAACATCCCTGGGATGTTTTGAAAATGTTGGCATGAATATGTTATTTTGAGACGTAATATGCACTGACCAAAGAGGTCTTAGAAGGATATTGAAAGTATTGTTTTTGTTCTTTTGTGCCCTTTCTTTGTTTGCCCCACCACAACGTCTCATGCTTACGTCACAATACGATGGATTTTGATTTGTTTTCGATTTTGTTCTTCTTGTTCGCAATTGGCATTCGCGTTTGCTGCGTGTCACGCTTTTACATCACGCTGCTAACGAACAGAAAGGAATTTGGTGAAGTTTATTGTGTTAGAAGCATTTAGAAGACTTATTTAGTTTGTAATAATGACCATCAGATGCAAGATGTGTTGTTCGGTGCCTCAGTGTAATCAATATATAAAAGTACGAATTCATCAATACACAGCTTCTCCGCAGTTGCAAAATTATGCATTGTGGAGAACATTTCAAAAATTAGGAAACCCATTTCCAATTATATGTCTGTGTGTAGTAAGCACTACTCAGAAACCGATTAAGAAGGTAATTTCATATCAAGAAAATATTTTTATGTTCAATCTATTATTAATGCATTTTTCCATTCAAGGGAAATGGAATCCTAATGCAAAAGTTCATTTTGACAAAAGGCTTCAGAAAAGTACCTCGAAAATGTTTTTTTTACAGCGATTTAATGTGCGCAAGACGCGTTGAAAATGTTCTGTTGTGTCCATGAAAAGGCTTTAAAAAGAACTAGGGAGAAGGTAGGTTTGTGACATATCAAGGACATCTCGATAATTGCCGCCTGCGGCGGCCATTGGCTGTTCTATAATAGTTCTATCCATGTGTGAACAGTACATCGCAGTGGAGGTTCAATGTCTCGAAATCTCGTACTTTTAACATCTCTGAGATGTTTTTGTGCTGCTCGGTGGGAATCAAGAGGTTACAGGTGAGAAATAAAATAAAAAAATTATCTGTTCAAACGGTAAGGTGACAACCATGATGCAATTTTACACCCATTCAATTATCACCCTGTAGCAATGTTATCTGGAATCACAGAAGTTTCATATTGCCACAACAAACCGTTAAGAGATTTGGCTAATCATCGGTGCGAAAACCGATTTCAAATTGGTAAGGAAATTCGTGAGTTTTTCTACTTTGAATTCAAGTTATATTTTGGACCACGACGTTATCAATGTTGACCAGTTTAGTTGGAGTAGGTATCAATGAAACGAAGCTATTTGTTAAAAATATTTAATAAATTATATCATCTCTTTTCAATAAAAAAAATGTGTCTCGAAACATTGCTCAAAATAAAATTTTATTTACTGAACTGTATTGTACCCGTCTATAAAATCACCGAACACAAAAAGTATACTATTTGATGGCGAAAATTTTCGGTATCTAAGCGACCTTCGACAAAGTCCACTACCATGGTTCCAAACCAAATCGAATCTTATCCTATTTCGAAAACTCTCAGCTGCGTTATCTGCCGTTTCGGTACATGGGTTCTTTCTCCGGGATACTTTCGACGTCGTCTGCCGGACTATTCCAAGGTTGCACCTCCCCGGAGGCTGCAAAGTTGTAAAAGAGACCTGTCGTCGAGAATAATACTGCTGCTGTGAGGAACACCACGTTCCAGAGTTGCTTGTCAGTCTGCGAAAAAAACATAAATAGTTATTTTTTCTGTGACGGGAAGAAAGTTTGGCATTTCATCTCTGTTGGCAGGTTATAAAATGTCACTCTCCATAAATTACTTTTTTCTCGTGGGAAAAAATGAGTACTTTTTCCCGGATATATATCACTTATACAGTGTGTCCACCTTAGGGACTTACCACCCCTGTAAAATCGTTATTATCCGACCAATTTCAGAAAAAATTTTTTTGTTGAATAGGTATTCGAAATGCCCATTCAACGAGAGAGTGACTGTTATCGTGGCCAACTGCGACAAATTTCAATGACCCACATTCCAGAAAGTACCATTAAGGATTTTTTTCCACGAAACTTGATGATGGATTCTGAATCAGTACCACTTGAAATATACCTGTACCGATTTTCATCATCATAAAACACAGGGTGTCCGAAAAAACGAATCATCATTTTCTTCAAATAGGTGATCAGCAAATGTAGTTCTGTGGTTTTTACAGAAAGAAATTATGACAAATTATCATTGAGGATTATTTCAAATATACCTGTACCAATTTTCGTCATTTGAATATACAATGTGTCTGAGAAAAAAATTAAAAAGAACAGGTAAGCAATATTTTTTATCCTGATAATTCTTCACTCAGAATAAAAAGATTAATCAGGATCACTTGGAACTTACCTGTACCGATTTTCATCATCATTGAACACAGGGTGTTCGAAAAATCAAATTAATATTATTTTTGAGTTGATGAAAAAATATTGCCTACTTTTTCTTTTTAATTGTTTTCTCATACACATCGTATTTTTGAATGATGAAAATCGGTACAGATATGTTCAAAGTGATCCTCAATAATAATGTGTCATCAATTCTTCTCAAAAATACCACAATACTACATTTTCTGATCACCTATTAAAAAAAAAACATAATTCGTTTTTTGGACACCCTGTGTTTTATGATGATAAAAATCAGTAAAGGTGTTTTTCAAGTGATCGTGATTCAGAATCTATCATTGCTTTTTGTGAAAAAAAATCCCTAATAGTACTTTCTCAAATATGGGTCAATAAAGTTGGTCGCATCAGTTGGCCACGATTACAGTTCATGAGTAAAATCACTCTCTTGTTGGATGGACATTTCAAATACCTATTCAAGAAAAAAAAGTTTCTTTAAATCGTTCAGATAATGACAATTTTACAGGGGTGGTAAGTCCTTAAGGTGGACACACTGTATATACTCTGTTGATGGCTTTTGTTGTGCTATAGTTCCGAAAAATGAGTCAATAATACCGTCTCCGAGAAAGAACTGCAAGTCCTTTCATCTTCCATTCGACTTCGCGGTTATGTATATAACGAATCAATATTGATAAAATATCACATTATTTTGAAATCTGAAAATTATCGACGTGAAATTTGAAGTTTTTAACAGTAGGGACACCTGCGTTGTAGGCATCTTCATCATTCTTTTGAAGTAATCAAATATCTGATGTCACTTCTGTCAGTCTAATTCTCTGATTTGATTTCAAAAAATTGCGAATTTAGTGATTTTTTAGTAATATACGTAACCGCGAAGTCGAATGGAAGATAAAAGGAATTGCAGTTCTTTCTCGGAGACGGTATTATTGACTCATTTTTCGGAACTATGGCACAACAAAAGCCATCAAAAGTGTATATATGTGATATATATCCGGGAAAAAGTAGTCACTTTTTTCCCACGGGAAAAAAGTAATTTATGAAAAGTGACATTTCATAATCTGTCAACAGTGATGAAATGCCAAACTTCTTTTCTCGAATACACCTTTTCTCGAATACACCTTGCTTTATTTCGTTTTTAGACAGCTAGTTTACCAGTCGCTCAGACCCCGTCAGAAAAAAAAATGTTCGCCCATTATCGAGATTATCCTGTGTACTTTCCTTACACGGAAAAAAAGAATTGTTGCATCAACAAATTATTTATAAATAATTACAAATAATTACAAAAAGCTCAAAGTGATATCCACACAATGTTCATTAAATGAACAATGATAAATTTCGAGAGAAAAACGACTACCTTTCTAGCTAATGCAACACAGAACATTGAATTACATCCTCCGGAAATCTATGCATCGACTCGTATCAACGAATACTGATACAAGTGAATCTTTCCTGAATGCCTATTGATTTCTATTCAGCCAGGCCACCCTAGACACCTACAGACTCTCATCAGTGCAGGGCAGTCTCCAGCCAGCAGTCCTAAGACCGCCGACTAAGCGTAGCCTAGCCAAACAAAAATCAAGTCGGCATTATATTCCCCCAGAGGCGTCTTTCATCGACAACATGAAAGCAACACCATCAGAGTAGAAACGAAGGAGAGAAATACTCCAAAACTGAAATGTAATATCCACACATACGACATCGGGATGCTAATATCAATTTAGAAAATCGGATAGATATGTAAATAGTGATCCTTACGAATATCTTGCAAATTTCGAACCGATTTTTTTTAGAGATAGTAAAAGCATGAGACTTCTGGGCAGATTGAACTTTTTTTGAGGGTGTTGAGAATGAAAGATAAAACTTTGAGAAGTCTGATGAAAAACCGAAATTGACACTCAAAATCACAACTTTGAGACCTGTCCAAAATTAAAGGACAAACTCCATAAATTCTTGAAAATTATTTGTAATTTGGCAATGCTGGCATTCCCAAATTTCTTTAACATAATCAGAAATTACTTCATGAATGTACTCAATATTTTTCCGAAGTATGAGAAAAACAAATGTCAAAACTATCTAATTGACCAGCAAATAATTGGAAAAGAATTAAAATATGACTGCAGAGGCGAACAGTTTCATTTTTCTAGAGGGTTGAGAATAAAAATGTCTGACTTTCAAAATTTCTTCAACATAATTCGAATTCAACGTTCAATTTCAACTCTTTATGTGGCCTACCTAATATTTTTCCTAGGGGGCATTGAGAAACCAAATATAAGAATTCCAAAATTTCTTCAACATTTAATTCAACAAAAGCTGAAATTGTTGATCCATGGGCGTACCCATATTTTTTCCAATAGAGTACTCAGAATTTCGAAATTTCTTAAACATCATTCAAACAATAATCAATACGTGACACCATGGGCGCACTCGTTTTTTTTTCCAAGGGGTCAGTCACAAAACAAAAACACCGTTAAACCTGCGAAATATTCACCTCTTTGTAATCCCCCACAGCCTTGAAAACATCGACGGCCAACGGGGCCAAAATGGCTGCCACATTCCCAATGGCGTTCGTGATACCCATCAGGGTACCGGAATGGTTAGGTGCAATGTCAATGTGGTTGACGTGGAAACCGATCAAGATGGCGGTGTTGAAACCGACAGCGATCACCAGCAAAAAGACGGTCAACGCTCTGTATTCGGAGCCGATGAAACAAAGCACGAACAGAGTGATTGCTGGTACGAAAACGCCTAAAAATGCGGAAAATTTTCATTGGAAAAGTGTCCAGTTTTCACCTTATCACCATACAGGGTGTCTCGTAAAGACCACGTCAAACCTAGGGAGAATGTAGATCAAAGAATAACCTACCTGCATATAAAAAAAATTCCCATTTTCGAGATATTTTTTTTTAAGATATTGAATTTCTGCCCCTTTCAATAGTTTTGTCAGTACGGTTGGAACAATTTTACACCTTTTCGGTTCATTTTTTCAGTAAATATTGCTGAAGAATGATTCTAACATACCGGGTGTTAACGAATCTATTATACGAGTCATAACTTCTAGACCATTAGGTGTATCAAAATGAGATTTGGTATAGGTAAATGGTATGTGACTCCGGTTCTAAATTTTTAAATGGAACACCCTGTATATTGTAACATTTTTGGATTTCTTGACAAAAGTAATGAATTATTATGAAGTATTTTCGTCAGTCATATTTAATTCATGTTTTTATTTGTAATCCAATCGCAAATAAATTAGTATCCTTAGATTCCTCAAAATATCCTTTTTTCGGAAAGTGCTTGTCAAAAAATATTTTCTTATTCATCTATCATACTTGTCACTAAAACTTCGCGATTGTAATTTTCTGATATCACCTGGGGTCCTTAGATTAGTTTACTCCGAATCATAGCCACCTAGATGTAATTTCAAAAGTGAATCCGAAAACATCAAGTAGGCATATAAACTTTAGAAAATGTCACATTCTGATCTAGAATTGTCTCAGAAATCAAAAAATGTTACAATATACGGGGTGTTCCATTTAAAAATTTAGAACCGGAGCCATTTCCGGTGAAACCGGATGTGACCGGAAAGTGAAAAATATGTGAGAACTCTCCTCGTCAGATACCATTTACCTATACCAAATCTCATTTTGATACACCTAATGGTCTAGAAGTTATGACTTGTCTAATAGATTCGTTGACACCCGGTATACATTGTGAGAAATATTTCTACTGTAAACTTTGGTAGTGGATATTTTCGAAAAAAAAATCTCGAAAACGGTAAGACTTTTATAATGGGTTCTCCTTTGATCTACATTCTCCCTAGGTTTGACGTGGATTTTACGGGATACCCTAATAAGAATCTTGAAAGAGAATCGGTATTTTCATGAACTGGTTGGAACCCGCTACTGATTCAATAATGAATTGGTGGAGTTTCGAGTTATCTTTGAGAAAGCTTTTCTCGGAAAGTTTCAACAATGAACTTCTCATATTCTCACCTGAATTAGTAAACGTACTGGTCTTGGGTGTGAGATCACAAAATATTTCAGAAGTTATACAGTGTGATCAAATTCGCATTGTCATTCAGAGGATTTCTGGAACCCTTAAATTTGTCTTAATGAAACAGTGAAAAAGCGTGTTCATAATTGAATTTACGTTTTCTGCAATCGGCTCAAGTCGTCCATTTTTGTTCCAAAATTAGCTCTTGAAGTAGACGCTCTTCTTATTGACACAATAAAATGATTAGTATGTATGTTGCTAGGCAATACTTCGAGTGTCTAGGAGCTGAAGTTTAAGTTCAACTCCTAGGAACTAAAAACGTGTCGGATGACGAATGACAGCTGATATGATAGCTGCTTCGACACAGACATGCTGAAGTGATTCAAAATAGTGGTATTTTCACTTATATTTTATTAATTTGATATCAGTTATTTCGATTGCAAAAAAATAGCATGTTTCATTCGGTACAAAAGTGACTCTGTTTGACTCGCAAACGCAAATATTGCTTGTCAAACAAAGTGTAACATTTGATCCTAATAAAACAATGCACAATTATATTGTTAGAAACTTGATGCATTCGTAGTTTCAGCTTTTGAAATTCTAGGACGTTTCATTTGAAGAGAATGACTTTTACTATCGAGCACTAGTATCTATGATATCAGGAGTTATATACAGTGTGACCAACTTTCAATGTCATCTTGAGGTTTCAAGAAACCCCTCAACTAATTTATTTGCAAATTAAACGCTGAAACGGCACGTTTATAATTAAATATAACTCATATTGGTAAAAGAATGAATATTTAAGGCGTTCTATTGAAAAAATGACATTCATCATCGAGCACTAGAACCTTTGAAAACACTTATCTCAGAAAGTTTCAACAATGAAGTTCCCAAATTCCCACCTGAATTAGTAAACTTACCGGACTCGGGTGTGAGATCACGAAATCAATCGGAAGTTCTACAGTATGATGGTCCTTTAAAGGTTTCAAGAACCCTTCAACAACTTTTCAAATGGAATGTTGAAACGGCATGTTTATCATTGAATATAATTCATATTGGTAAAAGCATAATGCACACGTACGTTGACCTTGTGAACTTTCAGGGAGTTATCTTTGAGAATGCTTTTCTCCGAAAGTTTCAACATTGAAACTCTCAAATTCTGACCTGAATTAGTAGACGTACTAGTCTTTGGTGTGATATCACAAAATATATCAAAAGTGATAGTGTCATTAGAGATTTTATTTTCAATTGAAACGTCATTGAATTTGATGAAAAGTACTTTTATCAATTCGACTAGCTCTGATGTAAATTTGAAAACCAAACTGAAGGTTGTTACATTGAATTTATAAAAATTTTTGACATGTGGCATAAATTGTTCCTAAAATAGTATACACAATTCAAGTCAGGTTATTTCATTCGAGATAAGAGACTCACACCTGTTTCCCATTGGTTACTATTTCAGATGATCGTTTTCTTGAATATTGCAGGTCCCATCCAGTTATACAGTAGATATGAAAATTATTGAGTCGCAAATTAACAATCCATGCTCTTCATATCACATAAAAACAAAGTTTACATGCACGAAAATTATTTGCACTAATTTTCATGGTGACTTTTGAAGTTATTGAAATGTATTTCCATAAGGCTAGTTATTCCTAACCTCTGAAATCGAGTATGAATGTTTCGTGTTCTCAAATGTTGACCTTGAAATTTGAAGTGAAATATTGATGAAATGTAATGTGATATCTGAGAACATCAAGTAAATTTCCACTTATCATCCTTGTCAAACCGAAACAACATGTTGAGAACCGCTGTGAATGTCGAAAAATTACCAATTTTTATTCACATCAACAAAAAACAACGTTGCAAAAATATAAGCTGCAGTATTTATCAAACGAGGTGTGGCTATCCAGATACAATTACTTAAACGAATAAATAATCAATTCGAAAAATGTTTTTGTCTTTTGGAGCGCACGAAAGGAAATTCCAAAGTGATTTCTTTATTATCTCAGTGAAAATTTGAAAAATTGGGATTTTTCAAAAATAACAGGAACCCTTCGAAGGGTTCCAGGACATTCCGGAATAGAGGGAAATGATGCAGGGGACAAACTAGCCAGTAAAGAAGCTTAAATACCCTTCCTGGAGCCAGAACCTTCTGCTGGATCAGTATAGCAGTACAGTATCAGAATAAAAAATCACAAAGAAGGAAACTAAACGGAGATTAGACTTCTGGGAAAATCTTGAAGGTCTCAGAACCACAAAAAATCGAACTCATATGTCAGCCTGAGCAAAAATGAACTTAGTTTACTAACAGGAGTCCTAACAGAGTACTGCGGGTTGAAAGGGCCTGAAATGAAGCGTCGTGCTATATGATTTTATACAAAAAATTTCTCAACAAATAATCCTTTTGTGGTGAGGATTGCTTCCTTTCTTTTTCGAAATGATTGATCAAGAAAATTACTTTGAAGGCGTTTCCCATATTGCACCAGTACGTCCCCAAAACGTACTGGGAACGTCTGGTGAAGACGTTTCGTACGTACTGGGGACGTCCAGATTTGGACCGTAGACGTACCGTAGGTACGTACTGAAGACGTCCAGATTCCGCGCATTTGTAGATACCCAGAACGTTCATTCTGGGTCATGAATACCTTTTTTTACTAAGATCAAAGAATAGATCTAGGCAGGGTAGGAAATATGTTATTTTGAATTAGACTTTTCAAAAATGAGCTTCTACCGGGGAACGATCCCGGGACGGGCAGATGCTCTACTTATTATTCTACAGATAACCATAGAACTAAATACAGAACACTTATTAATTCACCAGTGAACAACAAAAGAGTATGTGCAAATGTCGATTGACCCTTCATATTGATAATTCCATAAAATTAGATGATTTTGGCAGAGAATAGATGTTTCGTGATTTGGTACGGCCAGTAGAAAATGAATTATGAGAATTGTATTATGTTCATGTTTGCAAGGTTCCTACATGAATAGATATCAGAGATCGAGGGTAGAAATTATATGCAATGATTTCAATTATCATTATACAATTTATTCAATCCCATTCACAAAAAGTCGATAACGTCCAGAGTTGGACGAAATCAGTACATCGGAATCGTACGTCAAGAAATCAACGTTCTTAGTACGTTTTGAAAAGTTCTCGGTCGTTCACACCTAAAATGAACGTCCCCAGAACGTCGAGTGATATTTGGGTGACTGTTGGGGCCGATAGTGATTCGCTATTTCAATGATGTTTTTTCTTTCGCTCCCCTAACAACACAGGGATGTCCTATAGGTACGTTCCTTTTTTATCCAGCGGTACAAGGACATGATTGGGGCATCCAGGGGATGTCCCGCAGTGGTTGTCCAGTGGACATCCCGCCCGGACCATCCCTAGGTTATCCTATTCGTGTCCCTGGAATATCTGATATCCATTCACATCAGAGTCATTGAATTTCATCAAAATATTGAGTTGAATTTTTTTGAAAGTTTTTGTTTGTCTTCCGGAAGATAATTGTAATGAAAATATAGTATATAGTCTCAGAACTTCTTAAGAAATGACCAAGAATGATAATAATTATACATGAAATCCTAACAAAGTTGTATTCATTCAAGTTCCAGGTTTGTACTGTTTAAAAATCTGTTTGGTACATAAATCTTCATGAGGAATATTAGCCAATGAAGTAAGGTGCATGCCTAATAAGCTGAAGGTCCTGGGTTCAATCCCTACTCGACATTCATTTTTTTCTTTTGTCGAAGGGATGTCCCTGGAATATCCTTGGGACGTCCTAGGGATATCCTTTCTTCATACTTGGTACAGGGTGATTCACCATAGATGTTCCCCCCTCTAGCTCACTTATTTTTGAACCGATTCAAAAATTTGAAAAATGATCCAAAATGATTTTTCATTTCATATTGCATCAGAAAATACAGGGTACTCGGAACAAACAATCTACAGAGTACTACTTGATTTTTTCAAATGGAACACCCTGTATTCCATTGTATTTTCAGATTCTTCCTGAAAAGCTGGTTTTATCAATATATCACACATGGGGTCTAGCGAGAATGATTACAGAGATATATGGTGTTCAAAATCGAGATTTTCCAACTTGTGGTTCAAGATTCAGAATTCTGATCACCCTGTATCTGTTCCAATTATTAAATGTCAGTAGATAGTAAATCAAAAGTCAAGATACGGATATAAAAGCCGTTTTGACCGATAATGTATAATTTCGTCCCAAAAAATCCTAAAGTTGAAAAATCTCGATTTTGAACACCCTATATCTCTGTAATCATTTCCACTAGACCCCAAGTGTGATGCATTGATCAAATCAGCTCTTCAGGGAGAATCTAAAAATGCAATGAAACATAGGGTGTTCCATTCAAAATATTCAAATAGTACCCTGTAGTTCGTTTGTTCCGAGCACCCTGTATTTTCTGATGTAGCGAAAAACAACTTTATCGAAAATCATTCAAGATGATATCTCAAATTTTGAAATCGGTTCAAAAATAATTGAGCTAGAGGGGGGGAAATTTATGGTGAATCACCCTGTACATCCCATCAGGGACGTGCCAGAAGGACATCTCTTTATGTCCTTTTCGTCGGAAAGTGGATGTCCCTGGGACGTCCCTAGTATGTACTTTGTCCCGACAAAGGATATCCCTGGGACGTCCCTGGGAAGTCCCTAGGATTAACTTGTGTTGTGAGGGCATTTTCGATATACGGTGTACGTCCGACTCTGGAGTTATCGATTTTTGGTGGGCGGGATAAACATATAACATAGGAATATTGAAATCATTGCAAATAATTTATACCCTCGATTTCTAATCTATCCAGTAGAAACCTCGGAGACATGAGCATAATACAATTCTCACAATTTTGAGTAGGCACACCTCGTTTCGCGAAATATTAGATAAGTATGTTTTTGTCGTGAGAGGGCATCAGTGGTCCTCAACAAGTTGAAGTATCACACTCTCTCAACAGATCTCCAGTTGAAGGCATATAGGTTCTCACCTATACTGTTAAATATTTTTCTACTAGCACCGACAGTGGTTATCTTATTGCTGATAAGGTAATCAGCTATAGGACTCATCACCAAATTTAACAGCCAATATGCTAAGTAAGGCACGGCGGACAAAGCACTGTTCTGTAAAAGAATAATAATAGTATACACTAGGCGAGATGGGTTAGGTCTGTCGTATCGACGGTGACTCACCGATTTGATGTCGAATTTGAGGATCTTGTCCATGTATGTGGGAATTTCGGTGAGCAAAGTCCAAAATCCCCACAAGTCGCCGAAATGGCATATCAGAATAGCCCAAAACGGTTTGGATGTCAGGATTTGTTTCCATGGGGTCGGTAGTTTCTTCTGGAATTCGATTAATCACTATCAAATATTATAATCAGAGTAATCAAACTGCTCAAAAATAGTACATTGTTTTGATAGTATCAAATGTGACACTTTGTTTGACAAACAAATTTTCTGAGTCAAACAGATGAGTCACTTTCGATCCGAAAGAAACATGATATTTTTTCTGCAATCGAAATAATTGATATCAAATTGATAAAATATAAGTGAAAATACCACTATTTTCAGTCACTTTAGCATGTCAGTGTCAATCGACACGTATTTAGTTCCTTGGAGTTAAACTCCAACTTCAGCTCCTAGACACTAAAAGTGTTGCCTAGCAACATAGTTATTTTCTGCAATTGACTCAAAAGTGGAACTAAAAGTGTCTCGGATGCCAGCTGATATGATAGCTGCTTTGACATGTCAGTGTCGACTTTTGAGTCGATTGCAGAAAATAACTATGTTGCTAGGCAACACTTCTAGTGTCTAGGAGCTAAAGTTGAAGTTTAACTCCTAGGAACTAAAAGTGTCTCGGATGCCAGCTGATATGATAGCTGCTTTGACATGTCAGTGTTGACTTTTGAGTCGATTGCAGAAAATAACTATGTTGCTAGGCAACACTTCTGGTGTCTAGGAGCTAAAGTTGAAGTTTAACTCCTGAGAAATTGAAGTGTCTCGGATGACGGCTGATATGATAGCTGCTTTGACACTGATATGTTCGAGTGAGTAAAAACAGTGGCAACTCCACTTTTTTATTCATGAGGTATCAATTATTTCGATTGCAGAAAAAATTTGCATGTTTTATTCGAATCAAAAGTGAATCTGTTCGATTCACAAAATTTGCGTAATCGGCTTCGCGGTCGCGCCGCATCGCAAAAATATCGCTTGTCAAACAAAGTGTCACATTTGTTCCTAATTAAACAATGTATTATTTTTCTCCAAGGGGCATAGATAGTGGCTTTTCTCTGACACTCAACAGGCAGGAAAAGTGTACTTTCTCTACCTAGACAGGAAAAGTGTACTTTCTCTGCCTAGGCAGAAAAAGTGTGTGGCTATGCGAACTTCCAAGTAATTTGACTCAAATTGGTGAACAAAATTGACACCAATATTAGGTGAACACAAAATGATGTAGTTTTCTAGAAACAATTTCACACAATCGGTTTTATGACATTTGGAGAAGAAATTATATGTTTCACACGGCAGCAAATGTGGATTACTGCCTAGTAAAACAAATGACTATTGTTTTACTAGGCAGAAAAACACAAGATTTGAAGTCGCGACTGACGTTTGATAGCCAAAGCGTAGCCGAGACTAGGAAACCAGGTAAGGCATTGTATTTGCTTTTCTGTCATGTGAAACATATCCTATTTTTTTTTTCAAATTCGTTCCAATTTCACGCACTGTCCGAATAACCCATCATTTTATGTTCACCCAAAGGCATTGTCAATTTTGATTACCAATTTGATTCAAATCATCACTTGGGAAGTTGTATAGAAACAATTTTCCTGTCTAGGCAGTACTTTTTCTGTCTAGGCAGTAAAACAACACCTTTTCTGTCTGTTGAGTGTTATTAAAAAGCCACTTTTGAGATAATTTGAAGATCAATTCATTTTTCATGTTGATTACTTTGACAAATGTCAAATGCCACTAATAACGAGTTGATTTTAATGGCTATTAGGTGATTTTTAGTAGTTTTCGGATCGATTATGAATTCACGAATGAAATTTCCTTCATTTCAGGAGAAATATAGTCGACAGAATAAACAAACAAAAAACATGGCGATTAATAACTATATATGCCTCATATTCATATAGTTTTTTTATGTCACTGCTCAATGGTTAGAAAAAACTTTCGATAAATTAGTGCAAAGAAATGTTTTTTTCAACTTCTCAGCAGCTAGGGACAAAAAATCAGCCGTTGTAGAAAACTCAAGAAAGTATTTTTGAGTTTGAAACAAAACAATGTAAAAGATAAAGCGGGTTTATACAGCAAATAAAATAAAATAAGAAATAATATAAAATGATTTGATGAATAAGAAATAATGGGAGTAGTCTATACAGAGGAATAAAATAAAATAGTAATCAAGAATCAACCAATGATTATCGTGGACGACAATATTAAAAACATTCCAATCATCATCAATGTAATATCATCTACCATTTTTGATACCAAAAATACCGTAAAAGGTTGACAACACTATGGATTTGGAAACATTTTGAGGTTAAAGGCTATTTGTGACATTTGTGTTAATTTCAAATGTCATTTCAGGCACATGCGCATCTCCACTGTCCCGATAAAATAAAATTAAATTAAATAAAAGATGAAGTTGACCAACTTTTGTTTTACTCCTTATTTCTTATTCAACCTCTTGTATAAACTTCTTTATGGCAACACATATGTTCAATTTTATTGAATTGTTTTATTTTATTTATCATTTTATTTTAATTGCTATACAGGGTGATCCACGGTGGATGGCCTATTTGAAGTATATGGAGAACGAGAACACAGAACATTCTGAAAATTGAGATGCTTTGATAATTGAACATTCTCTATCCGGCTAAAATATTTTCATTGATACAGTGTTGTCACTTCTATCAGAAACAACTAGCAACTTTATTTATGTTATTTCAAATGGACCACCCTGTATTTTATTGCATTCTCATATTCGTCCTGAAGAGATAATTCCATCAATGTATCACACTTGGGGTCTAGCAGGAATGATTACAGAGATATTGGGTGTTCAAAATCGAGATTTTACAATGTTAGGATTTTTTTTATGTCGAAAATATTTATTATCGATCAAATCGGCCTACATGTCCCTATCTTAACTTTTGATTCGCTATCTACTGGAATTTAATTGGAGAAAATACAGGGTGCTTCAAGATTCAGAATTCTGATCACCCTGTATCTGTTCCAATTAAATGTCAGTAGATAGTGAATCGAGAGTTAAGATAGGGACATGCAAGTCGTTTTGATCGATAATGAATAGTTTCGACACAAAAAAATCCTAAAATTGAAAAATCTCGATTTTGAACACCCTATGTCTCTGTAATCATTCCTGCTAGACCCCAAGTGTGATACATTGATGAAATCAGCTCTTCAGGAAGAATCTAAAAATTCAATAAAATACAGGGTGCTCTATTTAAAATAACGAAGTTGCTTGATGTTTCTGATAGAAGTGGCAACACTGTATCGATGAAAATATTTTCGACGGATAGAGAATGTTCAATTATCAAAGCATCTCAATTTTCAGAATGTTCTGTCTTTTTGTTCTCCATATATACTTCTGATAGGCCATCCACCGTGGATCACCCTGTATAAACCCGCTCTGAATCATCGCAGACACGTAAAACGTACTCACTAAAAACAGTGAATTTATTTCAATGTCCCATCAGTTTTTAACTCAAAAATACGATTTTCGTGCATAATCATAAAACCACACCCTGTAGATATTCATGAATTTATCGAACCTGTTTCGGTTTAATACCGTCCACTATGAAATTGAGTTCCTCTTTGGTGATGGTTTTGTGTAGGTGTGGGCTGTCCAGGCCGAAAATCATGAAGAAGGCTGTCCACAGGAATCCAACGCCGCCTAGAAGGTAAAAAACGGTCGGCCAACCCATTGTGGACCCGGAAAAATGGCCGGCAATCGGCATGACCAAAACGGTACCGAGTGGTCCACCTAAAACAAAATTGTTTAAAAAATAGTAGATTGTTTTATTAGGATCAAAAGTGACACTTTGTTTGACAAGCGAATTTTGCATTTGCGAGTCGGAGCGTTTAGCGAAGCCGAGCGAAAGCAAAATTTGCGAGTCGAACAAAGTCACTTTTGATCCGAATGAAACATGCTATTTTTTCTGCAACCGATACATCTAACTCAAATAAATATGTGAAGTAACCACCGATGTCGTGCCATATGTATGCAATGCAACAAATATTTTTGCATTAACAGCAAGTTTCAATTTTTAAGGATGTTCGAATTGTACTTTCAATATAAATACAACCACAGAGTGACATATTTGTGTGTGAACCAGATGCTCTAATGGCAAATACCGCGCCAGTGCCAGGTATAGGAACAAGACGTGGAAAATGTTACGTTAGTGAGCATATCAACTAACAATAATAAGTGATTATTTATTTCTCTCCATACTCCACAGTGTTTGGCTCGATAATCAGATGCAGGTAAATAATATCGTTGTTTGAGACAAATAACTATTGCTGGCCGTGATTATACAAGAACAAGTTATCCATCCCGAGAATAACGGATGAAATACAGATCAAGCAAGTATTTGAATCTTGAATCTTTATAATTCCAATACTAAACTATAATAAGGTGTATTTATATCTCCAGCATGGGTATGAAATGCCAAATCTGCTGAAATCGGATAATAATCAGGTATGCGTCTCAACCCAAATAACCAACCGTCACAATGTTGTTTATTCTTGATGACGTCTAGTACATCCTTTTTAGTTCCTAGGAGCTAATGTTCAACTTTAGCTCCTAGAAACTAAGGTTCAACTTCAGCTCCTAGAAACTAAAGTTCAACTTTAGCTCCTAGGAACTAAATATGTTGCCTAGCAACATACCTATTTTTGTGTCAGTAATAGGAACGTCAATTCAAGAGCTAATTTTGGTATCGAAATGGACGACTCTATTTTTGCGTCAGTAATAGAAACGTCGATTCAAGAGCTAATTTTGGTATCGAAATGGACGACTTTTGTGTCGGTTGCAGAAAATAATAGATTGTTTTATTAGGATCAAAAGTGACACTTTGTTTGACAAGGGAATTTTGTGAGTCAAACAAAGTCAATTTGATTTGATGAGAAACATCCTTTTTTTTGCAACCAAAAGAATTAATTAAAATAAATATGTGAAGTGAGATTATCAGAATACCTTTATTTTCAAAATATAGGAAAGTATATAGAAGCAAGACCTCAGACTACTTTACATTAGAATATTGGTGGACAACGACATGCATCATCAGATACTACAGGCATGAATTCAATACTATTTCAGAAACGTGGATGCCGTGCCATATGTATGCAATGCAACAAATAATAATCCGTGTGGTGAGAATATTTTACCTGCATTTACAGATCAGATTCAATTTTCAAGGATGTTCGAATTGTAGTTCCAATATAAATACAACCACAGAGTGACCCATTTGTGTATTGTATTGAATCGAAGAATCGATGAATTCATTTGGACCAGGTGTCTGCCCTAATAGCAAATACCGCGCTAGTGCCAGGTATAGAGATATAAAAGAAGTGGAAAATGTTAGGTTAGTGAGCATATTAACAATAATAATAGCGATTATTTATTTCTCTCCATATTCCACTGTGTTTGGCTCGGTAATCAAAGGAAGGTGAACAATATCGTTGTGTGAGACAAAAAAGTATTGCTGGTCGTGATTATTCGAAAACAAGTTATTCAATCAATCAGATCCCGAGAATAACGAATGAAATGGAGATCAGAGCTAATTTTGGTATTAAAATGGACGACTTTGGTGTCGGTTGCAGAAAAAAAATTAAGGGGCTCAAATACAGATTTGATCGAGTAAAAAGTTTGATCATCGATGAAATTAATCCCTAATAAAGTTTTCGAAATTTGAGTCCATGAAAGCATAGTGAATATGTATTCCAAATAACTATTATTCCAAATTCTTTGAGATTTTCTCATCTCGTTTCTATAAAATAAATATATGAATATTATTTCACTATACGTGTTAGTAAGGACAAATCAGATGATTTGCCCCAAAATGTCACTGCGTTTGAAGAATTTTCCTATCAGAGAGCCTAAAAGAAAAATCAACTAGCTTGTCAGTGACAATTTGTATTGAAAAAGGTTTGGAGAAGAGAAATAAAGGTATATAGAAAAAATATCAAATTTTCACTTAACTTTGGACGTTTCGGGACCGAACTTGCTCCCGTTTTCGACATAAAAAATGGTTATTTGAATAGCAAATTCGTATCTGTCTTGAAACTTTTCAGTTCTCAGTGACAATTGGTGACGTTGGCAATCAAATGAGTTACAGGATGTTTTCATTAATCAATCTTGAATTTACCATTTTCATTTTCAGATTTCAGTAGTGAATACCATGTTCTGTATATCAACTGAACAAGAAGCAATGCTAAAAAATGAATGTTTCGAAATCGATCGAAAAATTGAAAATTGAAAAAGGGTAGTAATTCCCTAATGCGGGCACACTGTATATAATTTCCCAGTCACCTCATTGCAACGTTAGACTTTTTATCTATATACCGGCATATAATGTTTTAGATAAACAGTAAGTACCTCGTCGTAAGTACCTATACAATTGTAATATTGTGCAAAATTACACTGGCTTGATTCACAATTGATTTTAAACTCATCAAAGTTGGAGTTTGAACCCTTGGACTGGCGGCATACAATATATACGTCAAGAGACAGAATCATCAAGGCCATGTAAACAAAAACCGACTGTGGAAAATCTGAATGAATCATTAATTAACACCTTGTCTCCTTTTATGCTTTACAACGAACAATATACATCACTTAACGCTCTTATTCAATACGCCTTCTTATCAACTGCTATCTGATCACGTGATGAAGCCATTGGCCCCAATAGAGTTGCCTCCAAAATTATCGGCACCTGTCTTCTGGATGGCATTTAGAACAAATTTCCCTTCTTTTTTTATTATATTGGACAATTTATATATAATTCAAATATAAATATGATTTTCTTGAGATTAATCTATATTTAGTGAAAAGAAGGAAGAATATCATTCAAAATAATGGCGTGTGTAATGTCATTCGAAAGCAATCTATTGACATTTGACATCTCGTATTCTGATTTGACTATTGATTAAATGGTCGTCATCTGGAATGCTTGTTCACTAAATATGAAAAACTCGCCATAAAAATCATATTTCCTGTTGAATTTTCTATATAAAAATGTGCCATCGAAGTACATCATGAGTATATAAAGTGTCCAATGACAAAATAAGATCAAGTAGCTTCAAATGCCCCCATCACAAGGGGAGAAAGAAGGCGAAATTTCGAACTTTTTCTTGAAATATCTCAATAAATAGTGGTTTGTTCACATTTTCATTATAAAATTCGGTTTATCAGACAAAAATACGTGAGTACCGAAAAAAAATTTTCAAAAAAAAACCATCGCATGATAAATGCAGTTTCACCCTTAAAAATAACGGTTTCAAGTGTATAACAATCCACTTGGGTGAAAAATCCAACAGCAGAAAATTGAAAACACTCACTGGTTATTTTTTCAGGTAATAGGAATTCTCCAAGATAGATATAGGTAATTGTAACAAACGGCATGTCAATCAAAATAAAATACATTTTCCACAATTTTCTTTCGATCAATCTCACGATAAGTTTATGTTCTGCGGGCCCTGCATAAGTAGGTGTGAAGTTTACCTTCACCACAATTTTTGCCAATATATTTAATTCGAATGGGTTGCTGTAGGTGGATATTTGTGTTTTATCCTGGTGTTTGCTTTGAAACTTCGTTTTTCCATAATGAAATCGAATGGGGTGCGAAGAAGGGCTCAGTTGACGAGTGTCATTCTTTTTTAACCGGAAGCCCTTCAAAAAACAGCAAAATCGGCCCAATGATGATCTAAAACTGAAATCGAAATACGCGGTCGCCTTATAGCGCTATAAGCGCTTGTCGTTTCAAGCCGCTGGTTAGGCCTGACTAAGTGACGTCACCCACGGAGCATGCCACCAATTCCTCTGATTTCCATTGAAGCAAGGTTTTTCAGCAGTATATTGTTTCGGTTGCAGAAAAACTAGCATGTTTCATTCGGATCAAAAGTGATTTTGTTTGACAAGCGAATTTTGTAGCCTTGTAGAAAATTCAACTCAAAAAACTACCGGTAAAAGTTACCAGCTTACCCGCATAAACGAACCCCGCGATCTTCGCTCTGCTGGAAAGCGGCACCCAAGCGCTAATCAGATGATGAATGGAGGGAAAAACGAACCCCTGAGTCAGCCCCTGTACTATCCTGCAGGCGATCACCCCCGCTACCCCTAATTGCGCCCCCAACAGGGGGATGAGAATGGAGGCGAACGAGCACAGGGCCATCGCCGCGGAAAGAAAGACTTTGGGGCCGTGTCTCTCGGCCATCTGGCCTGCGGGTATCTGGGTGAGGACGTAGCCCCAGAAGAAGGAGGATAGGATGACGTTCTTTTGGTCGGCCCAGTGGGGGTATGTCTGAAAAAAAATCGGAAATCATGCATAAATTCAATTAAAAGTAGCACTTTACCGCCGGTTTTGCGGACGCAAATTGACACTTCACTGCCCGGCGTATAGGTAACTCGTATTAGGCATTACTATAAAATTCAGGACATTTATGTTCCAGTTGTGATTTACCCAGTAGCTGATGGGTATCTATAAATTGGGCATTTACCCGTATATTCACCCTTCTGATGAATATCCACCCAAAAGTGAGTATTTATAGAAAACAATTTGATATTGTCAACGGCACCAAACCGCCGTGTAAACGCAATGAACTCAATATAAACACTTGAAAGGGAGACTGCCGTTCTCTCGAATAGCACAAAGTGTATCAGGGGCAGCTGCAACAAAGATAGCATGATTTACGGTATGGATAAGGGCAGTTCGTAGAGAGTTCGACTCCATCTAAAACCAACAAGCTTTGTGGGGAGCATTTCCAGCCAACTGATTATTTATTTAGACATACCAGGTACTGCTAGGTTATTGAAACCAGATGCTGTACCCAGTATATTTCCATTACCTAAGCATTTGTTACCAAAAAATGCTGAAACCGATTTTTTAACGCTTCGACACGTGTTTCGCTAACTATGTTAGCATCTTCAGGAGGAGATTAAAACAGTTTTAATCTTCTCCTGAAGATGCTAAGATAGTTAGCGAAACACGTGTCGAGGCGTTAAAAAATCGGTTTGGTTAGGGTAGTGTATTATCGTGCCAAAGGTTCCAGTCTCCGATATACTTAGTGTATGTTTGCACCTCTTTGAAATAAAAAACTATAGCTAGTAATTTATTTTCAGGATGCATCTGTGGACGTTCATAACTTGGGTCCTAAGGAAGATGTTTCTCATAATATGGACTTTGATTTGCCTACGACTTCCAGCTCCCAAGTTTCGAAGTTCATCAATAAAGGAACCCAAACAGTTCCATTGGAGAAGGATATTGTATTGAGAATTGTATTTTTTCAATTTCTAATAGGGATATGTTTGTAGGCAGTGACCTAATGAAAAAATAGGAACCTATGGAAATTATGTTCAAAATGGACCTTAGGAACTCATTTTCAAATTTCTCCTATCGTTTTTCTTCATCTTCTGATAGTGCAAGAACTGTCAGATGACCGACCCTGGAGGTGAAAACATTGTAACATTGAAACACAACCTCACTTTTCTTATTTGTTTACAAGTGATTGAAATAGTTTTTCGCAATTATTTTGGCATACGAATCGTGTTTTTCGGCTATTTATTAATACGCGCATGCCATCACATTGTGCTGTTGTACAATGCACAAAAAATGCAGCGAGAGACGAAGGAATCCGGTTGGTACATTATGATTCAGAAGTAAGTACCTACTATAGTCACTCACATATAGTTTTCAATTTTGAAATTTGGTAATTTCTCTGATTTCTCATCGAAATTTCTTCTGCGATAGGAGCTAATAGAAATACTCGTGAAATTTCTGAAATAATGCAAAAAGATTGGATTGATGCAATCAAACAGGAGGACTGGTCTGACATACTGACGAAGTATGATCGTGTGTGCTGTAGACATTTTCAATCTATTAGCAGTATAAGCTTCTATTGCAGAAGTGGCAGAAGGAATTTCAAGAAGAAATGACAAAATTTCATAATGAAAACCATGTGAGATTACTATTGACCTGAAAAATCATGTTCCTTCGTCTCTCGCTGCATTTTTTGTGCATTGTACAACAGCACAATGCAAGGAGGCATGCTTGATTCAATGAATAGCCCAAAAAACACGATTCGTGTGCCAAAATATTCTGAAAAACTATTTCAATCGTTTGATTACTCTGTAAACAAATAAAAAAGTGAGGTTGTGTTCGAATGTTCAACAGGAAAGTGAGGTTGTGTTTTAATAGTTTTACCTCCAGGGTCGGTCATCGTGCACGCGATTGATATAACCTCACTTTCACTTTTCACTTTTGTACTTTTCCACAAATCTGAATAAAATGGTGAAAAAGGAAGGTCCACAGCTTGGTATTTTTTACTATAGAAAAAAAAAGGTGTTAGATGTAAGTGCTGTAAAACCGAATACAAACACCCAAATGTCAACAAAATGCAAAAACATGTACTGAAAAAGTTTTTGCAGTGTCCTTACAGTTTAAGAAAGAAACTACTTGATAGTAAAAGCTGCCAGACAGAGGAAACAGAAGAATTCAGAGGAAGCCTTACAAATAAGCTTTATTTTGTTTTTTTAAGTGATTAGTTTTATATAGACTTCGTTGTTTATTGTAGTTTTTGTCAAGGGTGTCATTTTTGTAGTACCAGATACCAGATCCCAAACTACTGGTCGTTTTTTTATGAGTTCATGAAGAGTTGTTCAATCTATACATTGGTTTTGTCACAGTTTTTGGTTGACAAAAGTTCTGAATATATAAATGTGTTCTTTCAAAGGATACAAAAATTGAAGACTGTTTGCTATCATCTCCTATATCAGTCGTCTGGTGTACTTATCGCATTTTTCAAATAATTTGCAAGTGCTATTGTGTAATCTGATTTAGAAAACATCATTTTTTGAGTGGATGCCAAAGGAATTTGATTACTACTATAGCAAAGATATAATCTTGAGTACCTATTCCATCATCATTTATGAAAAAAGAAGGAATAAAGAATTAAATCCTGTTAACTATTATCTCCAGCATCAGTAGCTTTGATATTGGTATCGCATTTTTTTAAATAATTTGCGGGTACTATTGTGCAATCTGATCAAACAAAAATTCAATTTTTTTAGTGGATGCCAAAGGGATTGGATTATTCCATTATCATCACTATGTAAAAATTGAATACAAAAATTGAAGGCTTTCAACTATTATCGTCTCCTGCATCAGTAGTTTTCATATATCGCATTCTTTTGATAATTTTCAAGAGCTATTGTGCAATCTGATCTAGAAAACATGAAATTTTTCGAGTGGATGCCAAAGGAATTTGAAGACTAATATAGCAAATATATCATCTTGAGTACCTATACCATCATCATTTATGGAAAAAAAACGAATAAAGAATTAAATTATAGATGAAGAAACCCAAAGTCATCTCCACAACATTTATTTGACGATCAGAGATCGATAAGAAATCGACCAAAGATCGATCAGAGATCGATCACATAGAGGAACATGTTGCGGGCTTATATAAGCCCATCATCAGCCGAATACAAGAATTAGTTCTAGAAAAACCAACAATGACATATAGGAGTTAGATACAAAGAATACTTACCATGTAAGTTTCTATATCCTATGTCATTGTTGGTTTTTCTATATAGAACTAATTCTTATTCGGCTGATGATGGGCTCATATAAGCCCGAAACATGTACCTCTATGTGATCGATCTCTGTGTGAATTTTGTGGAGATGACTTCGGGTTTCTTCATCTATGAAATATACCATTCCACTTTGAGTTACCATGGACTTTTTCCGAAGATTAAAGAATTAAATGCTGTTTACTATTATCTCCCGCATCGCAGTAGCTTTGATATAGGTATCGTATTTTTTTAAATAATTTGCGGGTGCTATTGTGCAATCTGATCAAACAAAAATTCAAATTTTTTAGTAGATGCCCAAGGGATTGGATTATTCCATTATCATTACTAAATAAAAAAATGAATACAATAATTGAAGGCTGTAAACTATCATCATCTCCTGCATCAGTAATTTTCATATATCGCATTCTTTCAATAATTTGCAAGTGCTATTGTGCAATCTGATTTTAGAAAACATTACATTTTTTGAGTAGTTGCCAAAGGAATTCGATGAATAATACAACAAACATTCATAGATAAGAACTCCCATTATCGTTTCTAAAGAAAAAATCGCATTGATAAACCGCGAGTAGATATATTATATAAGTTATATCCTTCAAAATAAATTTGCTGATCACCCACTCAAAATCAGTCATATCAGTTATGATCGACAGATCAGTTAGGCACATCTCAGATTGCACTTAGAGATCTAACTCTCGATCAGTACTGATGAATTATTATGAAATATCAATAATATATCTTCCTCTATTCTGCGTCTTTGATGAAATCTCTATGATACCCAAATGCGTATATCGAAACAGCTTCTATTAGGACACGCTGAATTTCTTGTTTCAATGTTGGTAATGGTAACGTCAACGTCAAACTGTCAGACACACTTGCGTCTAGAGCAGGATAAACAGAAGATGGTGTAGAAACCCCTATCAAATCCCATCTACTGTTTCTCGGTCAAAGTTCTTGACCTACGGCCTACTTGACAGAAGGATTCTTTTCAATATCGCGGAATATAGGTCGCATTCTACCCGTTAGATGGCGAAATCTCAACCAAAATTCAAGGTTGGTTGAACTTGGCACTTGATATGTCCAAGGTATTCGATCGAGTCTGGCACCACGGACTCCTCGCCAAGCTTTCATCTTATGGCTTGCCTCCCCAGCTATGTTCTCTGCTAGCTAGTTCTCTCTCAAACAGGTCTCTCCATGTAGTGGTCGACGGAGTTTCATTTGACTCTCTTATCATAAATGCTGGTGTTCCGCAAGGATCAATTCTAGCACCAACACTATTTCTACTCCATATCAACGATTTGTTGGAAGCAACTTCATGTCCAGTACACAGCTTCGCAGATGATAGTACCCTCCATACCGCCTTCTCTTCCAGGGCTCCAATAACAGCCAGGCAAATCAGAAACGAACGAGGGAGAAATGTTGACAACATAAATATGGAATTGGCAATAATTCTCGAATGGGGATCCAATAACTTGGTTGATTTCCGTGCAAACAAAACACAAGCATGTCTTTTCTCTAGAAAAGTCGATCTCACTGTGCCCAACATAAGCTTGTCAGGAGTAACCATACCTTTGAAGACATCCATTTCGATGCTTGGTTCAAATATCAGCAATAACCTTTCTTGGGAAAATCACGTGAGATCAATTGCTAACAGTGCATCCCAAAAACTTGGTTTTCTGTTTCGGGCCAGGAGCTATTTCACTTCCAGTCAGCTGCTTAGGCACAGATCCGACCTATCCTGGAATACTGTCCCCCATATTTGGAGTGCAGCACTCAAAAATACCCAGAAACTGTTCGATTCTGTCCAAAAAAGGGCAATTCGTCTCGTGGGTGATGCCTCGCTCACAAACTCACTCACTTTTCTGGAACTCTGTAGAAAAGTTGGCGATCTGGCTCTATTTTATAGATATTTTCATGGACGATGCTCTTCTGAAATATCAACAATTGTTCCTCCCTTGGCAGTCCCCGCGAGATTAACCCGTCGACTTCGCACCCCTTCGTGGTCACTTTGGAGACCTGCAGAACATCTCTTTCCAAAGACTCGTCTATCCAACGGATCGCGAGGCTCTGGAACACATTGCCAAGGGAGGTGTTCCCAGAGGCATATAACCTCCAGGAATTTAAGAAGAACACCAACTCCTACTTTATTTCCCTTGATTCTTACGATGTTTTCTGAACATCACAGGATATCCGTTTTCGTGTGGGAAGATAAAACTAAATAAAAGTTGAAAAAGATACGACCGATCACACACGAAAAAAACCAATGAACAGAGTTGAACATACACGTGAAGAATCTCGCGCACGATCTAAGCTAAGATATGACCCTTTCTCACTCATTTTGGGAGTCCATTTACCTATACCATTTTTTCGCTTGCGGATTATGACTTGGCCTCAGGAACAATTCGGTTGCGCCCAATAAAGTGGGGTAATAGGCAGTTGAAATAAAAAAATTGAAGAATGATTTGTAAATCATTGATCTGAAACTAACAGTCGAGCCCGAGCTTTTGCTTTCGGCTGTTGAAATAAGAAAGTGTATATGTTCTGTTGGCTGCTTAAAAAACATTGTGCCCTATTCAAAGATGAGCCAGGGAAGGAAGATATGGTCCAAACAGAATTTCTGACATATATTTTCTATTAATCACTCTATTTCCAATCGCCCTGTATAAATGTACTCACCACGACGCCCTCTGGTGGATCATCTGCGACCATCGCAAGGACAGCCAAATTCAGGATATTTCGCAAACCGTATGCCAGTACCATCACACTGAAGAGTAAAAGGTATTGGACATGTCTTTTGCCCAGTAATGCCTCTGAAAGAAAAAAAAATCACCGTCAAAAATAAGTAGGTACACATGTCATGTGATGATCATCGAATTTTTTTGGGAAATTTGATCCTGAAAATAACACAAAAATTGTGAAAGAATCGAGAACTCCATTTGAGGACTACAATAAGCTTTTCTTGATCTTGTTTACATTGGTTTCATTAGAAGCTTTTTCAGGGTTTGAATCATGGTATTCATCAGCATCAGTAGCTTTGATATCGCATTTTTTCAAATAATTTGCAGGTGCTATTGTGCAATCTGATCAAACGAAATAGTTATTTAACCAACTAGTGTATTAATGAGGGCGATTAATGATCGAGATATTTCAACGTGCGAGCGAAGCGAAAATTTTTCCGTCGACTATATTTCTCATTTCTCCTGCAATGAAGAAAACTTGGTTCGCTAATTCAGCATTCATCCGGAAACTAAGAATCACCCAGTAGCCTTGTTAATGACATTAGTGACATTTGACATTTGTCGAAATGATCAACATAGCAAATAAATTTCTTGTGTTAGAAAACAGGATTTAAAATCGTGTCAGAAACTTGGAAAGACGAACCCGTTAATGGAAAATCTTTGATGAAATCCATATTTTCGATTCAAATGCAAATTCCGTAAGTTAAAGCATAAACAATGAATGCATGCGGTGTATGTTTGGTTGCCTATAAAACAATCGTGCATTAATAGACAAATCGTTCATTAATAGGGGTCATTAATGAACGATTTCATGTACATTAAACTTAGTCCTTAATACGAGGTCGACGGAAAATTCAATTTTTTGAGTGGATGCCAAAGGGATGTGATTATTCCATTATCACTACTAAATGAAAAACGAATACAAAAATTGATGGCTGTTAACTATCATCATCTCCTGCATGAGTAGTTTTGATATATCGCATTCTTTTGATAATTTTCAAGTACTATTGTGCAATCTGATCTAGAAAACATTACATTTTTGTCTGGATGTCAAAGAAATTTGATGACTAATATAGCAAATATTCAAAGATATGATCTTGAGTACCTATCCATCATCATCTATGAAGAAAAAAAACGAATAAAGAATTGAAGGCTGCGAATTTTTTCAAGAAATTTGATCCTGAAAATAACACAAAAATGGTGAAAGAATCGAGAAATCCATTTTAGGACTACGATAAGCTAATGACACATCAACTTTAAATTTTTTCTTGATCTTGTTTACATTGGATTCATTAGAAGCTTTTTCAGGGTTTGAATCATTGGTATCCATTTAAAAACCACCCAGTATATACAGGGTGTTTCATAATTGAATGTCAATATTTGGGGACGCAATTCTTGGGCCCATTCTAAGAAGAAAGTTTCATATGAACGTATGACCTAGACCTTTTGAGATACAGAGGGTGGAGGTACAAAAATTGATAGTTTTTTATTAATATCTGTAATACCACTTCAGATATTCTGATGAAATTTTGCATACATGTACTATGTATAAAGAGGCATCAGTTGGTGTACCACATTTTTTGTTGTTGCCACCAGTGGCGTTCGTATGGAATTTCACATACCTATTTTGGCAGACATTGATGGTACGCCACTGATTAATCTCCAAATTGAAATCATTCCTGAAATTCCCGATCATTTCTAAGCAAATTTGATCACTACAATTTTTTCAATCTGATGCACGGTTTTCGCTTAAAAATAAAAAGCTTTTCACTACATGATTATAGTAATATTGTTAATATGATAATATCACAATGCAGAGAAATAGTTTTTATTTTTAAGATCAAATTTCAGAAATACAATTCATAGTTCATGAACTTTGTATTCGTATTTGGTATTTTCGAATTATAACTTCTCATTGTAGTAGGCTATATTAATTTTCGAGAATTTTACCACCCTGTATCTCCAAAGTTGGGACGTTTAGGTCATACGTTCATATGAAACTTTCTTCTTAGAATGAGCCCAAGAATCGCCTCCTCGAATATTGACATTCAATTATGAAACACCCTGTATATATGTTTGGTTTTCAAAACCTTTCTAGCGGACCTCGTATATAGAATATGATTTAACACACTATTTCGAGAGAAAACGTCCAAGGAATCAACTGACCCGCTATTCTGGAGCAATGGAAGCTTTGATTTCATATTGCAATTAATCGAAAGTACATACTTATTATACAGGGTGATCCACGGTGGATGGCCTATTAGAAGTAACTGAAGAACGAAAAGACAGAACATTCTGAAAATTGGGATGCTTTGATAATTGAACATTCTCTATCTGTCTAAAATATTTTCATCGATACAGTGTTGCCACTTCTATCAGAAACAACTAGCAACTTTGTTATTTCAAATGGAACACCCTGTATTTTATTGTATTTTTAGATTCTTCCTGAAGATCTGATTTCATCAATGCAACACACTTGGGGTCTAGCAGGAGATATAGGGTGTTCAAAATCGAGATTTCACAACTTTAGGATTTTTTGGTGTCGAAACTATTCATTATCGATCAAAACTGCTTACATGTCCCTATCTCAACTTCGGACTCACTATCTACTGGAATTTAATTGAAAAAAATACAGGGTGCTTCAAGATTCAGAATTCTGATCACCCTGTATCTGTTCCAATTAAATGTCAGTAGATAGTAAATCGAAAATTGAGATGGGAACATGTGAGCCGTTTTGATCGATAATGAATAGTTTCGACACAAAAAATCCTAAAATTGAGGAATCTCGATTTTGAACACCCTATATCTCTGTAATCATTCCTGCTAGACCCCAAGTGTGATGCATTGGTACAATCAGCTCTTCAGGAAGAATCTAAAAGCATCCCAATTTTCAGAATGTTTTGTCTTTTCGTTCTCCAGATAGGCCATACACCGTGGATCACCCTGTATTTTATTATGTTGAAATAAGTACCTATACTCCTACATCATCATAGTGTTAGCTGATTTTAGGAAGTTGAGGTCAATAATTATTGTACCTTCCTACTTTAATGGAAAACACGTTCGATAACGGCTATTTGGTATTTACATTTTCTTGTGAAACCACAGAAATAAACGTCATTGCTTTAAAGTAAACAATAATGAAGTTCTATTTATCGTTCGGTCTATATTGAAGGATTGTTAATATTTTTAATCATTGTTAACCTATTTCTATATCAATAATACTGTCTTCAAACGGAAAAAAACGGCATCCATGTCAAACAGTACCTACACTGAGAAAAATATAGTTATACAAAAGTCTATTCGAAATAATCCTATAGCTGCTAAATTAAACATTTCAACCACAAAATCTCATCTGACAAACGAGAAAAGTCAACGTTTTCAACGTGAAATAGGTCACCTTTTCAAATCAATCTTTTTTAAAAAAAAAAAGGTTGAGGTGGAACAAGATTATGGTAGAGAGATGGAATTTAAAAGATAAACATTTAAATCCTTGCTAGGGCAGGTAGAAAATTGCAAAATAAGTTAGGTTTGCTCAGTGAAAAAATGTCGTAACGGCATCCGATACAAGGTGTTGAAAAAATTATTTCTTTACACATTTTTCACGATTATTCCGAAACTACTGGCACCATTGTAATGAAAGTTTGTATGAATGTTCCTTGAAATCTGACACATCGCATGAATTTGTTTTTATATCTGACTCTCATAGAGGGCGCTAGTTACATGGTTCGTACCTCGGTTCGCACCGAGTAGTTTTGAACATAACTATTTTGAGGTTAGATTTTCCAATCCAAATATGATATGAACTCAAACATCATCGAATTTTACACCAAAAAGGTACTCTTGGTGGAACTCGATACTATGTCCCGTTTTCGGAATATTTCGATTTGAAAATAATGGAGTAGTAATGATGCTGGTATAAAATGAATTTTATTGAGTTCAATTACCTATTTATTCAGGATCAAGAACAATAAAATTATTCTTGTGCTGAAGTTATTGATGGAACAAAGAGTCATAAGTCACTTGGCTCCAAGCCTACTCTATGAAAGTTGTGCCAGAACACATAATCGTTATTGTTTATAGAGAGTTTAGCGCATAGCCTACTGGACATAAAAACAAAAATTGGAAATCAGTACCTCAAATAGAATAAAACTGTGATTGTGATACATCACTAGAATGGAAATTTTATGCTGATTTCAAATCTGTTAAAATCCAATATGGCGTCCATAAGAAAAAATTAAGTTGTAGGTTGTTGTAGTTTTATTTGAAATTTAACATTTTGATGAAAAACTGACAAAACCATTGGAAAGAACACCAAAAAGTGCTATGAGAATATTGAAATCATTTTTTCATAAAATCAATAGTTTCCGAGATATTCGAACAAAACAAAAATACAAGATTTCAGGTTTTCTCAAATATCCCAAGAATAACTAAAGCTAGTCCGGATTTCTCAATGGATTCTGATTCAACATTAAATTTGCTACAACTTTGCCAATTTAACCGTTTCTCTATCTCTCATAGTTACTGAGATCCCAATGGTGAGGATCGAATTTGGGACACACTGTATATATACACTGTTGATGGCTATTGTTATGCTATAGTTCCGAAAAATAAGTCAATGACACCATCTCCGAGTTCAGCTCTGCGGCGTTGCCGCTTCTATCGAAAAGTAGCAACAACTTTGTTATTTTGAATGGAATACCCTGTATTTTATTGCATTTTCGGATTCTCTCTGAAGAGCTGATTTCATCGATGCATCACACTTGGGGTCTAGCGGAAATGATTGAAAGAAATACAGGGTGGTGCAGAATTCAGAATCTTGATCACCCGGTATATGTCCCAATTAAATATCAGTAGATAGTTAATCAAAAGTTGAGATAGGGACATGTGAGCCGTTTTGACCAATAATGAATAGTTTCGACAAAAAAAATTCCTAAAGTTGAAAAATGTCGATTTTTCACACCCCTATATCTCTGTAATCATTTTCGCTAGACCCCAAGTGTGATACATCGATGAAATCAGCTCTTCAGAGAGAATCTGAAAATGCAATAAAATACAGGGTGTTCCATTCAAAATAACAAAGTTGTTGCTACTTTTCGATAGAAGCGGCAACGCCGCAGAGCTGAAAATATTTTAGATCGATAGACCAAGAGCAACTACGTGAGTAACCAAAATTTCAGAATGATCCTATGTCCCGTTCTCCATAAACGTCTAACGTACCATCGACCGTGTTACCCTGTATATTACTAAACAACCACTAAATTCGCAATTTTTTGAAATCAAATCATAGAATTAGACTGACAGATATTTGATGAAGAATGATAAAGATACCTGCAACGCACAGAAAAAAATGGTGTGTTATACACGGGCAAAATTTTAGATTTTACCTCACGGTTTTTTGTCTCCGTCGGGAGGAAACACAACCTAGAGCTAAAATCTACTACTTTTTCCTTGTATAATAAATATTGAATATTTGTTTCTCTCTGGTACATGAATGTATTTTGAACAATAACATGTACTGTACGCCTGTACATAAAACTTTTCTAAATATTGAAATAAAAATACCTCACTTTTTGACACAAAGTCATATCACTTTTAAATGCACACGTGAATAACATTTTCAAAAAATAGTAAATACTCACTTGGCGGTTTAATTTTTTCGACGGTATCAAATTTCTCCACTTCAACCATGCTTTCTTCTTTCCTATTCTTCTTCTCGCCAAAATCCCAAATGGTTCGATAAGGTTCTCAACCTTTTTCAACACCGGAAGTACTTGAGTAAAATGGTTGCGGTCAGATTTTTGATTTACTTCATCATGAAGTCTTGTCGTATGAGGGACTGCGCCGTTATCAGCAACTGAGAATACATTTTATAATCAACAACCATATTGATAAACTCTTGTTTTACAGAGTGATTCGCTGAATTCCGAACGAGATTACAATAGAAGATGCTTATGTCGTTTATACAAGGAGAACAGATTTTTGGATGTATGATAAATTGATATTCATCATGGGTGGCGGAAATTTGATCGAAAGACAAATATAGGAAAAATATTTGATAGAAAATACACTTGATAGAAACAGCATTTGATAGAAAATTCACGGGGCTACGCTCAAGTTAGGTCAGTACGTTTGTGAAGATATGATCCTTCTTCATATATTTGAGAAGAAGGAGCTAGATGGAAATCGAAGCTTATGAATTTATTGATACCACAAACACAAATATTTTTTCTATCAATTGTATTTTCTATCATTTATGTTTCTATCAAATGTATTTTCTATCATAAAACATTCGATCAAATGTATTTTCTATCATAAAACATTCGATCAAATGTATTTTCGGTGAAAAGTTCTCTCTATTTTTTGATTTTCGATCAAAAAAGCCTTGTACAAGTATACTCCTCATATACATTTCAATACTGAACATATTGGCAAGTTATATTTTTATATCATAATACATCATGAATACTGTCTGTAGGTTAATCGAGGAGGTGGTACATTCATTTTACTTGGTTCTTTGGGATTTTCTCTCCTCGTTTCTAGTAGTAGTATTCGTATTATTTCAATATATTTGTAGAGTGACAAATCATATGATTTTCTCCAAAATGTCACTGCGTTTAACAAATTTTTCTATCAGGGAGTCTAAAAGAAAAATCCAGTAGCTTGTCAGTGACAATTCGTAAACAATGCAGAACCTACTATAAAGTTCACTTTGGAAATCGAATCTGACAATCAGTTACCATTTTTAGATGTTCTTATCAAAAAATCAAACAATGTTTTCTTAACAAGTGTATATCGTAAAAAGACTCATACTAATAGATACCTCAATTTTCAATCAAATCATCAGAAAGCTATCAAAAAAGGAATAATCAGATCACTTCATGATCGAGCCAAATCAATATCATCTAACCAACAAATTTTCAATAACGAAATCCACCACATCAGAGATGTTCTTCAACTCAACTCATATCCAAGGAACTTCATTGATAGAACGATTCACCAAATTGAAAACAAACAAAATACACCACAACAAAAACAACCATCAATAACGACGAATATAATACCGTACATTCCCGGCATATCTGAAAAAATAAAACGTGTTGGTGATAAGTTCCAAGTGAAAACTGTGTTCAAAACTGAAAATACAATGAGATCCATTCTAACTCAAACAAAGCCAAAAAATGAAGAACAATCATCAAAAAATTGTATTTATAGTATACCTTGTGTTTGTGGAAAGTATTATACAGGTGAAACGAAGAGACCTCTCTCAGTAAGGACAAAAGAACACAAGTACAATATCAAGAAAAGACATATCGATAAATCGAAGCTAACTGAACATATCCTCACTGAAGATGGACAACATATGGCACAGTGGAATGATATCAAAATCATAGGAAAGGAAGATAACAAACAAAAAAGAAAAATAAAGGAATCCGCTTGCATTCTTCTAAACGGAGACAATAGCATTGCTTCCTGTTCAGTTGATATTGATAGAACATGGTATTCACTACTGAAAACTGAACATGAAAATGGTAGATTCAAGATCAATTAATGAAAACATCCTGTAACTCATTTGTACACTAAAATCACTCATTCATATGCCAACATCAGTATGACACTGAAAAGTGTCAAACTATATACGCAGCACAACTTTCAAAGAAAAATAATTTGCATTTACATGTTGAGAACGGGAGCAGAATCGGTCCCGAAACGTCCAAAGATGAGTATCAAATCAAATCAAATCAAAATGTACTTTATTGCCTGAAGAATATAAATTCTTATTGACAAAGCGTTTGAGAACTTAGGTACTAATCACATGAGTAAATTTACATAGCGGCCGAAGTCACACGACATAGTCTTATCAGTATCCTGAATATAAACGATAAATATAATATACAAAAATATAATCAAACATACACACATTTGTTGGTAACGGCAAAAGAGCTGCCTTATACCAATGTAAATGTCATACAGGTATATGATAATAATAAAAGTTATAAAATATTATAAAAAAACGTCATAAAAAAGATCATAAAAAAAGATCATAAAAAAACATAGATAATAAAATAACAATTAGGAAACCTGATAGAATTCATTGAGATTATAACAAGCTCTCTCCAAAAGAAACTGTTTCACGGATTTCCTGAACTTTTGTTCATTTTCAATTCTTTTTAGGTGCAGGGGCAAATGATTGAATAACTTCTTGCTTTCGTAGATAATAGAGTTCTTAGTAAGAGTTGATATGGGAATAGGTAATTTAAAAATTCGATATTTTTTCAATATATCTATATTTCTTTCCTTCAAAAATTTTTTCAAACAAATTGTCACTGACAAGCTACTGGATTTTTCTTTTAGACTCCCTGATAGAAAAATTTGTTAAACGCAGTGACATTTTGGGGCAAATCATCTGATTTGTCCCTCTACAAATATATTGAAATAATACGAATACTTTTATTTTATAGAAACGAGGAGAGAAAATCCCAAAGAACCAAGTAAAATGAATAATACATCATATTATTTTATCCGATTTGAGAGATATCAATTCTCAATTTCAGAGAATTTTTATTTTTCATGCTCTCTTTTTGGATGTTCAACAGATATTCAGCAATGTCCGACGTGGCAAAAAGCCAGGAAAGTAGTTGTTTTCTGTTGAATATTCAGTTTGATATTATGTGCCATATGTGCATATCATTATATGAAGGAAATTTTTGACAATCTCCAAGTTTTTATTTGGAAGCTCAAATGATTTCTGACGCTGTACTGTGGAATCATACTGTATACCCTGATATCGTATATATGGAGAACTACCAGTTACGATAAATTTCATCATAATCATATTGGAGTTCGTTTAATCTACATATGAATTAGGGACTTGTCATTTCAAGTGAGAATTAGTTATTTGTTCACTATGTGACTGATAGGTATCTTTTATCAAGACACAGAGATATCGATCCAATTATTTTTTTATCATAAGTTTACTTGGTGAACCAGCGGAAATCTATTGAAATCAAGGCATTTTGAATTTAAAGGAATGTCGATATAATATCCTACTTGAATTGCTTAACTTGTTCGATTTATTACGTCTTTGATCTTCGTTTTCGGAATACAAAGTGTTGGAAGTTTTTCGAAAAAAACAAAATATAAAAAAATATATACAGTGTGATCAACTTAAGACTTACCCTTATAGAATCTAGTTTTTATCCGATTCGTTTTTATCTTTGTTTCAGCAGAATGAGTATCAAAAGTTCTATACGTTTACACTTTGCAAAATATAATTACAATATTTAGGACAAACTATGTTTTCAGTGTTAAAAATTGCGATGAATTTGAGATTTTTTTCAAGGATTTCATTGAAAAATTTTGATTGGCAACAAAGTTATGATATTATTTGTACTTATTTTATCTATTTTGACATGTAATTTGACACTTTGGCAATCTGACGGAAATTTTGAAAAGTCTCACTTTATACAGGGTGCCCGTTTTTCGGTTAAATTAAAGCAAAGTTGCGCATTTTTATGATGAATATCTATCTGCAAGAAAACTCGATGTGTTATTTTCAGTTTTTGAATTATTTGAAGGAAGCGAAAATTTTTGATATCCGTTTTTATTTTTTCAAGCGAAAACCAGAAGATCCAGACGTTTCTGGCTATATAGGACATTCTTAAGGGCACTTTTTTACAAGGAATCTGAATCTGTCATCTTATTTTCCACGACGTTCTTGATGCCAAAGTTAGAACACTCAACTTTGTTTTTTCTCATGGGCGCCATATTGGATTCTTGAATTTTTGAAAAGTATTTTTTTCTACAAACGCTTAACAAAGTAGCCTTTGACGCTTTCATATTCCAGCACAAAGTTGACGTTTTCCCAGAAATGTCATTCTTTGACAGCATTTGCGCTCGTGAGCGGAAATATTGAAAAAACGCTCGCACATCTCTGTAACCTATACTTATCTATTCTTGAAAACCCCCAATTCTGTCATGATGGAAAATAGTGACAGTGAACTATCAAACACACCTCATCCTTCCTGATGATATAGCAGAAAGTGCAAGAATTTGAATCTCTTACCGGAGAAATCAAGGAAGAAATATGAATTACATTATGATACATTCATGAATTGATGCCGGTTCAAGTTTCGTTTAGCTGAAATCAGTTATGGAAAATTTGTTGCTCTGGCAACCGTTGTCATGGTAACAGGTAAACAGAAAACAAAATCCCGTGGTGAGGAAATGCATGGTTGCCAAGTTGTATCGGGTTCAGTATAGCTGAAATCAGTAATGGAAAAACTATTGCCATGGCAACGATCGTCATGGTAACGAGTAAACAGAAATCCGAATCCAGTGGTGAGGAAATGCGTGGTTGCCAAGTTGTATCGGGTTTAGTATAGCTGAAATCAGCGCAATCTTCGACCCTCAAATTTTGTTCTGCTAGTATTCACACAATAACTTGATTCCAATGAATATCCTTCTTATCAATTTCTTGAAGAATGTTCGTCGTTGATTAATTCCCAAATTACTACTTCTCTGACGATCATATATGGAAATAACGTCAGGAAAAAATTGGCTTTGTTATTGAACAGAGCTAGACAAAATAGCGAGCGACAAAGAGTGCGGAACAAATAGCGCATAAGGAAGGACACTACTTTTTCTGAACAATCTGACCTGACTCGGCTTAAATGAACCTTCTTGGAAAAAATATATTTTTCAACATCGATCAGATTGGGTGCAAGGCATCGTTCGTGTGTGTTTGAAGACTGCATAAAAAAGGACACTACTTTTTCCAAACAATCTAACCTAACTCGACTTAATTCAACCTTCTTCTTGAAAAACATATATTTTCCAACATCGTTCAGATTTGGT